CCAAGATGATTGAGTCACTGACCAAGGACAAAGTCCAGGCCGGGTGAGCAGCTGGAGACTGCACTGAGTAGCTGGAGTTTTGGGGGAAGTTTAGGTCCCTTCCTTTCCTCACTCCTGTTCTTCCTCCTGCAGGGATGTGATCACTATCGACAAGGCCACAGGCAAGATCTCCAAGCTGGGTCGCTCCTTCACACGTGCCCGTGACTATGATGCCATGGGCTCCCAGGTACAAATGGGGCCCTGGGATGTTTCCATCTCCTCTCCCACTCCTTAGCCCATGGAGCCCTGCTGTCATCCTGACCCTGTATCCCTTTGGTACTCCTGGGTGTTCCCTTAACCCTAGGGTAGCTGGGACCTCTCAGCCTAGCACTGCAGCTCTGCATTGCCCCAGGCTGCCCATGGTGTCCAAAGCTTTGGGAACCCCATAACCATCAGTACTCTTCAAGGACCTAGTCTCCCTTAGACCGACCCCCACCATGCCCTTCTCTGCCCTCACACCCCACCCTTGCCCTGTAGACCAAGTTTGTGCAGTGCCCAGATGGAGAGCTCCAGAAACGCAAGGAGGTGGTGCACACTGTGTCCCTGCATGAGATCGATGTCATCAACTCGCGCACCCAGGGCTTCCTGGCTCTCTTCTCAGGTCAGCCCTACCCTAGACATGGCATCTTTCCTCAGACACCTCTGCTCCTTGACTTTCTCTCCTTCGGCCCCTACTAGCTGTCTGCTGTTCTTCTTTCTCAATGAGTTTGGTTGTTCGTCTCCGTTATTGCCATCCAAGTCCTTCTCTCAGGGGGTATGAAATGGGCAGACCCTGTCCTCTTTCCTTCCTCTCTGGTGCTATTTCAGACTCTCTGGTTCTTTGGTTGTTTTACCACCTTGGTCTTTCTCGCCTTCGTCCATCCCTGGCATCCATCTTTTTCTATTTGCCCACCCTCCAGCCTTGGACCTGTCTCCTCTCTGATTTCCATGATGCCACCTGTCTCCTGCAGGTGACACAGGGGAGATCAAGTCAGAAGTCCGTGAGCAGATCAATGCCAAGGTGGCTGAGTGGCGTGAGGAAGGCAAGGCAGAGATCATCCCTGGGGTGAGTGGCCAGAGCAGTGGCCAGGGTCCCGGGCAGGTGTGGTGAACAGATGGTGAGTGTGACATGTGCCCAATGTCTTCCAGGTGCTATTCATCGATGAGGTACACATGCTGGACATTGAGAGCTTCTCCTTCCTCAATCGGGCCCTGGAGAGTGACATGGCGCCTGTCCTTATCATGGCCACCAACCGTGGCATCACAAGGTGAGTGCTTGCACATGCTTATGTTGGTGACAGGGTGCTCTAGGCGGGAGTAGTCTCAGGGAGACAGCACAGTGGCCCTCAGTACCACAGTGGTCACACATGAAAGGTGAACTTTTTCTTCTAGTTAGGCCATGGTTCAGGGCCACAGGCAGCTCTGCCCCACAAGGAGGCCTTGCTGCTCCTGTAGCCCTTAGGCTTTAGTTCCCAGACTACATGCAGAGATAGCCCAGTACTGCAGGTCACTCACTGGGGTACTCCAAGGGCTTTTTAAATTTGGGGAGAACAGTGATATCTTAGATGCTGCATAAATCTCTATAATCAATTAAGTGACTTAGAGTTAAATACTTAGTCATCAAAATTCTTAGTATTGTTTTTTTACCTAAAGAAGTTGTGGAATATTCCTGAGACACACAGGGTACAATGTTCAGGTAAAACCCTCTACCCTAGGGTGTTACTGGCATTCTACTGTGGTCCCAGCTGGCTCTGCTCTCCACCTCATCCACCTTTGGAATCACAGGAATAGGAATGGAGGAGGCGATCAGGCAGCCTGCAAGAAAGAGGATTTGGTCTGGAGGCTGTACCCAGCACTTCCATGCTTGGGTGCCTGGCTGTGCCTGGCTGCAAGGGAGCCCAGGGAGTGTTGTCTCCAGTGCCACATGCCCAGCTGAAGCTGGATATGGGCGTGGTATCACTAAGGGAAGTGGGAGACATGGCTGCACAAGGCAGTGGCAGCTTTATCTGGCTCTATTTCTGGATGGACTTCTTGAACCTTCAGAGAAGTTCAGGAGGAAGCTGGGAATTAGCTCAGTGCTGTACATATGCTAAGTGTGTGCAAGGCCCCAGATTCCATTTCTAACTCCAAAAGAAAATCAGAAGGTAGATATCAGCTCAGCCTCAATTTGCAGACCAGACCAGCAGTGACTTGTTATGGCGGTGCATCTAATTGTATCAGAGCCTGAAGAGGTACTCTGAGCCCTGTGTTTGCAGTAGCTGCAGATCAGAGTTTGGAACCCTCCGGGGCATTGGGAGGATGCTGACCAGTTTGGAGATTCCGTGTTTATGAATCTATTTTTTTGTTTCTTTTAATTTTTTTTAAGTGGTAGATGGACACAATATCTTTATTTTTATGTGGTGCTGAGGATCGAACCCAGTACTTCACATGTGCAAGGCAAGCGCTCTACCACTGAGCTACAGCCCCAACGCATGCATCTGTTTGCTTGCTAACACTTATCTATAATCCCCAAATCAATTTTTCAGGGTCCTCTTGCTGTCACAGGTGTGCACAGAGAGGCAAATTGAAACCTCCTGATGCCACAATCTCAGTCAAAGCTGCTGGGCGTCGCTCTGCCTGCTTGTTTCAGCTCCCATGTTGTAAACCAGTGCCATTTTCCTGAACAATTTAGTGCCATGTTTTCCTGAACAGTTTAGTGCCGTGTTTGTCACTTTGTGCTTGTTTGGTGATTTCAGTTAAAAAGTCCCTCGAGCTTAGTGCTGAGGAGCGCTTAGTGTTCGTAAGCACCGGAAGGCTGGGATGAGCCTTGCAGGTATGCACCGGGCCTCAAGCAGACATGAGCAGCAGTGCTGCTGGCTGGGAGCTCAGTATGAGAGGTCCACAGCATGTTCTCATGGAGACTTGGTGATGATTGGTTGGTGATAGTGTGGTGACCAGGGTTCACAGGGATCTAACCCTGCCTTTTTCCTCAGGAGCAGTGGCTCTGTATGTTACCAGTGACTTTACAATGCAGCTGCCATGAGTATTGAGAATTGCCTTATTTCCTGTCACTTACCATGAGCCAGGCCTGTACCTGCCCAGGTGTAGCAGGGAACAAGACAGCATGGTCTCTTTCTTTCTGGAGCTTTGTGTGGAGCAGGGAGTGGGACCTTGATCCAGTAATCCCTGGTGTAGATACCTAGGATCAGCTGAGGAGGGTGCTCGGGGGATTGACGCAGCTGGGGAAGGCTGTGCAGTCAGGAGGTGATGTAATCGAGGAGCTGAAGGTTACGTGGGCTGTGATGGATAGGTAGGTAGGAATATTTTGAGAAATGGGAACAGAGAGCTGGGTTCTGGGAACATCACCTGACAGCCCTTCCTGCCGTCTTCCCCAGGATCCGGGGTACCAGCTACCAGAGCCCCCATGGCATCCCCATTGACCTACTGGACCGGCTGCTTATTGTCTCCACCTCTCCCTACAGTGAGAAGGACACAAAGCAGATCCTCCGCATTCGGTAAGTTGGGTGGCCCGTGCCCTCCCTGTTTTAGTAAGGTTGGGTGGGGCCTGCCTGGGCCTGTGGAGAGAAGTCTAAGTGGGGCATCCTGGCAGTGACATCTGACCCAGAGGAGGTACTGGTGACTGATATGGGGAAGAAAGCCTTAGATTGAGGGTCAGGGGGTCAGGAGGTCCAGGCCCAGCCTGCCTCAGTGGCTCTTCTAGCTTCAGCAACCTGTGGTTCTGAGATTCATGCTCCACTTGTACCCCAAGGGCGAAGAGCCAGGGGGATCCTGCAGTCAGAGGCCCAGCTCTGGCTGAGTGTCTGTCCCCTGCCCACCCGCCTGCAGGTGTGAGGAGGAAGACGTGGAGATGAGCGAAGACGCCTACACAGTGCTAACCCGCATCGGATTGGAGACTTCCCTGCGCTATGCTATCCAGCTCATCACAGCTGCTAGCCTGGTGTGCCGGAAACGCAAGGTCAGCCAGCTGAGTCAGCCAGCAGGGGCCAGATTGAATGAATGACCCACTCCTCCAAGGGCTTTCAGTGGGGACTTATATTAAGTCCCAGAGTATATGTTTTCAAAGGCAGGGAATTTTTATCCTTAGTGCCTTAGTGTTTGCTTGTTTCTTTTTTTTTTTTGGCAGAGCTGGGGATTGAACCTAGGGCCTTATGTATGCAAGGCAGGCACTGTACTAACTGAGCTATATCCCCAGCCCCACTTAGTGTTTGTTTCTTTATCTCTTGTCCAGGCACATAGTAGGTGCTCAGTAAATACTAATTATAAGTAGATCCTAAGTTCATCTCACAGAGGAAGAAACTGAAGGACAGAGAGGCTGGTCTGCTCATCAAAAGGTGGCTGAGGCCGGATTTGAACCCAGGAGATCTGGCCCAGGATCCTCTCCCTTGTCTGCCAACCTCTGTTGCCTGGGATGTGGCAGTGGCTTGAGCTGGGGTCTGTGTTCTGGGCCTCTTGGAGAAGGCCCACTGAGGACTTGCCCTCCCTTTTTAGGGTACAGAGGTGCAGGTAGACGACATTAAGCGGGTCTACTCACTCTTCCTGGATGAGTCCCGCTCCACGCAGTACATGAAGGAGTACCAGGATGCCTTCCTCTTCAATGAGCTCAGTGAGTGTCCCTAGTCTGTGCCCAGTGCTCCCACTGTCGCTCTTGATGGGGAGCTTGGTGGGAGAACTCAGGCCCTGTCTCCAGGCCACACTAACCAGGTGGCTTCCCTCCCATCTCCCCACAGAAGGTGAAACCATGGATACCTCCTGAGCTGGATGCCGCCTCTGTACCCCCCTGTTTTCTACCAGAGTTCTGACACTGTGACTTTGTATAAAATGGTTTTGAAACTGAACCCAAGGTGTGCTGTGTGTGTGCCGCCCTGAGCCCACAGAAGGACACCTACGGAGTGCAGATTGAGAAGCCTTTATTGGGAGGGGAGGACTGGAGCACGGGTGGGCTCCAGAAGCTGGGGTGGGCAGTGAGTTGGGAGGGGAGGCCCTTAGAGGAAGAGGAGGCCTGGAAGGTGGGGGAGGTCACAGGCCAAGGGTTGAGCTCTGGGACCCCCGCAGTCAGAACTGCTGAGGCGACAGGGCCCACAGTGGCAGCTGAGGGCCACTGGGAAGGAAACTATGGGGTCCACACCAGGCGGGCAGCCGGGGAGCCGGATGGAGGAGAAGCGCAGCTCACGGTAGGTGCACACTGGCTGGGGCACAGGCGGCAAGGCAGCTGGCAGTACCCGAACCTGGGGGCAGGATGTGGGCGGCAATGAGCATCTGCTTGGCATCAAGTCCTGGTCTCAGATGACCATGAAATCACCCACCACCTTTCCACACACCCAGCACTAACTCCCATCCCCCTGCCCCAGATGCCAGACCATCCATCCACCCTGCTGCCACCTCCCATCTTGTGTGGGTGTGCAACTGAAGTGACAGCCCCCTCCTCAGGCCAGAAGTGCTGTCCTGCCTGCTGGGTAGCTCACCATGCTGGGGCAGTAGCCAGCACAGATGCTGGTGGTGAAGGTGATGCAGACTGGGCAGGCCTCGTGCTCAGCAGCCAGGGTGGCGTTGATAGGCCGACACAATGGCCGAAGTGGCCCCCTAGAGGCCCACACCCCACTCATGCTCAGCAGCAGCCACAGCAGCAACCCCTGGGACAAGGCCAGTGCCTCAGGCCCAGCCTGAGACCTCAGCCCTTGCCCTCCAGTCTCCTGAATACACACATTCAGGACCAGGGGTCCTGCCCAGTGTCTCCATTCAGAACATTCTCTGCTTTGATCCTCTATCCCTGACACAGGCCTTCAGGGTCCACCCCACATCCCAAGGGACCCCAGATGCCCCAGTTGTTAAGATACCTACCCTCAGGTGTGCTCCACCCACTTCCCTCCTGCAGGAAGCCTGCTGGTTGTCACCCTGCTAGAAAGAGGCTTCCTTCACAGGTCACAAGACTCCCTCTATGCCAACTGTGGCCTGGGTAGAGTTGGGAGGTGCCCAAGGGCCCTACAGTCTTACCTGGAGCATCTCCATTCTTGATGCCTCCCCTACTTCCTCTACCTGGCTTTATACCTGTAGGTTGTGGGGGCGGCAAGGCCACTAAGCAGTGGCAGCAAGCTGGGGTAACCTGGACACTAATCCCCCTGGGGGCGAGAGACAGACAAGGTCAGGGAAGCACAGGAGTGCTCTGCTCCTCCCCTTGGTGACTTGGTGTTGCAGGGGTGAGTCACCACAGTGATGGTGAAGGCACAGACTCAGACCTGAGCCTAGTCCCTGTTGGAAGCACAGGAAGTGGGATACTAGAGTTCCTGGGCCAGCTGGGTGTGGTTGTGCATGCCTGTTAATCCAGGGGGCTCTTTAGGCTGAGGCAGGAGAATCACCAGCTTAGTGAGGCGCAAAGAACCTAAATAAAATACAAAACAGGGCTGGGAATGTGGCTTAGTGGTTGGATGCCCCTAAGTTTAATTCCGCGTACCCCCCCCCCCCCAAAAAAAAAATCCCTGGGCCCATCACAGGAGGAAGGCTGTAGACTCTAAGCCAGAGGTTCTTGGCTGAAGCCACAATTCTGCTGCACTGGGACAGGCTGAAAGACAGGGTTCCCCTGGTAGAGTCCAACAGGAGTGGGTTGGGGGGCTTCAGTATTAGATTCTATGCAAAGAGGGCTTCTAAATTTCTGTGCTGAGTGGGGTCTCGCTCTCCTCCCGATGCCGCACAAGAGATTCAGCCAGAGCATCTCCCCCACACCCACATTCTCAGAGGTTAAGGCCCCAGAAATGAGTGTGATTTAGGTTATTTAACTCATCGACTACATTAGGACCCGCCCCCTCTTCTGCAGAGGACTTGTCCCTTTTGCTCAGCTTCAATACAAGTTTCCTGGGGTCCAAAAAGGAGTGGGCGTGTCTAGAGTTAGCCCGGCCCACATCAAAAAATTCGGTGGGCGTATCTGGCTCGGCCCCACATAATGGGTGGGGCTCCTAAGCTTGGCTCCTCCTCACAGTTTAGCAGGTGGGTTCGGGGGCGGGACTGGCACGGCCAGCTCAGACTAACTCTGGCTTCAAACTGCCATAGCGAGAGTTCTCGGTGCGGTAGGCTTTAGGCACGCTGTAGATGCCCGGCAAGGGCTTCCAGTGGGGGCCACCCCAAGGCGCCTCCACTGGGCAGAAGCGGTCAAGCCGGTGAATTGGGTGCGCCGGGGGGCTGTAGGACTCCTGAGCCAGAGTCAGGGCCCCGCGGTGCGGCACGGCTGGAGTCCCCGGGCGCACGTGGGGCAAGCGGGCCCGCGGTGGTCCGGGCGGCAGTGAGAAGCGAGAAAACTGTGTCCGCTGCGAGCCGTGGCCCTGGACCTGAGGCATCTGGAACTTCCAGTAGGTCAGCGTGTCTTTGCAGGGGTATCCGGACAGCTCCTTCCTGTGGGAGGGAGGCAGCATGGGGAGGGCTTCATCCTTGGGACCAGGCTGAGCTTCAAACCTCTGATCCAAAGGAGACCGCAGACCTGAACTTTCTGCTTTTCGAGGGAGGGACACGTTTGTAGAAGCTTTAGGAAGGGAACCCGGAGACATGGAATCTGGATTCCTGGGTCATTGAGGTACTTAAGGGCCTGGAAATTGGTGTTTTCTCATCCTTGGGAAGGAATATCTGGGGGCTCAAATACCAAAAGAAGCTCCACCCTAAGCCATCAGGACCCCGCCCCCAAATCCAAAGCCCTCTCTCGAGCTCTCTGCAGGCTTCCTAACCTACCAAGTTAAGAACACCTAGATGCTAATGGAGGTAGAGGCTAGGGTCCGAACTTCGGTTCTTGCGTGTGCAAGAGTTAAAGGTTGAGTTAGAAAAGAGGACTGGGCTCCCACAGGCATCTACGGGGATGTGCTGCAAGGTGGTGCCTAGCAAGGACGTGGGCTCACTTTGTGTAGAAGCGGAAGTCTCGGGCAGAGGTGGTCAGATAGAGCTGATTGTGGTCCAGGACTCCCTGGTCGGATATTGTGAAAGGCCGGCCAGCCAGCTCAGAGCTCTTCGTCCAGGGAATTAGGGCCTGAGGGAGATTGGGTGGGGGATGGGCAAGAAAGATGCCAAGTACCCGGTTCCAAGCCCGGGGTACAGGCTCTTCTCAACAACCCTGCTGGACCAGGCCCTACTACTGTGCCCTAGATCAGAATTCCTCCCGACCAATCCCACACCAGACTACTTTAGCTTCGCTCCTTAATTCAGAACCTTTATGAGCCCTCCTGCTCCAATCCAAACACTTCTTACTAGTCAAGGAATTTAAATCCAAACCCGCAGCCACAAAAAAGTAAAACATACCTTCCCAGTTCCACTACCAAACATTTTTGGTTCTGTTACTGGAACTCGGCAGCATTTTAGGCAACAATTCCACTTTACCTTTTCCTCGCCAGCTAAACCGAATCTCACCTCCCATCCCTACCCGGTCTCAGAATACTCTAGTCTCGTCCCCAGGGACGGAGAGCCACCTGGTCGGGTCCCACCAGCCTAAGGCTTCTATTTAGCTCTGCACCAGCCTCGCCGTCCCTACCTCCTTTAGGCTCCGCCTCAAAAGGCCCCAGCCCCGCCCCAGCCTCTGTATCCCGTTTTCGGCTCTACATCCTTTAACCACGCCGGAAAAGCAAAATTCCTTTTGGCTCAGCCCCAGGATTCCCTAGCCTGCTCCCTAACCTCAGAGCCCCTCCGACTCTGCCCCAGGGGCTCCAAACTCTGCGTGGTAGCACCAGCACGGTGCCACTACGCTACCTGGGAAGGGCCCCCGCGATGGTGGTCTGCCAGCTCCAAGGGCTGGGGCCCGACGTAGGAGACGACGCGCCGGTCCTGGCTGGGCCAACCCCTGTACTGTGCCTTGGTCTCGCTGCTGTGGTGTTTTGTGATCAAGGGGAGGCGCCAGCCTCGGTGTCTGAGCTGCACGAAGGTGACCCAGAGAACCAAGGTGAGGACAGAGGACTCCATTGCGGTCCCCAACCCTATCCTCCTATGGACTCCGGAATCCCAGAACCTTACTTTTTCTCCTAAGGTCTTAATCCCTACTGTCCGCGTGGGGTCCGCAGGCTCTGGGGCTTTGGGCTGAGCGTAGGGCCCACCCAGGCTTTTGGGCACGTGGGCCGAACCGTAGGTCGTCTCCCATCTGCTGATGACTTCGTCGAAATCCCAGATGTGTAAATGATGCCTTGCGGCGGGGGGTAGGGGCTCAGCGACCGTGGACTGAAGAGAAGGCGCAGCAAATGAGCCCAAAAGACTCAGGAGTCCGCCCTGCCCCCTGTCCCAGTTCCTTCAGCCCGTGGTTCCTTCAGCTTCCAGGTTCCCGGACCCCTTCTCTCTCAGGCCCAGGACTCCAGGACCCTCCTCCGACAGCCAGGGGTCCAAACCCCCAATCCGCTTTTCTCTCAGCACCCAGGTTTCTGTGTCATTAAGCCCGTCTATGGTCCTCTCACCTGTACAGTGGGCGGGGGAAAGGACGCGGAGGGGATAATGTGGTGGGCAACGCCACTGCTGGTTAGATGCCAATCCGGCCAGGATCCAGGCACCTCGGTTCCAGAAATGGGAGACCACGGGGGGCCATAGCGCAGGGCTAGGGTCCTACCCGCCATGGTCCCACCCCCCAGCCGGCGGCCTAGCTGGAGCTGGCTTGTTGTTGCTGTTGCCAGGTGACAGAATCCGCCCACCCTGAACCCAGCCAATGAAGGACCAGCCGGCTCCTGGATCGATGGAGACACTCGGGATAGAGACAGAGACTTTGAGAAAGGTGGACAGGGCCCCAAATAGGGGCATAGAAACAGATACCCGGGCGGGGAGGGGGGGGGGGGGGAGAGGGAGGGGGGGGGGCGGGCCGAACGAGGGTAGGGTGGCGGGGGCTGGGGTGGGGGAGAGAAGGAGATCGGAGAGTTTCGGAGGGGGAGAAGGGAGGCAGACGCCCAGAAGCAGACTCCAGAGAGGCAGGAGGAAAGAGAGACCTCTTAGCACATCAAGGAATCCTTCAGAAATACCCCCTTTCCTATAGGGTTCAAACCCTCCAGCTGCCTCCCCCTCTGCCAGGCCTGCCCACCTCGGAGTAACGAATTCCAGACCGCCCGGTCGCTCCCCTCCACCCATGTGTGCTGAAGGAGCAGCGGCGCCGCCAGCCATCCTGCCTGCCTTTGATTTGGCTGAAAACTTCCACCTGGGTATAGGAGGAGGGAGCGAAGAGCAGAGACCCCAAGAGAAATCCACAGGGAAATACTTGAGGAGGAAAAGGGGGGTGGGAAAGCATGTGCTACTAAGAGACTAGAGACACAGGAAATTAGAGAGACAGAGGGAGGTGACAAAAAAAAGAGTGGAATCAAGGAGATGTAGAAACAGAGGCAGCAAACCCTGTCCTGTCCAGGGGCCAGTCTCAGGCCATGGAGGGGGGCAGGGCTATCTAGGTCCTTAGCACAAAGCTGGACCTAATTTGTGTGTGTGTGTGTGTGTGTGTGTGTGTGTGCGCGCGCGCGCGCGTTCATGCATGTGAGTGCCTACACATGTACACAGGTGTGGGACAATGCAGTGGTAATACATGGACATTTTGAGAGTGTGGGGACTTCCCTTGTCACCTTCTCACTATAAAGAGCTATTGGTCAAGGCTTCTGCCTCCTCAGCCCCCATCATTTCATCCACCAGTTCTATCTTCAGACAGGGAAAACTGAGGCTGCCTTCTGCAGCCTGGCCCAGGGTCCATTGCCACCGCCCCCCTCCATGCCATCCAGACCTGGAAGACACTGTTGGATTTTCCTGGTCCTACTTAAAGCCTATCAGTGTCCACTGAGCCCTTATCCCAGGTGAGGGCAGGCCAACTGTCAGAGCCTACTCAAGCTAGACAACTTTAAGACATATTCCATTTCCAGTGTGGGGTAGAGGTTGGTGCAGGAAAGTGGAGCTAGAAACCTGAATCCAACTCCCCAGCCAGGGTTGAAGGATCCCGCATCATCCTGATAGTTCCTCTTATGATACAACCCTGTGTGTGCTCCCACTGTGATGGACAGCTGGCCTACTACCTCAAAACAGAATACCCTTTTTAAGCCAACATTTGCCCTCTGACCAAGAAGGAGTTCTCATTTGAAAGTATGCTCCCAGATAATTAAAAACCTTCCATAGACCATGTTTCTCAAGGTCCTCTGGCTAGTTGCTTGCATGTTCCAGTTTCTACTCAGCCACCACCCACTTCTTGACACATTCCTTCCTTGTCCCTCTCTCCAGAGTGGGTAAGGCAATGTCCTCTGAGCTTGAGAGGTCAGCAACTTAAAACCAAGGGCCTCTGGTTGGGGTTGTGGATCAGTGGTAGAGCACCTAGCACATGTGAGCCACTGGGTTCTATCCTGAGCACCACATGAAAATAAAGTTATTAAAAAAAAAAAAAAACAAGGGCCTCTGATGGTCAAATCCATGAGAACCAATCTGAGCAGTAATGTATTGGGGCTGATTAAACAGTAAGCACTCAGTAAATATTGGCTATTATTGTTATTTCCATGATTACCCTTCAAGCTCCTTCAGAAGAACTCCTATTCATCCTTTGAAACCCCATTTGCTTTAGTTGTACATCCTGCATGGATTGAGATCTTAAAATTAGAGAGCTTTGATTTTGTGATCACTTAAGTTCCCAAACTGAGGCCCTTAGAGCAGCCAGGCCATCCTTGAAGTCCCTGAGCATCCAGATCTCTTCTTTGCCTGATCAGTTCCTGGGCATGGCCCTTATGCCCGGCCATTCCGGCTGAGTAGTGTGCAGACGCAGGCAGTGTCAATTCGTATCCATCGCCAGCCCACACGTCCCTGGGCATCAGAAGTCAATGCCCGCACATAAGACTGCTTGGCCTTGCACTCGGACACCCAGTGCTTCCGGTCCACGCCCCGGCAGCTTCCTCCACCTGCACCAGGACCATCTTCCCCAGCACCATCAGCCTTGCAACGTGTCTCGAAGAAGTACTGCCGGAGGGGGCTGCCACCAGCTGCAGGCACCTCACCTAGCACCTCCACCTCTCGCCCACGTAAGTCCACAGCTGTCCGACGGTCTGTCACCCAGCCGCTCACTGCGTCACAAACAGCCAGCTCACCCCGGCGACTTGCTGGTGCCTTCTCGCTCACCCCACGCCGACTGCGGTTGGCTGGGGCACCCGCTGGCTCCCCAAAGGCCCCAGCCTCCAGTAGGAAGAGCAGAGGGGGTCCAGCAGGGGCAACCCTGGACAGGGCTACTCGGGGGGACAGAAGGTCCCACTCAGGGGCCAGAAATGGGGGCAGTGTTGAGGGTGGAGGGTGGAGCTCCACTGGGACACTGGGGAGGAAGAAGAGCAGGAGGATGGGGAGGGAGTAGGAGGGGTGGGGGAGCATCTCTCGGGCACCTGAGGACAGAGAGAGGGAGGCTGGGGTTAGAGAAGAGGTAGAGACCTCCAAGGAGTGGAAGGTGGGAACCACAGGGGGATTATATACTAGAACTGGGAAAGCCCTAGGGGGACCCTATGTTCTCAGACTTGGGTAACCCCCAACTTGTAAATTAATAATAATTATTCAATTACTTTTACTTCATAGCCAATCAAATGGGGAAATGCAGGCTCAGAGAAGTTATTGACTTGCACCAGGTCTCACAGCCAGCAATGGCAGAGGTGGGGTTTGAACTCTGAGCAACTCCACTTGGCCCTCCTGCCTCTAAAACCCCCAGGAATCTTAAGTCCTATGGCTTAGAGGACAGTCCAAAGCTTTGAAACCTGGAATTTGGAATCCTAGGGAGTCCCATTTTCAGCCCCAAATTACCACTAACTTCCCATCTCATGTCTGTCCTCATTTTTCCCGAGTATGAAACTGACCCTGGGCTGGGAGAGGCTGGTGAGGTGTGGTTATAGCTGTTTGTCTACAACATTCTGGAAGCCTGGAGAAATCTGGGAAGCAGCAGGTGTTTGCCAGACCTGTCAACACCTCCTCCACCTTGAAGCTCCGGGGTTGGGGGACCCTGTGGAGGACACAGGTGGCCCCCTCCTTCCTGACATCTCAGGAGAGGGAGGGGGCAACCACCTGGGGGAAGAAGGGGACAGACAGATTATATAGGCAGGTGGGGGAGGGGCTTGAGCCCCTGAGCACCCCCTTCCCAGACAGTGAACGCCAGGCCCCTTCCCAGAGCCCCCCTCCCTGCCCAGGTGATGGCTTCTGGCAGGATGGGAAGCAGATGGGGGAGAAGAGGGGAGGGGAGAGGCTGCAGATGAAGGAGACTGGAAAAGATTACATCTCCCCTCCTCCCATTCATCTCCCAGACAGGGCGGGGGCGGGGCTGGCCTGGCCTGGACACCCAGGTCCTGAGGGCCCACACTCAAGAAGCCCTGGGTCCCCGAGGCTGCTTCCTGGAATGTTCCCTCCTCACAGGACAGGCCAGGGCCCGCCCAAGACTTCTACTGCACATACCTGGAGTGGCTGCCTGCCCTGGCTGGGAGACGGGGAGATGGGAAGGTTGGGGTGTGAAAAAGAGCGCAGGTTGATCCAACCAGGACCGGGAGTGTGTCCCCAGCTGTCTCCACCCTCAGACTAAACGTCCTGGTCCCCAGCTGCCTCCTTCGGACCAAGGAGTCCAGGCGCCTCCTAAGCCCCAGCCTGCCACCTCCTCCAACCCCGGAGTTCTAGAGTTTAGAACCTCCGGGTACAAAAAAGTGCGAACTCCCTGTCTCTTCCCCCAGGAGATTCGGGCTGGGGACGCGGACCGAGTCGCGACTGGGGCAACCAGCTCCGCGTCTGGGACACGTTCCTCCTGCCTCAGTTTCCTCCGACAAGCCCCGCCCTCCCGGCCCCGCCCCCGCCCCTCCCTACCCGAGGGCAGGGCGACCGGGACGCCGGAATCCCGGAGGAGGAGGCGCGAGGCTCTTACCTGGGGCGCCCTCCTCTGCTCCCCGGCTGCCCCTGGCGCGGCGGCGGCTCCTCCTCCGGCTCGCTGGCTGCAGGGACGCCCGCTGGCCCGCCGGCTCCGCGCGGCTCGCGCTCGGGAGGGCCTGGGTCGGGGGCGGGGGCGGGGCGGCGCCCGACGGCGGAGGAGGGGCGGGGGATCCCGCCTTGCACGCGCGTGCCGGGACCTCGGAAGCCCGGCCTGGCTCGCGCAGCCCCCGCACCGCGGTCCCAGGAGTCGGGGGCCCAGCCCCTCCTCCCTCAGACCCGGGAGACCAGGCCCCCGCCCCCGCTCCAGACCCCGGGGTACCAACCCCAGCCCTCCTCCCTCAGACCAAGGGTCCGGGATCCCAGCCTTCCTCCCTCCGATTCGTGGGTCTAGACCCAGTTCTCCTCCCTCGGATCCAGGGTCCAGGCCTCCTCTTTCAGCCCCCCCCTCAGATCCAGAGGTCCAGGCCCCAGCCCTCCTCTCTTACACCCAGGAGATGGGCCTGAGATCCTATGCAGTCTTTTGCCAATTCAGTGTCAATCTGGGGGCAGATTCCCACCCTCTGCTCTCATCCCCACTTTCCCAGGAGCTCCCCGCCAGACATTAACCAGCTGGGCTTGGGCAGCGATAAGGCCCGACGCCTCAGAGACAGTGGATGTGGGGGGCTCTCCTACAGAGTCCTGTCTCCTGGAATTTCCTGGGTGGGGACTGGGGAGAGGGTCTTGTCCTGAGCTCAGACAAGAAAAATTCAAGGTATTAAAGGACTCGGGGACAAAAATGTTTTAAGAACAGGGTGACCTGTCTAGAGAAACTGAAATTATTCAGATGCAGAGGGGAGGAGAAGCCATAGAAATAGAGGGAAAAGGACAGAAACTAAGGGAAAGAAGCGGGCAAAGACCTAGGGCGAGGGATGGGGAACAAAGACCTGGGCAGAGAAGACAGAGGGGCAGACATCCCAACAGAAGGGGAGGGAACCCGGGGAGGGACAGGGCCTCGGAGAGAGCCCTTAAGAGATGAGGTAGGAGCTAGAGAGTCCTGGGACGGCCCTATGGGTGGCAGGGCCTGCACCCTACCACACCTCCATCCTGGGACTCTGCTCCCCTCCTCTGAGCTATTTTTAGAAAGAAAGCCGACACCTGCCTTGGGGGGGGTCATCAGGCACCCCTCCCTCAGCCTAAATATAGCATGGCAAGGTGGCAGGAAGGGTGTCCCCGGATTAGGGTGTTCCCCTCTCTGTCCCATGGCAGCCAAGGCAACACAGAGGGCGGCTCCAGTTGTTTACTGGAGGTGGGGAAAGGGCCACTTCCCAGTCTGAATGATGTCACCATTCCCGTCACCTCTCTGACCTCTTCGCACTCCCCCCATCCAGGCACAATCCACTCCCTGAGAAGAGGACGCTGTGTAATTTCCAGGCCCTGAAGGGTAACAGGGATGAGTGTTCAAAGAGGAGGAACCAGGAAACAGCCTGCCGCCCTTCTCTGGGTCTCTCTCTCCTCTCTTGGTCTCTTACTCTTCCCAGCCCTCTGCCCTCCTCTTTCTTGCCCTTGGAATTCTCTCTTCTGCTGGGATTGGTCCTCTCTCCAGGTCTCCTGAGTGTCTCTGTGATGGGTTCTGCACCCCAATACTCTGCTTTGTCTTTTGCTGTGAAGAGGGGAGTCTGCCTCCATTTCTGTCTCTGAATGTAACTTTTTATCCATTTCAAAAAGAATGACTGCCTAAAGGTATTTTTTTCAACCATTATCAAACTCTTCCTGCCATCTGTATCTTCTCACTTGTTGTATAAAAAAGTTAGTTTAGGGCCTGGGGCTGTGGCTCAGCGCTAGAGTGCTTGCCTAGAATATGCAAGGAGCTGGGTTCAATCCTCAGCACCACATAAAGATAAATAAATAAGTAAAAGGTATTGTGTCCAACTACAACTAAAAAAATATTCAAAAAAAAGGTAGTTTAATTAAATCTGGAGTTTCCAAACTGAATTTCTTTGCTATATTCTGAGTTGCTTAGATGGGCTCACAGGGAGGTGGGTCCTCAAACCAATTTCCCTCTGGTGCCTCGAAGGAAGAGTTTATTTGACTCAAAAAAGGGGTGCTAATGAAGAGCTAAAAATAATAACGGCAACACTCTGTAAACCACTGGATAGGTTTTAATAAATTAATACAATACCTTGAACAATGCCTGGCACATAGGAAGCCCTATATGTGTTAGCGATTGTAACCATCCTCCTCTTCCTCCTCTAAATGCCCTTTCATTCTGACTCTAGAAAATGTTTGGCTTTGCTACCTTGGGTAACAGCATACCTTCTGAGCCTTAGTTTCCTCATCTATAAGACATGAGACTACTGGCCTCAGGAAGTCCCTGAACACCACGGACTGTGGGAACATGTGAAGCCCAGCAGCCAGCCACAAGCACCCCCACCCTGGTGTGCTGTGTGACCTTGGGAAGCTATTGCCCTTTTGAGCCTTGGGTTCCTCTCCTGGAAAACACAGAGACATCCAGCTGTCAGACAGTCTTCCTGAGCTGCAGGAAGATGGATGATCTCTTACGATTCTGAGAACAGAGACTGGGCCTCTCTTTAGGGTCAAGAATACCAGTTTTTCTGCCTTTTGGGGGGGTGGGGAAGGAGGGGCTTTCTTTCTCAGATGCTGTGTGGTCTGTCTTCATTTCTAGTGTCTGTCCTTCTCTCTTGGGGTGTCTGACACCCCCCTCCAGGTCTCCATGCCCCATCATTGGTCTCTGTACTTCTCTCTGGGTCCCTGTCCCCTTTCCTCTGGGTCTCTATTCCCCTAAGGAGTCTTCTCTCTATGGGTCTCTGTTTCCCTCCTCTGGGTCTCTCTTTCCTTCTTTCTCTCTTTGTGTCCCACCATCTCTCTGGGTGTCTGTCTTCCCCTCCTTTTTGTTCCCTTATTATGTCTGAACAGAGTACACACAGCTTTCTCCCTGTCTGTCTTCCCTCATGGCTCTGACTTCCATGTCTCCATGCTAAACCACAAGGGAGGACAGACAGAGCTGGGGCAAGATGAACTCTATGTGGGGTAAGTGGAAAGAGCATCTCCATCTTCCTAGTTCACCTGGAGGCCCTTTTGATGAACACCTGAATCCAGGGATTCAAGACCCAGTCCCTCACCTCCAGGGAGTAACGCTGGGCCAGTGGTTCAGTCCATTGCCCAGATCCACAACACCACACTTTCTCCTGGATACATGACTCTTGCCAAATGCTGTTATCCTTAGGTCCTGGTGCTCCCACTAAGTGCAAAACCACCTAACATTGCCCTGTGGATCCCATACATATAGTCCAACTCAATCCAACAGAATTCACACAATGACCAAACTCAGCATGGCCCTGTGAGACTCCAACAGTGTTATGACCCAACTGAACCAGCCTTATTGATACAACTTGACAAAACCCTTAAAAGATGAACTCAGCCATAGGTTCCAACCCAACTTAACCCACTGTGACCTAGAAAGCTCATATTCTATTACTTGACTGTGTATTTCTACATGACTCACAAGTTCACAGAACCTAAAAAAAAACATGGTCCTAGAAGAAACACAACGCCACACAATTCTCGACATGTCTCAACTCAACAACACCATGCATGGAACACACAATGGACCTCCACAGTGCCATGGGGGACTACCTGACTTGATCCAGCACAACTCTAGGGAGCTCACAAATCCTGTGTAACGCAGTTGGACAAGACTTACTCAGACTCACCAGCCAACCCAACCCAACGTGGACCTAGGAAACACACAGCATGATATGTATTTGTATAAAAAATATACAAATATGACAAAACCTATCTCAACACTACCCCAAAAGGCCCCATGAGCTGTGTACTACTCAGCCCAACACCAGCCGTTGCCATTCTTGGCTATTTGAGGACCCACAGGAGCTACCAAACCACACAACTCAAGACCCAACAAGACTCAGCGTTCCCCACTTGTTACCTCTTAACCTAGATGTTCCTAAACCCAATCCCCTCCCGCTATTTCCCCCTCTACCCTCCCTGCTTCCCTTGGAGGAGGTGTGAGGTCCTGCAGACCTCAACTGTCCCTCACACTTCAGTGACCAGGTGTTTCCCAGGGGGCGCCCAAAGTGGAGGTGGCAGCTCAGGCACTTCTCCATCCATCAAGCCCCCATTGGCCTTGCCCTCTAGAGTGCCACAGGGCTGTGTGTCCACATGGCTGTACATCCCGGCCTCTTCACCCTCTGTCTCCCGGTGGTAAAAGTAGCTGAAGTTGGAGACAATGACTGGTACAGGCAAGGAAATGGTCAGCACACCAGCGATGGCACACAGAGAACCCACTATCTTGCCACCCACAGTGACAGGTGCCATGTCACCGTAGCCAACTGTGGTCATGGTGACCACTGCCCACCAGAAGGACTCAGGGATGCTGGTGAAATGGGAGTCCACTCGATCAACTTCAGCAAAGTAGACTGCGCTGGAAAAGAGGACCACCCCGATGAAGAGGAAGAAGATGAGGAGGCCCAGTTCACGCATGGAGGCCCGAAGTGTCTGGCCCAAGATCTGCAGGCCCTTTGAATGCCGGGACAGCTTGAAGATGCGGAAGACACGCACCAATCGGATGACCCGCAGGATGGCCAGTGACATGGCTGGTTGACCCACACCCCGCTGTCGGGCCAGCTCAGTGCCCAGTGCCACAAAGTAGGGCAGGATGGCCACAAAATCGATGAGGTTCATCACGTTCTTGAAGAAGACTGCCTTGCTCGGGCAGGCCACCAGGCGTACCAGCAGCTCAAAGGAGAACCAACAGATGCACAGCGTCTCCACCACAAAGAATGGGTCGTTGAAGGGCAAGCGGGAAGTGGTTCCTGGCACGGGGCTGGAGCCATTCAGCCGAGCGGGGAACTGCAGGAAAGAAAGGGTTCAGGAAGGGACAGGCCAGGGCTGGGACATGGGAATGGTCTTATTCATTGAATAAATATCCAATTACTTTCTATAGATTGGTCAGTGGTCACTCTCCCAAGGCCCCAAGTGACCCGATTGTCCCAACACTCCCTCCCAGGACCCAAGGGAACATCCATGGAGAGCTAATTTTCTGATCTCCTGACCCATGGGTGGCTGGAAAGGTAGTCTCTGCCGGGTCACCGAGGGCAACTCCTGACACGATGCTTGAGTAGGGTGCAACCCTTTCCTTCCAAAGTCCTCCCTCCCAGTTTTGATTTTCCAGAGCAGAGAAGGGTCCCTGTGCGCTGCCCCTTCGTGCCCTGACTTTCCTTGCCCTCCCCAACCCTAGCCCAGAAAATAAGGGCTCAAGATCTCTGTACGACCTTTTGCTCACTACCCTCAGCCTGACTTTCTCTGTGATTGATCCCTCCTCCTCTATCCTCAGTCCCGTTCTCTCTCTTCAGGCCTGGCTTGAACCCCTCCAGTCCATCATTCCCACTGCTCTCTGCATAGACCCCGAGCTTTTCATATTCCATCCTACAGCTCCGATTTTTCATGTTCCTGTCCACTTGCCCCTGCTCCAAGAGCCCTGTGCTCTGCTGGCCTGTTTCTCACTACAGCAACCGGCCTTCTGTCTGACACGGCAGGTCCTCCAACTCTGCCTTTAGTAGGAGTACAGGTCAGACTCTGTACTTGCGCGTAGCCCCTTGCCCCGCCTTCTGATTGGTCAGGTCCTTCTGAGCCCCGCCTCCCTTCCAGCCAGGCCCCGCCCCTCACCGGGCCAGCTGCGGCCACTGAAGCTAGTCCTGGGTCGTAGCGGTCATCGCGGAAATCGGGCAGCGTCTCGAGGCAGAAGACTACGATAGAGACGAGGATGACAAGCACAGACACGACGGCCAGCACGCGCGCGGCCTGTGAGCTCTCGGGGAACTCGAAGAGCAGCCAGAGCTGGCGCGCGAAGGCATGGCGGGGCAGAGGGCGCTCAGGCGGCACTGGGCAGCCCTCGTCCTCACGCAGGCGCGCCAGCGCCGCCGCGCCCAGCCCGTAGAAGGCCACCTCCTCCAGGAAGACGTCGAGCGGCACGTGCGCTGGCCTCCGCAGCCGCCCACCCGACTGGTAGTAGTAGAGTACGGCATCGAAGCTGGGCCGATGTCGGTCGAAGAAGTACTCGCGGCGCGCACCGTCGTAGAAGCGGCTGCGGCGCACCGGGTCCCCCAGCAGCGTGTCCGGGAAGCGGCCCAGCGTGCGCGCCCGCGTCTCGAAGCGCAGCCCGGCCACGTTGAGCACCACCCGCTCGCAGCAGCCGCACGGCGGCGGGCACCGCGGCTCCATGGCGCGCGTAGCCCCGGCGACCCGCGGACGGACGTGTGGCCCCGATGCCCGGCCCGGCGCGGCCCCGCCTCGGCCGCCGCCGCCGCCTCCCCAGCCCGGTGTCCGGTGTCCGGGCGTAAAAATAGCCCGGCCATCCAGCCAGGGCGCGGGGGAGGGGTCGCCGTGACCCCTGCGGGGCGGAGGGCAGCCCGGCGCCCTCTGCCGGGGCGCCCGCCTTCCCCCAGCCCCGCTGCACCGCTCTCTCCGCCGCTGTCGGCGTCCTGGGCCTCTCTTCACCCCGTCTCCCTCTCGCTGGGGAGCTGTGCTCTGCGTCTCTCGAGTCTCTGTGTGTGTCCTCTCTCTCTTCTCTTTTTCGCTCTTGGAGTCGCATATTTCTCTCTCCCTCTTCCTGTCTTTCTGTCTCTCTAAGTCTCTGGGTCTACTTGTGTCAATCGCTTTGGGTCTCTGTTGGGGATGTATCTTTGAGTATTTCTTTACGGGTCAGTTATCTCTGAGACCTGTCCCCCTGAGGACCTCTGTCTGGGGATCTCTTGTCTTTCTGGATCTCTGACTTTATTTTGATCCTTGTTTCTCGAGAGGTCCGTGTTTGTGTTTTGCCTTCCTTTGTCTCTATTCTTTCTCTGGCTCTCTTCTCACTGGTTCTTTTAGTCCTCCGTGTCTCTGTCCCTGAGTGTCTCTGGGTTTCCGCCTTTCTTTTTGAGGTCTTTTCCTTTCCCTGTATCCCTAAACGGCGCGTGTCTGTTATAGTGTCTCAGGAGGACTCGGGTCATTTCCTTGAATCTCTGACCCTTACCCTTGGTGATGCCCTGGTGGCAACTGTCCTGGTGGTTGCCCCGTCCTGGGGCCCCTTTGGCAGCTGCAAACCACAGAACATGTTCGCCCCATCCCCTCGCCAGAGTCTGCCCAGGGGTCTCCACTTGTTTTCCCTGTAAGACTTAATAAGATGCAGCGGGACCTAAGCTGTATGTAGTGCTGAATGGTGCAAAAGGAGGCGGGGAGATGCTGTAGGGTCACTCTCAGGAACCGAAGGGCAGACTGAAGATGTCCTTCCGGTCACCGGTATCCGGTGACACCGAGTAAAAATAGCCCATCAGATGGGCTTGGGGAGGTTGCTGGTGGTGGGCATCGGTTCCCCACCTCCACTGGGAAGGGGGTTCTGGGCGCCCTCTGCTGGGGGCATGGAGAGACGCACTAAGAGTTGTAACTGCCGATTTTTTTTTTTTTTTCTTCTTACCAGAAATTGAACCCAGGGAAGTTGTACCACTGATACATATCCCCAGCCCTTTTTTAATTTTTTTTTAAATTTTGAGACAAGAGCTAGCCAAGTTTCTTAGGGTCTCGCTGAGTTGCTGACCCTGGCCTTGAACTTAGGATCCTTCCACCTCAGCCTCTGGAGCTGTTGGGATTACAGGCATGCGTTGCTATGCCTGGCTCCTGTTAATTTGCTTTTTAAATTATTTTTAAGTTGTAGATGGACAGAATACTTTTATTTCTTATGTCGAACCCACAGTGCTTCACACGTGCTAGGCAAGTGCTCTACCACTGAGCCATAAACCCAGCCCTCCTGTCAATTTTTGAGGCATTCTTTTTGTTTATTTCTGGAAAGCTATGTCTCCTCTCTAGTTGTCTGTCCTCCTCCTCTGTGTGTTTGTGTGCATTTCTTTCATGGTTTATTTTTGGTTTTCTATATTGCCAGGCTGGCCTTGAACTCCTGGGATCAAGTGGCCTCCTGCCATAGCCACTCCAGTAGCTCTCCAGTTGCTGGCTTGGCTCTTTTGTGGTCTCTGCTGGCCTCTACCTGTCTGATTTGTCTCCCTTATTTCTTTGTTTTTATTTTTTCTTCCATTCTCTGACCTCCTTTTGTGGGTCTTTAAGCTCTGAGTTTCTGTGTTGGTTGCAGGACGAAACCTTTCATAAGTCAACCCAGAGCTCCTTCAGTGGCCCCAGGTCTCTTCCATGAGTCAAGGTGGCATCATGGTGGGGCCTGGTGATTCGTAGTGGCTACTCTTCCCATGGCTCTTTCATTTTCACCCAGCTTTGTACACCCTTAATCTAATCAGTCCCCCATCCTTTGCAACTTCCAAACCTTTGAAGGGACAGAAAGTCATGGACTATCAACAGCAGCATCTCCAGTAACCCCTCAGCACCTCATTCACCTTGTTGCTCTAAATGACCCCCCTCCTCCCCATAGACCCCACTTCCCTCTGGCTGCTGGGCCTGGAGGTAAGGCAGATGTCTTCCTTCTTGTGGCTTTTAGTCAACTCTACCTGACTTTGAAAATGTCAACTTTTTTGGAGCTGATGCTGTCTATGGATACATGTTCCCATCTATCTCTTTCTTTCTTTCTTTTTTTTTTTTTGGTGTGGTGCTATGAATGGAACCCAGAAACTCACTCATGCTAGACAAGTGCTTTACTACTGAGCTACATCCCCAGTCCCATCTCATCCTTTGATGAAGTCATTTCATTACCTTCTGTCCATTCCTGCTCATTCATGGACAATTTTAGATTCTGCCTACCTGTCCATCACTCCAAAATTACTGTCTTAAGCATTTCAGTATCCTCATATACATGATCCTTTAATAACCTGGCCTGGACTATATTGTAATTTCCAAAAAGGGCTTCTCAGCCAGGTGCGGTGGCACATACCTGTAATCCCAGTGGCTCAGGAGGATTGTGAGTTCAAAGCCACCCTCAGCAACAGCAAGGCACTAAACAACTCAGGAGACCCTGTCTCTAAATAAAATACAAAAACAAGGGCTGGGGATGTGGCTCAAGCGGTAGCGCGCTCGCCTGGCATGTGTGCGGCCCGGGTTCGATCCTCAGCACCACATACAAACAAAGATGTTGTGTCTGCCGAAAACTAAAAAATAAATATTAAAAATTCTCTCTCTCCTTTCTCTTTAAAAAAAAAAATACAAAAACAAGTGCTGGGGATGTGGCTCAGTGGTCGAGTGCCCCTGAGTTCAATCCCTAGTACCAAAAATTTTTTTTAAAAAAGGGCTTCTCCTGTATTTCTTGTCCCACTTGGTTGTCTGAAACTTTGCCACACCCCATCACGTAGATTCCATGTCCCGTTTTTGGTGTCAGACCACTGAAGAAGGAACATTAGGTGATTTCTGAGGTTGGGCCATAAGAGGCAATACAGCTTTCCATCTCAATCTTTCTTGGGATAGTAGTCCAGGCCAGATGAATAGGAACATAGGCTACTGGCCTTTGGCCCTGGTGGAATTTAAGGCCCACGGCCAGCACCTGGAAGCAGGTCTCTCGGCCCATCCAGGGTGCTGATGTTCCTGAACTATCGATAAACCCACCCCATCAAGCCCTACGCAGATAACAGACCTATGAGTAAAATAAGTGTTCTTTATTGTTTGCAGCCATGCAGTTTTGGGGGTGAAAATACTACAACCACCACAGTAATAGATACCCAGAATGTGGCCTCTGGGTGTTCCTATTCCAACTATTTTCCCCTCCACACTGTCTGAGCATCTTTCTTTATTTCAAAAGAAAAAACAAAACAAAACAATTTTTTTGTGCTGCTGGGAATTGAACCCAGGTCCTTGCACATGCTAGGGACATACTGTAGCATTGAACTCTACCCCAGCTCTAAAGAATGTGGGGTGGGGATGTGTCCTAGTGATAGAGCACTTGCCTATCATGTGCAAGGACCTAGGTTCCATCCCTAGTGTCATGAAAAAAGAAAAAAGGCACTTCTTTCCATCTGTCTTTAGCTCTGACCTGTGACCCCTACCAGGGCACGGTGGATCAAATCCCATCCTAGAGAATTCTCATTCTGGGGGGGCACTGGGGGAGACTGAACCAAAGTGACATACCTATCCCTCTGCATTTGTGATCCCAAACCCAAGCCTGGTAATGTTACATGTCCCTAATCCATGCACTCTCTACTCCTCCAAGATAACTATTACTCAGCTATGTTCTCTGCAAACCTCCTGCAGCACTCAGCACCTCTTCATCTCCATCCTTGAAAACATTGAAGTTGCCAGAACGCTTCATGGTCCGACAGCCTATGCTGCCAGATCCCCTGCTTTTCATTAATTGAGTGGATCATCTGGTCCCCCCAAAGTCTAAGACCAATGTCCTGCCAACACACTGGATCCTCTCTTCCTGCTCCAGCTGCACTTTCGGCTCTAGTCATTGCTTCTAATTCTTTCAGGTCTACAGCATGGGAAGGGAATAATGGTCCCCAAAGATGGCCACTTCCTAGTCCCTGGAACCTTTGACTATGTTATTTCTTATGAGAAGAGACTTTAAAGTCATGATTAAGCTGGGCGCGGTGGCACATGCCTGTAATCCCAGTGCTCAGGAGGCTGAGGCAGGAGGATCACAGTATGAGGCCAGCCTTAACAATTTAGTGAGACCATGCCTCAAATTTTTAAAGAAATTTAGCTGGGTGCAGTGGCACACACCTGTAATTCCAGCAGCTCAGGAGGCTGAAGCAGGAGAATCACAAGTTCAAAACTAAACTTGACAACTTAGCAAAGCCCTAAGAAACTTACTGAGACCCTGTCTCAGAAAATAAAAAAAGGATTTGGGATATGGCTTGGTGGTTAAGCACCCCTGGATTCAATCCCTGCGATCTCCCCCAGATGTAATTAAATTAAAGCTGTTGAGTTGGGGAAATGATCCCAGGTTATCCAAATGGCTAGGAATCTTCATGAGAAAAGCAGGGAGGTCTAATTCATAGGGGATGTGAGGAGGGATGCAGAGATCAGAAGGTGCCAGGCTGCTGGTTCGGAAGATAGTGGAAGCGCCACCAGCCAAGGAATGCAGGTGCAGAGAATTGGATTCTCCTCTGGAGCCCCTAGAAGGAATCTGTGTGGGAGGGACATTCATTTTAGATTTCTGACATCCAGAACTGAATGCTAATAAACTTTGTTTTAAGCCTCTAAGTTTGTAGTAATTGGTTACAGCAGCTAGTGGGAAGCCATTAGAGTCAGACTCTCCCATTCCTCAATATCATCTCATGTTTTAATAGCATCTTTTTTTCTTTTCACTTTGAAGTAGTTGTTCTTGCATGTCATCCTTCATCCAGCTTCCCCTAATGACAGCATCTTATGCTGAAAGGCTATATTTGTTCAAACTAAGACATTCACATTAGTATGACATTATTCCAAGTGGCAGTTTCCACTCAGGTTTCCATCTTTTCCATTCATGTCCTCTCCTCATTCCAGGGTCCAATCCAAGATTGCACTTAGTTGCCATGTCTCCTTCGTCTTCTGCAGTCTGTGGTAGTTTACTTTTTTATTGACTTTCATGACCTCAATACTTGTGTGTGTGTGTGTCTGTGTGTGTGTATGGTGCTGGGGATTGAACCCAGGGCCTTGTGCATGCAAGGTAAGCACTCCACCAATTGAGCTATGTCCCCAGCCCATGACCTCAACACTTTTAAAGAATACCAGTTATTTTGTAGACCATCCCTCAGTTTGTATTTGTCTGATTGTGAGTATGTGCGTGGTGTGTGACTCCGGGGACCTCATGCATGCTAGGCCAGTGCTCTACCACTGAGCTACATCCCAGCCCGGTCCTTAGTGCATGTCTCAGCAGCATAGACACTGAGCGCTGCCTCCTTCCTGGGGGACTGTCCTTCCTTGCCTTTCTAGACCTACTCTCCTGCCTTTCCGCCTTCAAATTCACCATCAATGTCCTTTGCTGGTTCTTCCCGCTGTAGGTAAACCCTAAATGTTGGAGGGTTCAGCCTGTGGACCCTTCCCTTCATCTTCTCTCATCTCCTATGTGACTTTATTCAGTCGCATGGCTTCAAATACCATCTGTATCCCAAAGACTCCAAAATTTAGGTTTCCTGCTCCATACTCTTCTGTGATCCCCAGACTCAAATATTCCAGTTTTCAACTCCACATTTATGTATTTAACAGTTGTCTTTAACATATCTAAACCCAGAACCCTTTCCAATCCCTAATCCCACTCTTCTCCAAGTCTTCCCTCTCTAAACCAATGGCTCCATCATCAATCACCCAGTTGCTCAGTGGACAAATCTAGGAGTAAGGGTTATTACTATTAAGGGAAGATGAGCTTCTTTTAAAAATTTTCTTTAAATCTGTTACTTTGAAATAGTTATAAGACTTACAGTGGACTTACAGCAAGAAAAGTGCAGAGTACCCTTCACCCAGTTTCCATTACTTTCAACCATCATACAATTATTTGAGCCAAGATTAATGTGTTTTAACTAAACCATGTACTTTAGTTTTTCTGATTCAGAATTCAACCCAGAATCCTATGTTGTGTTTCGGTGCCTCCTTAATCTCCTCTAGGAGATTTTTTTTTTAGATATTTATTTTTTAGTTATAGGTGGACACAATATCTTTATTTTTTATTTTATGTGGTGCTGAGAACCGAACACAGTGCCTCATGCATGTTAGACAAGCACTGTACTTCTGAGCCACAACCCCAGTCCTCCTCTAGGAGATTTAAAAAAATTTTTTTCTTAGTTGTTGATAGATCTTTATTTATTTTTAAAATTTATTTATACGTGGTGCTGAGAATCAAACCCAGTGCCTCACACATGCCAGGCAAGTGAGCTACCGCTGAGCCACAGTCCCAGCCCTCCTCTAGATTTTTAATTTCCCCTTTCTTAGGCAGGAGAGGCACTTGGGATCCAACCCAGGGCACATGCAGGCAAGCACCCTGCCACTGTGCCACACTTCTGGTCCATCCTTTTGATTTTTTTCCACATTTTTAATGGTGCATTACAGTTATACATATTGATGGGACAGCCCTGTCTTTTCTATACACTTTAATCCCATCCCTACAGACACAGAATAAGGAGCCCCTGGGACCTTCAAAGTATATAGCTAATTTGATCACTTCTTCCCACCCACTGCTAATATCTTTTTTTTTTTTTTTTTAAATCAATACTGGGAATTGAACCCAGGGACTCTATCACTGAGTCACATCCCCAGCTGTTTTTATTTTGACACAGGGTCTAGTTGCGTAGAGAGCCTCCCTAAATTGAGAAAAGGCTGCCTTTGAACTTGCAGTCCCCCTGTTTCGGCCTCCCTAGTCGTTGGGATTACAGGTATGTGCTGATGTGCCTGGATGTATTTTTTTAAAAAAATAAATCCATTGAAGCCTGGCATGGTGGTGCATGCCTGTAATCCCAGGGACTCCAGAGGCTGAGGCAGGAGGATCACAAGTTTAAAGTCAGCCTCAGCAACTTAGCGAGGCCCCAAGCAATTTACTGAGACCCTGTCTCAAAATAAAAAATAAAAAGGGCTGGGGATGTGGCTCAATGGTTAAACACTCCTGGGGTCAGTCCCTGGTACTACTACTACTACTACTACTAAAATAATAAAAGTCAAATCATTAAAGTGATCTTCTAAAGTGGGAATTATGTTATATCCTTCCTTTGGCCAAAACCCTTTCTTTCATTGCAAATAAGATGTGATCCTCCCCCACATACTGCATGATTCAGGCAATAACCAGCAATGGCTGCTACAATCCTTAGATGAGAGATAATTTGGTAACAAAATATTTTCACAAGTCAAAGTCTCACTGCTCAGACTACCAAGGGGAAAATGTACCTTTTACAAGGAGACATTAGGCAGGTGGCTCCTTGACCAGGTGACCCTTTGACCAGGTGACCAAACTCAGCATCGTAACAGTGGAATCATTTGAATTATGCATCTCCAAACATGACACAACTTGAATCCGGAGTATCATTAGCAACAGGTTCTTGCCCAAAATACTTAACTTCAATCTGTTCAAGTCTCCAGCCTCAGTTTGCGTTTTATAGGGAAAACAGGAATAGTGGAACAAACTGAAATGCCAGGAGGAAACAATCAGACAAATCCAGAATGTGGGACATTCAGCAGGAAACTGGTCTGGACTTCAGGGGGAAAAAGTCATAAAGAAAAGTATGTGTCTATTCTACTTTATATTAAAGAGACAGGACAACCAATGCAATGTGTGAACTTTTATTTTTTGCTTTTTCCTTTTGAGGCTGGGTCTAACTGTTGCCTAGGCTTACCTCAAACTCTTGATTATGTGCAGCTGTGTGGCCTCCGACTGGATCCTGATTAAAACAAGATATTCTGGAGTCAGTTGGGATATCTGAATAAGGTCTGGTAAATTTTCTTAGCAGAGAAAACTTTGAGGTTATGTAGGAGAAAGTACTCATTTTTAGGAAACATATGCTAAATGCTTGGGTGTGTGAAATGCCTCTGGAATCTACTTACAAATGGTATAGGAAAAAAATATTAAGACAGGATTACTTTGTTTATTTTCATTAAACGTTGAAAAAACTTTGGACTTCTGAGAAAGCTGCAAAAATAATAGAGTTCACATATACACACACAAGCAAAATCTGTCAAAATATGTTTTAATGCATGTTATGGGCTTTTTTCAAAATACTTAATTTTTCCCACTTTTTTTATTTTTATTTTTTTAAAGAGAGTGAGAGAGAGAATTTTTAAAAAATATTTATTTATTTTTTTTAGTTTTAGGCGGACACAACATCTTTGTTTGTAGTGCTGAGGATCGAACGCGGGCCGCACACATGCCAGGCGAGCGCGCTACCGCTTGAGCCACATCCACAGCCCTTCCTACATTTATTATCAGTGCATTATAACTTTACATAATGGTGGGATTCATTATTATATATTCATACGTGCACAAGACATAACAACACAGTTTGGCCAAAACCATTCCCCAGTATTTCCCCTTTCCTACCCCTCCTCCTTCCCCCCAGTCCCTTTCCTCTACTGATTGCCCTTCAATATTCGTAAAATCCTTTTCCTAATTCCACATATGAGAGAAAACACACAACCTTGACCTTCTGAGTTTGGCCTATTATGCTTCACAATGTTCCCACCCATTTTTTTTTTTTTTTTTTTGCATTGACTTAATTTCATAACTTTTTTTATGGCTGAATAAAACTCCATTGTGTGTGTGTGTGTGTGTGTGTGTGTGTGTGTATCACATTAAAAAAAATACATTTATCCATTGATGGACACTTAGACTGGTTCCATAGTTCAGCTATTGTGAATTGTGCTGCAATAAACATGGGTATGCAACCACATATGAGTTTTCATATTATGGTTTCTTTCATATTTCTGAAGGCATGAAATTAGTTGAATTTTGCACTAATTTCTGTAGTTAAAGGGATAATGTAATCCAAGAAACTTAAATTACAATAGTTAAATATTTACAGACCCACATGGCTGCAAGCTCTCTTATGACTAGCAATGCATGATCACGGCCCTCTGATCCCAAATCAGAGCATCTGCACTTTGCTGTTAAGCCCACCGGGATTTTCCTTGTATCCAGGCTTTTTTCAATTGTTACTTCTTCAGAAGAATTTTCCTTGATCCCTTTTTCTGAAATAGCCTCGCTCCCACTACCCATTCTCTTAACTATTTTTCTTCGTTATGCTGGCAACTGTCTGAAATTATATTTTTTAATTTAAATGCGTTTAGTGTTTCCCCCAGTACAATGTAAGCTTCAATAAGGAAGATTTTGCTTTATGACGTGGCGTGTCCACAGAGCCCACAGAGCCTAGCACACACCTGGCGGTAGACGAACAGTTCTGCCAATTAAACAGACGTCACAGCAATCGTGATATACATGAAGGGACTCTTTGCCAGGCGGCGGAGGGGTATAGCACAGTACAGCACAACGCACATGCGCAAAAGATCCGGGAAGTGTTAGAAGAACGGGGCGGAGCATCGGGAGAGTCTCGCGGATACAGACGGTTTGGAGCCCAGAACTCAAGGTGCGGCAGCGCTTGGTGCGGAGCGCGCGTGCGCATTGCGGCCCCTGCCCAGCTCGCGGCAAGTAACTTTAATGCTCCGGAAGGCAGGGTAGTGACCTTGCGCGTGCGCTGTGTCCGCGGCAGAGTCCGATCCCAGTGTGTGGTTTACACGCTACTCGAACGGCGCGTGCGCAGTGGGACGGCGGAGGGATTTGAGACCGAGACCCACCCCCCTGCTCCCGTCGCTAGCCGAGGCCGCGCGGGTTCGGAAGCAGCGGCCTGGTTCGCGCGCTGGGCGGGCGACCGAGGGAGACTGGCGCGGACGCCGCTGGAGTCGAAGCCGGAACAGGAGTCCTTGTTGCTGAGGGGTTGCCGCAGCCGCCGCGAGCCCCAGGACCAACGCCAGGTCGAGGAGGGCGCCGCGCGGCGGGTGAGTGTGACTGAGTGGCCTTAGGACTGCGGGGCCTCTACCCACAAGCCCTTGCGATGGACCCCAGTCTCCTTCCCCGCGGCCCGGCCCTTTTCCCGCGTCTCCGCTTCAGCACCTATCTGCACCACTTATCCAGAGTTCTCTGGGTACTGGAGCCCTCTTACCTCAAAGCCCGTCCCCCCACCCGCCGCGGTCCCCTACCCACAGGCCCTTGCGGTATGTTGCCTTTTTTCTTTCTTGCCTTTCTGTAGCGTCCTGGACCCTTACCCATAATTCCTTTCGCTATGGGAGCCCAGATTATTACCCACAAGCCCCCGGCTTGGGGGATTTCTCCTTACGACTCCCCTTGGTCGGAGACTTCCGACCCCAGCCCTCTGAGCCCTCTGTCCCCAAATCTCTTATGCAAGGTAGGAGACCACCGGCCGCACTGCTCAGCATCTGTCTCAAGATCCTTGAATCCCCACAAGCCTCTAGGAATTCTGAGTCCTGCAGCTCTTGGCTGAGGAGACTCAACTCTTCAGAATCTTATTCCATTCTTTCCCTTATTAGCCTTGTTTCCCGCTCCCGCCAAGGACTTGCTTTCTCATCTAGATTTACCTCCCTTCGCCCAAGTAGGATTGCTCTCTGCCCTTGCAGTTTTCCTTTTTTTTTTTTTTCCTCCTTTGGAGAGTCAGGGGGTAGTAGGGGAGCCATCCTAACCAATCTACCTTGACAGAAGTCTGTCCTGCTTCTGCTCTCAGATTTGGCAGTATGACCCAGTTCCTGCCGCCCAACCTTCTGGCCCTCTTTGCCCCCCGTGACCCTATCCCATATCTGCCACCCCTGGAGAAGCTACCACATGAAAAACACCACAATCAACCTTACTGTGGCATTGCACCATACATCCGAGAGTTTGAGGTGAGTTCACTGAGCACACTGGAGTGGTTTGGGTTCGGGGGGGCAGGGGACTAGATTGGGGAGTCCAGCTTCTGGCCATATGTAGTTGTATGTACAATTTAGAATTTAGGTAGGTGTTTTTTCTGATCTTCAGTTTCTATTGTTAATGGGGTTGATAATGCATCCCTTGTGGTGTTTTGTGAAAATCCACTAGGTAGTGGTTGGCCCATGGCATTTGTCAACCTTGTGACCTTGGGCATGAGTATCCTTTTGATAAATTGGTGTGTTTTTAGCAAGAGGGTTATAGTAATATATTCATAATATCCATGGAGAATTACATGGCAAAATTCATGTAAAAGGGCTTGGCACCAAGCAGTTATTAAATGTCATTATTTTTATTATTAATAAGACAATGTTCTTAAGAGTTACAAAGCCCTGTGTACTGGAAGCTTAAGACCATGGGCTTGGGCTTGGGCATTTCAACTCTGTACCGGTGAGGCAAATGTGAATAAACAATTTAAAGTCCTGGATCTTAGTTCTTTCATTTGAAAAATTGGGATATCCACACGTATCATTAGCACACCTGAGAAATGCTGGCACACAGCCAGAAGTCATAAGAGGAACATTCTGGCATTGGGTAGGAAAGGCAGCTTGAGGTGAATAGAGAGTTGAAAAAAAAATTAGTAGATAACAGAAAGGTGGATCTTTAGTGGGATTTACCACCCTTGGTGAACCCACATTTGGGAAATGTTATTAGCCAATTAAATGAATTTAATGGGTACATGCAGACCAGAGGCATCCTTTGATAATTCAGGTCATGTGCCATTTACTATTTAATGAATGTTTGAAGAGAGACCTTTAAGACCTGCCCTGTCCCTCAGAGAGTGTCCAGTTGTTTGCCTCAGAGCCTCCTTCTCTCAACTCCTGTTATTTCAGGCCTCATCCTGTTCTTTGGCACTTGTAAGCAAGGACCTCTCATCCCTGTTCCCATCACTTCCTCAGGCATTTTGTTCCCTGTAAATCATACTTGGAGCTGTGAGAAACAGTGTGTTCCCTAAATATGGGGTACAAAAACCTTTGGTACTTTTTTTTTTTTTTTTTTTTTGATGGTACTGGAGATTGAACCCAGGGCTGCTCTATCACTGAGCTACATTCCTAGCCTTTTTTACTTTTATATTTTAAGACAGGGTCTTAGTTGCCCAGGCTGGCCTTTAACTTGTGATCCTGCTGCTTCAGCTTCCTGAGTAGTTAAGATTACAGAAGGTTTTTTTTGTTGTTGTTGTTTTGTTTTTTTTGTATCAGAGATTGAGCTTAGGAGTGCTTAACCACTGAGCCACATCCCCAGCCCCTTTTAAAAATATCTTATTACGAGATAGGTTCTCACTAAGTTGCTAAGGATGGCATTGAACTTGTGATCCTCCTGCCTCGGCCTCCCAAGCCACTGAAGATTACAGTCATGTGACACCGCGACTGGCTGCTATAGAAGTTTTTTAAGTACTTCCAATTTCTGTACTTGTCACAGACCAGCAATGGTTTGTGGGCCTTGAGGGTTCATGGGCTATGCCACTCCCCTGACTCCACTGTAATTCAGGGACTATTGGTGTTTTGTAGAAAAGTAGGGTGTGTATGGGAGGCAACTGAGATTCACATTGCCTTGGTGAGTGCCCCTTGCCATTTCCCCCAGTTCTTCTTCCCTTGTCACCTCTCTTCTTTTCCCCAGGACCCTAGAGATGCCCCTCCTCCAACTCGTGCAGAAACCCGGGAAGAACGCATGGAGAGGAAGGTATGTGAATTTTGTCTCCTAATGTATTTTTAGCCACTTTCTCCAGATGGTCCTTGAAATCAAGGCACTTCTATCTGCACTCACTTCTCAACCTCCCCTTTCTCCTGACAGAGAAGGGAAAAGATTGAGCGGCGACAGCAGGAAGTGGAGACAGAGCTAAAAATGTGTAAGTCTCTTCTTCTTCCTCCTTTCTTCTCCCTCAAATCCCCTTAATTCTTCTCTTCCTAGGGCACATCCAAGGGCCTATTTTAGAGAAAGGGGTTGGTTTACTTATTTTGCTCACTTTCTCTCCATTTGCCAAGCACTACATTTGGTTTAGGCTTTTAAGCAGGAGAACCTAGGGCAAAGGTTAGCAGGAAGGGAGACACCTGCTACCTTGACTCCTCCTGCCAGGGAGTACATTGGAAGGGCTATCATATAGCTCTCGGAGTCTTACAAGCTGAGACAGGTGTAAATTGGTGAGTAGGTTCAGGCTCCATCGCTAGCTCCCTGACCCTTGGACTGAGTATGTTCCATTACTTCCAGGTAAGGAGGAATTGGAGTAGAGATGAGGTACCTTAAAGCCATTAACCAAACTTACAAGAGAATCAAATATCAGCCTCCACTGGCCCTTTATTGTTAAGAGTGAAGTCTTTATGGTCAGACCATGTTAGTTTTTCTTGACATGTGAGGCTTTAGTGAATCACTTCCCTCTGGACTTTATTCCTTGGAGTGGCCAGTTTCCTCAGGTGCTGAATGCCAGTGCCTGACAGAGACCATCCAGCTGGGAACTCTAGGCACTTTATGGCTGTATGGATGTCCTTTCTCAGAACCAGCAAAGACATGTTAAGAGTCAGTGTCCAAAACCAACAGGGATTTCCCCTCCCTACCAACCTAGTTTCCCTAGTTTCTGAGACATGGTTATTTAGCTTTGTAAAGTCATGAGCTTTTCTTGCTGCCACCCAGTTTGGTTTTTGTGGTGCTGGGGCTGGAACCAGGACTTTGAATATTCTAGGCAAGTGCTATACCATTGAACTACTTCCCTAGCCCTAGTTTGGTTTTGTTTCCCCCACCCTGGTATTGAGGATTGAACCCAGGGGCACTCTACCACTGAGCTACATCCCTATCCCTTTTCAATATTATTTTGAGATAGGGTCTCATGAGGTTGTGGAGGCCAGCCTCAAACTTGTGATCTTCCATCCTCAACCTCTGGAGTCACTGGAATTACAGGCACGTACTACTCTGTGCAGCCACCAGTTTGTTCTTTTTTTTAGTTTGGTTTGGTTTGGTTTGGACACGTTTTTAAATCTCTTCCCCATCGTATCACCAAAGCCAATTCCTGTTAACTTTCTAAATGTCACACATCTGGCCCTTTTCTCCATGACGAACACCACTACCACCCAGGGCTCTCCTGCTTGGACAACACAGACTACTTGGTTTGCCTTGATCTCTTCCCCCGCCTGAGTCCACTTCTGGGCTTTCTGAAGTATAGTGTAGCTCTTTTTACTAACTGCTTCCTTTTGCCCTCCACATAAGACAGTTCCTTCCCTGCCCACCCATAACTTGCTTTGTGCCAGATTGAGAATGTGGGATATCATACAGGACAGAGTTGAGGCTGTTTCGTAAATAAGGAAAAGGTGGGTCAAGGAGGGGACCATATGGATTAAAAAGTCAGAAGTTGTGCAACCAAATGATATTTGGAGCTTGTTTGAATCCCAATTTAAATGAGATAACTATTTTTTTTAAAGAGTGGGATTTATTGAAGTGAGAAGAAAAGAGACAGCTCTTGGAGGGTGAGAGAGGAGTTGCTAGGAGTTGCTCTTAAAATGTATTTTTGAAATAGTTCCAGTTAAAAATTTTTTGAAATTTGAACCATAGGTGTTAGATGAGGTTAAGGAAGAATTATCATTATCATCATCATCATCAATTATTTGGTAATGGGGATTGCATCCAGGAACACTTAACCACTGAACTATATCGCCAGCCCTTTTTATTTTTTATTTAGAAACAGGATCTTGCTAAGTTGCTGAGGCTGGCCTCTAATTTGTGATCCCCTGACTTCCGAGCTACTGGGATTATAGGTGTGTGCCACTGAACCCCCGTGGTGTTAATTTTTTAGGATGTAGTAATGGTACTGGGGTTATGTTTTTTTAGAAGTCTTTATTAGAGGCCACAATGTGGAACATAAGAGATGAATCAAGTATGGGCACATGTTGATAACTGAAACTGGTTCATAGGAGTTCATTATACATTTCTTTACTTCCCAGTGTTTGAATTTCTCCATAAGGGCGGGGGGAGAATGGTTCAAATACTGTAGTATTTCCCTGCCCCTAAGAGATTCTTTCCCTAGCTGTAAAAGCTTGGAAAAAAGTCAAAATTAACATCTTCCATTCAGTGTCATCTTGGCGACCACCCCCAACCCCCGCTCTTTTTGAACACAAAAACTTTCTGCCTCTGATATAATTTCTAGGGCCCTCCCCCCTTTTTGAAAATTTTGAGACAAGGTCTCATAGGGTAGTTCAGGCTGGCCTCATTTATAATTTTTTTATTTTTACTTTGAGACAGGGGTCTTGGTAAGTTGCTTAGAGCCTCACTAGATTGTGAAGGCTGGCCTCAAACTTTCGATCTTCCTGCCTCGGCTTCCCAGGCCTCTGGGCTTACAAGTGTGTGCCATTGTGCCTGGGTGTCACTTCCATTTTTAAGATGAAAAATGAAGATTTGTTGAGACAGAATGCCTTATAAAAGAGAGTTATAAGCCTTTTAACAAGAAGTTCATAAGGGTAGCCTAGCTGTCAGGATGGGGTGCAACTGTGTGTATACACATGGACACAGACTGGTGGATCACTGATCATAGTTCTTTGCCACCTTTATTCAAGTAATGTGTTCCTTCTTCAGATACTTGGATACAGTTGAGTTGGTGGCATGTGCTTTTACCTTTAGTTACACTCCTGGGTCCCTTGGGATAAGCAAGAACTGTAGGCAGTTCATGCAGTGTGTTGAGTTGTTTTCCCCTTTAGTCTGCTGGGCACTTCCTAGCTGCCCTGCAGGATGCTCAGCTCTTCCTTGACTTCCTCTGCCCACTGCCACCCCCAGCAATCACTCAATGGTATCTATTAGCACCATGACTGCCTAATGTCTAGAGGTACATTCCCTATTGCAGCCATGACACCTTCAGGTTTTCTGTCACATGTCACTGTCTCCTCCTTAGGCCTTTCCTAAGTTTGCACTCAAAATCTATTCTCCCCATCTCTGTCCTTATCTAATAAGATTATGTGATCCTCACATTTACCTTGTTTACTCTCCGTTAGCACACAAGTTCCCTGAGGTTGGGGGTCATTTTTGTCTTATTTACTGCTAAATCCCTAAACATATTAGGTGCTTAATAATTGCCTATTGAATGAGTGAGATAGCCAGGACAGTTCAAGAGACCTGGGCACAGAAAAGTACAACACAGAGGGATTGGATATGGCAAAAAACTTGCTAGAGTCAGGGGATACACACAAAGTTAGAGTCGTCTTTGTGAGTTTCCGTTGGTCCCCACATAGTTACTTCTGTAATTTTGGGCTCACACTGCTGGCTTTCTTTTTTGGTTGTAAATGGATATCTCTCTCTCTCTCTCTCTCTCTCTCTCTAAAGGGAAGACTCCTTCCTTACCCTCTTTTTAATTTTTATTTATTTATTTAGATGTTGATGGACCTTTGGGGCTGTGGTTGTGGCTCAGAGGTAGAGTGCTTACCTAGCATATGTGAGGCCCTGGGTTTGATCCTCAGCACCACATAAAAATAAAATAAAGATGTTGTATTCACCTCTAACTAAAAAAAAAAAAGACTACTTTTTTTTTTTAAAATGTTGATGGACCTTTATTTTATTCGTTGATTTATATGTGGTGTTGAGAATCGAACCCAGTGCCCCACACATGATAGGCAAGCACTCTACCACTGAGCCATAACCCCAGCCCTGTAAGTGGATTTTTTATTTTATTTATTTATTTACTTATTTATTTATATGCGGTGCTGAGGATCAAACCCAGGGCTTCACACATGCCAGGCAAGTGCTGTACCACTGAGCCACAACCCCAGCCTCCAACGCTGCTGGCTTTTAAGAAATTCCTTAGTTTATACTTGTAGTCGAACCATCTTATGGGAAACATACTTGAGACTTTTATATATATATATGTAGTAGTTAGACATAATATCATTCATTATTTATTTACTTTTATGTGGTGCTGAGGGTCGAACCCAGCACCTTGTATATGCCAGGCAAGCACGCTACTGCTGAGCCCAGCCCCAGCCCCCTGAGACTTTTATTTCTCTGGCTTATTGGCAACATCTAAATTATCTTCCAAGAAGCTAGCATCCCAGCGTTCAGATTGTGGGTCTGGTAGTTAGAATGCCTGGACTATGAAATCAGGCTGGGATATAAAACCTTTTGCACTCCCTTGTGTTTTTGACACTTCCCTTTTTCCATGTGTGTGTTTTATTTTGCTTCCATTGGCAAAAACAGTAAAATCTCAGAATTCAGCACTGGGCCATAGTATGTGCTCAATAGATTTTTAATATTCCTTGTCTAATATTATCCCAGAACATCACAGGCCCTCAGAGGGTAATTCTAAACCATGAAAGAAATGCCTCTACTGTGCAATGATGGAGTGGAGTGCTTTGGGATCTTGGCAGGGGTCAGGGACTATTGTGTGTGCTGGGTCCACCATATTTGATGAAAATGACTTATTTCTAGGCCTAACCTAGCAGAATCGTACATGGATGGATATATATGTGTGTATGCGTGTGTGTATACACACACACACACATATTATTTACTTATTTATTGTTTTTGGTACTGGGTATTGAACCCAGAGGTGCTAAACCATATCCCCCTTTACCTTTATTTTATTCATTTGTTTTTTAATGTGGTGCTGAGGATTGAACCCAGGGCATCACATGTGCTAGGCAAGTGCTATACCTCTGAGCCACAACCCCAGCCCTGGAATCAGCTTTTTAATAAGATTCCTAGTTCATCTCTTTGGAGAGTGTTATTCCTCAGTGGCTAGGTATGAGAATTACGTGTTTTGCAAGGCTGGAGTAGGAATCTGATCGATGTCAGGGACCTTTCACATTTGCTCCAGGTATAGGCTCTTATTCTGAGCCTTGGGATCTTTGCTTTCGCATTTTCCTGTGGACTGTAGTTTTAGTCTTTGTCCAGTAGATGGCACTGCAGCCATGGATAAGGGAGGGAAGGAGCAAGTTCAGCCCTTGAGATCAGGCGCCATCTCCAGAGAGGCCTTACTGGGCTTAGTAATTGCTCAGATCACCTTGCATCTGGAAGGGATGAGGTCCTTAGGGTATGTAGGTCTGAAATGGCACTTAAGCATGCTACACCTTGTCTGCTTAAAGTCAGTATTCCCTGTCAGCCTAAATCGTTTTATCAGTCACTCTGGTAAAGGCCACTGTGCTTCAGGAAAACCAGCACTCAAGAGAAGGCTGTTCCCAAAGTTGCCAAGTCACCAACTGTTTTCTACTAGTTGGGAGCTTCCCCAGTTTCATCTTTTTTTCCCCCCAGTTTTATCTTTGTCTCCTTGGCCTCTGCCTGTTTATCTGTATTTGTCTTGTTACCTGAGATTGTAGCTACCTGCTACTTATAGTTTCTCTCCTTTCTGCACAGGGGACCCTCACAATGATCCCAATGCTCAGGGTGATGCCTTCAAGACTCTCTTCGTGGCTAGAGTGGTGAGTCTGCAGCTCCAAAACCTCGGAACCCAAAGCTGCTGAGACCCTGGGTCTGGACAGAGGACAGAAGACTAGTCCTTAGGACTGTTCAAGGTCTTTTTGACAGCCCCTGTTTCATTTGACTTCGTCTTTCTGTATTTGTAGAACTATGACACAACAGAATCCAAGCTTCGGAGAGAGTTTGAGGTGTATGGACCCATCAAAAGAGTGAGTGGTTGGGGTTGGTGTATTTGAATTGGGGATACATGGAGGAGAGGGCAGTAGCCAGAAAGACACTCAACCCTGAGTCATTTTATAATCTTATCTCTTCTTTTTTGGTACAAGGGATTGAACCCAGGAGCTCTTTACTACTGAGCTACCTCCACAGCCCTTTTGTTTTGAGACAGGGCCTTGCTAAGTTTCTGAGGCTGGCTTCATTTATTGCATTCCTCCTGCCACCGCCTCCAAAGTTGCTAGGATTATATGTGTGCACCACTGTGCCTGACTTGGTTGGATTTTGGAATCTGCCGTCCTAAGGTTCAAATCCTAGGACTGGAACTGTATTCATTTGTAATGGGGGCAGGTCACTGAGAGGTAGTGATATAAGTGAAGAACTAGCCATCTTTGGTGACCAGCTCAAGTGCTGTTTCCTAGAAGTCATTCCTGTTGGGCTGTTGTTCTCTATTTAATTCATCCCCTATGTAGTCCTAAAGGGATCTTTCTGATGTTCAGAGATGACCCCATCTTCTCTGCTCACAATCTCGTATACCTCCCTAGCATATTGGGACAGAGATCTGGAATCTAGAGCCTGGCCTCTCAGGGCAATTACTCTGTGGTCCTGCACTATGGCTTATGTATCTCTATCCTCTTTCCATCTCCGACATAGGGTTCTTCTTGGAATGCTTCACACTCTCAGTTCTCCCTGACTTTGTACATATTGAGTTTTATGACTGCATTTGCTCTTTTCTTCCTACCTCATGTCTTAAGAGATGCTGGGGATGGAGTCCAGGGCCTCATACATGCTAGGCAAGCACTCTACCACTAAGCGTGATGCCCTGCCCTCTCTATGCCCTTCTCTTAACCCTAGAACTCTCCTTTTCTCTTGGCATTCAGAATTCCTCTGTTTTTCCAACTCTACATGGACAGTCTATATCCCAAACCCTTTTTATTTTGAGACAGGGATTGGTAAGTTGCTCAGGCTCTTCTCATACTTGTAGCCCTCTGCTTTAGCCTCCTTCTTAGCCTGGCATTGGGGGTACTTGGCCCTGGTGCCTTTCTACCTTTGCGGCCTAATCTCCTGAGGATCCTTATTATCAAAATAAGTGCCATTCTCTTTGGGGACTGTGGTGCACACCTGTAATCCCAGTTACTCTGGGGACAGGGTTTCTATTGGAAAAAATTCTGGAAACAGCCATGATGCTTGCACAACTTTGTTAATATACTGAATGCCACTGAAAAAATAGTTAAAATGAGGGGCTGGAGTTGTAGCTCAGCAGTAGAGTGCTTGCCTTGTACATGTGAGGCACTGTGTTCAATTCCCAGCACCACATATAAATAAACAAATAAAATAAAGGACCATCAACAACTAAAATAAAATTTAAGAAAGGGTAGTTAAAATGAGCCAGGTGTGGTGGTATTTGCCTGTAATCCCAGCTGCTGAGAGGCTGAGGCAGGAGAATTTTCAGTTTAACACCACCTTCAGCAACTTAGCAAGAATGCCTCAAAAACTAAATAGACTAGAGGTGTGGCTCATTGGTAGAGTCCCCCTGAGTTTAAGGCCCAGTACCACCACCAAAAAATAAAAATAAAAAAAAAAAATGTTCCATTCATCCTCATTTTACTGCATCCCCAGTCCCCTCCCAAGCTATTGCTCTTTGGAGTTACTGCTACTCTTCTTTATAAGCCAACTCCCCACTCTTGATCCCTTTTCATTGTCTAGGTTTTGGCTTAAGTGTTCTTTCTCCAGGAAACTGCATCTGTGTCACTCAGGTGTCTGTTGTGACCTTTGTTTTCATCTTTAGAGCATAAGTCACTGAAGTCACTGGAGGATCTTGAAGGACAGAGAGCCATATGTAGTGGCACAAGCCTGTAATCCCAGCAGTTTGGGAGGCTGTGGCAGGAGGATCGCAAGTTTGAGGCGAGCCTTAGCTACTTAGCAAGACTCTGTCTCAAAATAAAAAGGCCTGGGCACATAGCTCAGTGGTAAAATGCCCCTGGGTCCAATCCCTAGGACACTCACTATCCCCCACTCAAAAAAAAAAAAATAGCCGAAGGACAGAAAATCTGAGGATCTGTCTCTGGCATCCTTCAGCTTGGGCATAGAGTTATATGATGGGCAGGCTGTTGTGAGGCAGGACTAACCTACATCTTATCTGCCTTGCAGATACACATGGTCTACAGTAAGCGGTCAGGAAAGCCCAGAGGCTATGCCTTCATTGAGTATGAGCATGAGCGAGACATGCATTGTGAGTACCTCCCACTTCAGCCCTTCCCTCTGACCCTCTCTCACTTCTCTGCTGCCCCAGTCCCTTCCCTGTCGTCTGACCCCCTTTCCCTGCCACACCTGACATTAGCAATGTCTTTTCTCCTCCTCCCTCTGTTTCTGATATATCTTTTTTTTTTTTATATATATATACGTGTTTTTTAAAAAACAAAAACCAAATCCCCCACAACGTGTGTGTGTGTGAGCTCGGGGAGGTAAGTGTCACACGTTGAACCTTAGGGGCAAGGAGGGAACTGGGTGGGGGCTGGGGCCAGCTGGAGGTGGGGGGAGGGGTCGGATTTTCGGGGAGCATCTCCCCATTATTCCCCCACTGGAGTTGGGGATGACCAGGTTGAAGTGAGGACTGGCCTTTGAACCTGCCCTCTCTTCCCCCAGCAGAGCTGGGGCTGGACCACCCGACCCTCCACCTCCCCACCCCTGCCCCCAATCCTGTTCCTCAGTGGGCAGTGGGCTGGTGGTCGTGTTCAGCGTCTGCCCCCACAGCTCAAGCCCCCTTGAGGCTGCGCGGCGTCCACATGGGCAGGGATGGGTGGGTGGGGGCGGGCAGGGCTGCGGCGTGTCCAGGGGCCGCCGTATTAATTGACTGTTCTTATTGTCACTGCAGCCACCACGCAGCTGGCTTGCAGCTGATGCTTACGCTCCCCTTACAACACCTCAGTGTATGGTTGGTATAAGGGTTTGTATCATGGGTAAGATCACTCAGCACCGCACACCAGTCCAGCTTAGCCAGGCAGCACAGGAGCAGCGAGGCATCCCTCTTCCCGCCCCGGTCGCCCCCTCAGCCTCCCTGCACCCAGCCCTTTCCTTACTTGGGTGCCCTTTGCCCCTCCTGGCCCCCATCCATATGCTCTCTGATTATCTTGCTGATCCCAGGAGGGGAAGGGTGGATCTTGATGGGAAAAGCAACTGGCCTTTCCAGTCGGGCTCCACCCAACCCCCTGACTTACCTGGCTTCACAACATGAGCGAAAGGTGGCGGGAATATACTGAAGCTGGGGTGTGGTGGGGCCGGGCTCCACATGGAACCCTTCAGCCCTTCTCTCTCTATCCCCCACCATCACTTCTGTGGGGCACTCACTGTGGTGGCCCTGGAGAGTTTTTGGCTGCTAGTTTTAGGTGCTCTGTCCCCTTCCTGTCTTCCTTAACGTGGTTGAGGCCTCCCTAGAGTGCTGGCTGTGGTGCCCAGCTCCCCTCCAGGGATGGTCAGGCACTCCCCGAAGTGCATGGAATTGGGGCTTGGGGTGTGGGAGGGATCAAGAAGCAGACTGCGAAGGCTGAAGGTATGGTAGGATTTTACTCAAGACCTACCACTGTCTGGAGACATAAGAGAGGGAAAGAGAGAGAAGCCTAGATGGACACAATCACATGTTTTCTTTGCTGTTCTCCTGGGTTGGGCCTCTCTTGGGGTTTGGGATGCTGAGCCCAAGCAGGATTCCTTTGCTTGACTATGAACTTGGTCCTTTAGTTCTCTTCCCCAATACCCTTCTCTGGGTTCAGGGGCCAAGCGGCCCCTCCTTGGAGCACGGGTAGCACTCCATCTCCTGGACCCCAAAGTATGTCCCCTGAGCACCAGGCAGCCTTGGAGCTGCAGCTGCTGGTGGGAGGGCATGTGGAGTTGGAGGTGGAAGAGTCATTCCCTGTTCTGAGAAGGGAGAGCCTGTGTCTAGTTGAGTTTGACTGTTTTGGGAATTGGTGAGGGTGACAAGTATTCTAAGGCCTCCCAGCCTTCTCTTTTTTAATTCAAGGAGAATAGGCCCAGGGCTTTCCATTCCCCAGATTTTAAGTTAATTATCTGTCCATGAGGTTTCTGTGGGGTCCACCACTTTCTTCCTCGGCCTGTCTCCAGGTGGTGCAGGAGATGTGGTTTCTCCCACTGGGGGCTCCTGAGAACCCTCAGTTTTCCTCCCTGTAGCTTTAGCTGACCCCATGGTGGTGGGTGTGGGGTCTGTGCGCGTGCTCAGGTAAGCTTGGGGGCTCCAGGTAAGCGGTCCCGTGTCCCCCCCCCGGGAAGCCCGCCTCCTCGCCAGGCCCCCAGGAGTTGCCGAGCCCCCCCCCATCCCGCTCGGTTTGGACACCCGCAAGGCCGGCATCGGTAAATGGCACATTTTTCTCTTCCTCTGGTTGTTATTTGGGGGGGAGCGGGCTGGGGCGGGGCAGGGTATTGTGGTTGGTTGAGGATAGTTCCCCTAGGTCAGGGCTAGGGAGGGGGACAGGGTCTTTTTGGCCTTCCCAGTAGCCCCATGTGATGACAGACCTGGGCATTGGGCCTGCTGCCCTGTGCTTGCCCTGCCCAGAGCAGTGATGGGCCTTGTCTCCTCTCCTCTACTCCTCACCCTTCCCTGATAGGCTCAGACTTGGGCTGGATTCCCAGCACGTGTTGAGCAAGGGTGTGGAGGGGAGAGATGGGGTCGGGCTGGGTGGTGGCAGGGTCAGTCATCTCAGGTAAGGCAGGAATTTTCAGTAGCACCGCACGTCTCCCATGCCTCCCTCCATGTCCCCTTGCTGGGGGGGCCCCTCTAGGCCCCCTGGGAGTGCATAACCCGCCTTTCTGCTCCCTGCCATTTCCTGAAGATTTCTCCCACCCCCTTCTGGTTCATTTTCTGTTCTGATGTCTGTTTCCCCACACTCACCTCCTCACCCCAAAAAAAGCATTACAGAAAAAACGGTGTGAACTGGGGTATGGAGTTGCCCAGTCGGGCCTCCTGCCCCAGCATGATGTTCTAGGGTGCATGCCTGGGGTTGTGGAGGAGCCCCTCCCCCACAGCAGAGTCCAGCATTAAGTTAACCTCCAGTTTCTTTGCAGCGACTTTGGCCATCCTGGCAAGAGGGGGCTGTTCCATCATGTGGGATTGGGAAGGGACTGGGAGTCCAGGGAGATGGCAGTTGGGGAAGGACATGCACTGCATGTAGCAATGGGGGGCTAGTAAGAAGAAAGCAGGCGTTGAGATGGAGCAGGCCCCTCACCGGGTCGGGAGAGAGTTGGTCTGGCTGTCAGTTGCCTGGCTGGCTGCTGTGTGTGTGTGTGTGTGTGTGTGTGTGAGAGAGTGTGTTTGTGTCTGTGTGTGTGTCTGTGTGTGTGTGTGAGAGAGAGAGAGGTGATGGGGGTTTCTGAGGGTGGGGATGCTCCAGCGCTAGGCCCTGTCCTGACTAGAGGACCCTCTGGGGACTCCTCTCCCCTCCCCCCTTCCCACATCTGTTGCAGCCGCTTACAAACACGCAGATGGCAAGAAGATTGATGGCAGGAGAGTCCTTGTGGATGTGGAGAGGGGCCGAACTGTGAAGGGCTGGAGGCCCCGGCGGCTAGGTGAGCATATTCTGGCCCTGTGCTAAGTGGCCTGACTCTTCTCTCCCCCATTACCTTGATAACCTGTGTTTCCTGCTCACTCACCTGCTCAGCTGCCCACTTCTCCCTCCATTTCTTGCTCATCACCTGCTTCTAGTCTAGAGCAGGACATCTAGTCTCTGCCCTCAAGCCTCATACACTCAGTCCCTCCCCCATTGTCATTCACCATCTCAGTCAAGGTCAGTTTGGTGGGTAAGCTTTAGAAGTACAGTTGAGCTTCCTAATACATAAAGGGCCCTCTTAGTGCAGGATTGTAGGTGTCTATTGGAATCCCGAGTCCTGTAGTGCCAGTGGACCTCCAGAGGACCTGGGAACTAGACCTTCAGACATCAGGGACTGAGGCAGCGCAGCCCTGACACCTTACAGTTTCCTCTGGTGTGCTTGTTACTTGTGCATACTGATCTCCTCTGTGTGTCTGTGCCCTGTCCTGGCGTAGCACACATGTTCCAGTTCCCTGCTTGATACCAGTTCTGGACCAGTCTTTGTTCTCTGTTCTTTGTGGGGTGGGCCTCCGCCTGGGGTGGAGATCCTGTCATGACAGTCTGTTTGGTGCAGTTGTTAGAGAAGGTATTTTGTGCAGCTCTCCCAGGCAGTGTTAGTGCCACCATTCGTTTCTTCAGCTCTGTTGTCACTTGATGCACCTGTGCCAAGTAGGCTACACACTTGTTAGCTGAGCCTCTGACCTTCATAGCCATTTTTTTATAGTTGTAGATGGACAGATTGCCTTTGTTTTATTTGTTTATTTTTATGTGGCGCTCAAGATCAAACCCAGTGCCTCACACATGCTAAGCAGGTGCTCTGCCACTGGCTACAGCCCCAGCCCTCTCACCTTACTCTTCAGTTTTCAGGGGAGTGGATGCTTAAGGCTCTACTTCCTATTGTGGGAGAGTCTTAGAATCTGAAAATGTTTCCAAAATCTCAGAATCTTCCAGTTCATTTGGCTTTCAAACTTCCTGATGGCATTAGCCATGCATCTTGGTTCAAATATATGTAGAAATACAACCCAAAGAAAAGTTTTATATAGTAATTACGTTTTCTTTTTTTAAGAAGTTTGATTTGCACCCCTCTTTTCACTTTTTTTTTTTTTTTAATAGTTGTAGATGGACAGCATGGATTTATTTGTTTTTATGAGGTGCTAAGGATTGAACCAGTGCCTCACAAGGAAAGCACTCTGCCACCGGGCTACTGCCCCAGCCCCACTAATTATGTTTTCTACATGCAATGCACAGTAGTACTTGATTCTGCTGGGAGTTTTGTTTGGGGGGGGGGGGGGCTTGTTTTTGTTTGGTTACTGCTGTTTACAGTTTTTTTTTTTAATTAATTAATTTTGCAGTGCTAGGGATGGAACCCAGGGCCTTGTGCATACTAGGCAAGCCCTCTACTACTGAGCCACATCCCCAGTACTATTTTTTTTTTTTTTTTTTTTTTTTTGCGGGGCCACATCCCCAGTACTGTTTTATTTTTATTTTTAGTTTATTTATTTTTTTGGTGTCGGGTATTGAACCCAGGGGCACTTAACCACTAAGTGACATCCCCAGCCCTTTTTATTTTTTGTTTTGAGACAGATTCTTGCTACGTTGCTGAGGATGGCTTTGATCCTCCTGTCTCAGCCTCTCAAGTTGCTTTTTTTTAAAGATGTTTGTATCCCCTTAGATTGATGGTGTAACTCATTGCAGGGTTGTGACCTGAAAATTGAATGCACTTGTACAGCTGCTCTGTGTTCTGTGGCACTCCAGTAGCCTGGTCAGCTGCTTGCTCCCTAGTTATACCTCTCTGAATTGTCTCTTGGTGTCCAGCCAGCCTCCTCTTCCTTTTCCTATTATCTTTTTTTTTTTTTTTTTTGGTACCAAGTATTGAACTTGGGGGCACTCAACCACTGAGGCATATGTGCAGCCTTTTTAAAAATATTTTATTTAGGGGCTGGGGATGTGGCTCAAGCGGTAGTGCGCTTGCCTGGCATGTGTGCGGCCCGGGTTCGATTCTCAGCACCACATACAAACAAAGATGTTGTGTCCGCCAAAAACTAAAAAATATTAAAAAATTTTTCTCTCTCTCACTCTCTCTTTAAAAAAATAAATAAATAAAAATAAAATATTTTATTTAGGGACAGGGTCTCACTGAATTTTGTAGCTGAGGCTGGCTTTCAACTCTCTATCCTCCTGCCTCAGCCTCCCGAGCCACTGGGATTATAGGCATGTGTCACCATGCCCAGCTTCTAGTATCTTCATTAAAAGTTGTTCTGTTTGGAACTCAGTCCTGTCAAGCCATCTTCTAGGCTTGGTGGTACAGAACAGTTCTTGGTAAGGCAGGCTCTGCAGGAAAACAGGAGTGTTATCCCAGCCCTGCCCCTTTCTTGCCTTTTCACTGGGTGCAAGTGACTTGATCTGACACTGTTTCTCCATCTGAAATATGAGGCTGTCAGTCTCCTTAGGGTTGTTCATTTATCCACTCAGTAGATACAAATCACCCTTCTAGACCAGGTGTTGGTCCCTGAGCACAGCCAGGCACAATTCCTACTCTCGAGATGGAGTACAGGTAGTTATTACCTCACCGAAACAGCAACTTTGAAACTCTAGTTGAAGGACATGTTTGGACCCAGGAGAACATAGTGGAGAATATCTTAGTCTATAGGACTGGGAAGTTCTGTGAGGAAGTGATGTTTGAGCTGACCTGAAGGGCCAGTAGGAATTAGAAGAGGAGGGTGATGTCATTCCAGGGAACGAGATGCAGGTACATGAGAACATTGGCCAGAGGAGGTGGGGAGGCCGAGGAGACTGGAGGGAGACTCCTTAGAAGTGCCCCAATCCTTAGTGGAACCTGGAGGGGCAGCTCGCACAGGCTGTTCCAGCTGGTTGATGAGTTTGGACTTGAAGCAGAGGAAGCTGGTGCAGGCTTCTAAGCAGGTCACATTTTCACCTAGAAAGTCCACTGACATCAGGTCTATGGGGGGGGGGGGCTTGAAAGGAGGGGTCTTGAGAGGCCATGTAGTATGCAGTGGGCAAGGTTAGAGGCTTTGGAGTCGGATTTTTGTTCAGGGTGTTCTCACAGCCACCCCCTTTTTTGTGGGAGGGCTTCTTGGGCTGGAATTCAGGGCCTCATACATGCTAGGCAAGTACTGTACCACTGAGCAACACCCTTGGGGGTTCTACTTAGCACTTTGTGGAAGTAAAACGTGGCTGTCCTTTTGCAAGAGTACATGGAGAGGAGCAGTGTTGGCCTTGGTCCTAAGGCCACCGACCTGGGTTCTTAGTTTCCTGTCCTGTGCTCTTGGAGGCTCTTCTTTTCCTTTTTTGTCTTGCCTGTCCGGAGTGACCCTGTGTTCTCTGCCCTTCCTTCAGGAGGTGGCCTGGGTGGCACCCGAAGAGGTGGGGCTGACGTGAATATCCGGCATTCAGGCCGTGATGACACATCCCGCTATGATGAGAGGTAAGATTGGGGGACTGGTTTCCTGGGATGGGGGTCGGTCACCTGGGGAGCCCTGCCACACACCGCTGCCCACCTCATCCAGGCCCGGCCCCTCCCCGCTTCCCCACAGGGACCGAGACCGGGACCGTGAGCGGGAGCGAAGAGAGCGGAGCCGGGAGCGAGACAAGGAACGGGAACGGCGACGCTCCCGCTCTCGGGACCGGCGGAGGCGTTCGCGGAGCCGAGACAAAGATGAGCGGCGGCGCTCCAGGGAGCGGAGCAAGGACAAGGACCGGGATCGAAAACGGCGTAGCAGCCGGAGCCGGGAGCGGGCACGCCGGGAGCGCGAGCGCAAGGAGGAGCTGCGTGGTGGTGGTGGTGGCGGCGGCGGCGGCGGTGGCGGCGGTGGTGGCGGCAGTGGTGGAGGTGGCGGTGGTGGTGGAGGCGGCGGCGGTGATATGGCAGAGCCTTCTGAGGCTGGTGATGCACCTCCTGACGATGGGCCTCCTGGAGAGCTTGGCCCTGATGGCCCTGATGGCCCAGAGGAGAAAGGCCGTGATCGTGACCGGGAACGACGTCGGAGCCACCGTAGTGAGCGGGAGCGGCGCAGGGACCGGGACCGGGACCGGGACCGCGATCACAAGCGGGGGGAGCGGGGTGGTGAGAGGGGCAGGGATGAGGCTCGAGGAGGAGGGGGTGGCGGCCAGGACAACGGGCTGGAGGGTCTGGGCAATGACAGTCGAGACATGTACATGGAGTCTGAGGGTGGGGACGGGTACCTTGCTCCAGAGAACGGGTATTTGATGGAAGCAGCACCTGAGTGAAGTTTGGACATGTTCCTACCTGGCCCCTACTGTCATTCTCTCCCTTAATCTTGGTCACCTGTTTGTCCTCCAGGGGTAGGAATTTCTTTATTTGTTCTGGCCCCTTGGGTTTAAAAATAAAGTTAATTTCCTGTTGATGGTGGGCACCTTGGTTTCTTCCTAACTGACCTTAATGTCTTCCTGGAAGGTTGTCAGCTGGCTACACTTTGGTTCTAGTTTCCAGGGCTTTTGTGACCTGAAGCTGAGACTATCCCCAGGACACCAGGGTTCCCCCACTCCACCAATTCTAAGCACATATGTTCCTCTGGAGTGGTTCTATCTCTGTTTTGGTTGAGTTATAGGAGGAGACTAGGTTATTCAGAAGGAGCTGCAGTCCACCACCCTACCACCCCATGTCCTGGGTGTTAAACCCAGAGTTGCCCCACCACTGAGGTACATCCCCAGCCTTTTAAACTTCTTAAAAATTTAAGACATGGTCTCACTAAGCTGTCAAGGCGGCCTTGTACTTGTGATCCTCCTGCCTAACCCTCTCAAGTAGCTGGGATTATAGGTGTGTACCTTGTCCCACTGAAGCTGGAAGGTAAGTTGTCTGGATCTGAGAAAAGGAAAGGGGACAAAGAAATGGAAAATGACTGCAAGGAAAGTGGATAAGACATGGGAGAGCAGAAAGACTGGGCCAGAGCCAGAGTGGAGAAGGTAGAGTTCAGGATGAGCATTTGTACTACATAGTAATGAGGATTGCCAAGTAAAAACAAGACGTTTCATCAGCAATTGAGATTTTCTGCAAAAGTTTCTGGATGAAATTGAGAGTGCTGAGAAGACTTCATTTCCTTGCAGAATCCCAGACAAGTCGAAGGCTGCAATTGTGGGAGAACAAGGGTAAGAGTGGAGGCACAGTCTGTGTATAGCACATCAGCTTCTTACACATAATACTACTGCTTTTTTAAAAATATTTTTTAGTTGTAGATGGACACAATATCTTTATTTTTATGTGGTGCTGATGATTGAACCCAGGGCCTCGAACTTGCAAGGCGAGCGATCTACCGCTCAGCCACAACCCCAGCCCAAGACTACTGCTTTTTTAAGGTGCTTGGTCTTTAAGCATACAAAGTTACCCAGCATTTGAGAAATAATTGCATCAAAAGGACATGAGAGAAAAACTGGAAGAAATGATTTCAGAAGAACTCAATACCTCTTATTGGACTAGGTGTGGTGACCATACCATCATGGTCATGCCATCTACTCAGGAGATTGAGGCAAGAGAATCACAAGTTTGGGGCCAACCTGGGCAACTTAGCTAGACTATTTCAAAAAGGCAAGGGGTGCTGGGGACATAGCTAAGTTGATAAGAGTGCTTGCTGTGCATGCACAAAGGCCCTGGGTTCAGTCCCCAGCACCACCACTACCACCTCATACACAAAGGCAAGGGATGCAGCTCAGTGGTAGAGCACTTGCCTATCATGTGCAAGCAAGGCTCTGGGTTCAACCTCAGAAGTGTGTGGGTGTGCACACACAACCTTTTATTGGTGTGTTCTTATAGATGTCCCACATGGTGCAGGTAGACTTCTAGTAAAGAATAGTCCGTTTGGGACTAATGTTGCACAGATGATTTGCCCGGATAAATCAAGATGTGAAAGGCATTGGAACACAACCCATGTAGAGCAGACTTGAGAGTACTCTCTTAGGAGAAAAAGCACACAGTGATGTGCTTCCCATTAACCTTTGCATCTTGCTTGAGGGTGTTCAGCAATTTAGAATTGGGGATTAGATAATCAGAAAGCAGCAGTCTTCCAGGTGCTAAATTCCAGAGATTCAACTAGGTAGTCCATAAGCTCAAGGCAAAATTCCCAGATGGAGGCATTGAGCTCATACAGCTTACCCTTTAGGCATTTCAACTCCAGCCACTCATAGCCATTGCAAGAACCCTGGAATGTCATCAAAGTGCAGTGTAACTGGAAGGCTAAAGAAACTTCAGCAGCCATGCCGTTCTGGGGAGTCAGACTGGGATATAAGTGTCCCATCCCACCCCTGCCCAGAGAGTGGTCCTGCTTGAGATGTTCAGAGTGCCACAATATTAAAAAGACCACAACTGAAAGAATGCATATAATGAGACAGGATTTAGGGAGTTGACCTGCTTTTCTCTTTGGAGGAAGACAGCGCCTAATGTACTATTATTTGTAGTTACAATGATCAGCATCCACTCAAAAATTGCTAGCATACTTAAGTTTCAAGAAACCAGGAGGGGAAAAAACACCCAGGGTGATTCAAATGTTTGAATCAAAACAAACAGTATTTTCACAAAATAAGGAAAAGATCAGGGATCTCGAAGTTAGATGAAATTCTAAAATAGAACAATCAGAATTCAATAGATGGGCTTTGTTGATTTAGAGACTAGTTAACCTGAAATCTTATTGGTATAAACACTAGAAATCATAGGGAAGATAGACCAACCTCACCTAAGCATCTTAGCAAGACCCTATCTCAAAATGAAAAATTTAAAGGGTTAAGTGCCCCTGGTTTCAATTAAGGTACTTCACACATAGTAGGCAAGCACTGCCTACCCCTGAGCCACAACCCCAGGGGCTGGGGATATAGCTCAGTTGGTAGAGTGCTTGCCTCACATGCACAGTGCCCCAGGTTCAGTCCCCAGCATTTAAAAAAAAAACAAACCTGTCACCATAAAAATTTCATAGGAAGAGATGAGAAAGGTGATGAGAACAGAAAAACTAGGTAAATGAGTTACCAACATCTATCTATAAATCAAGAAGTATCATGTATTTGGATACACTTGTAAGTTGTTACTTTTGGAAAGGGGTAGAGTTATGAGGTGTGCAGGGGCTGGTGCCTTTCATTATCATCCTTTCTCTGTTTTAAACTTGGTTTTTAGCCCCATAAATACATTATTTTTTGTTAACAAATGAGGCACTACAAAGGAGAGCTGGCTGGCCAAGACTGCTCTTGTCCTGCCAATATGAAAAAGCCCTTTTCTGGGCCCCATATCCTAGGGCAACTAAACCAGGGGACTGGGGTGGGGATGTGTCTCAAGCGGTAGCGCTCTCGCCTGGCATGCCTGTGGCCCGGGTTCCATCCTCAGCACCACATACAAACAAAAGATGTTGTGTCCGCTGAAAACTAAAAAATAAATATTAAAATTGTCTCTTCCTCTCTCTAAAAAAAATAAATAAATAAACCAAGGGACTAGTACAACAGTCAGATTTTTCACAAGTCTTGTCCACATTTCCTATCTCATCCTTTCTAGAGCATGTAATATGTAATACAACTGACCACTCCTCATTCCTACCTCATCCTCTCTGGAGCAATATGTAATACAACTGACCACTCCTCTTTTTTTTTCTTTTTAGTACTGGGGATTGAACCCAGGGTGCTTTACCACTGAGCCACATCTCCAGCCCTTTTTTATTTTTTGAGACGGGATATTGTTAAATTGCTTATTAGAGACTCACTAAATTGCAGAGGTTGACCTCAAACTTTTGATCCTCCTGTCTCAGCCTCCTGAGCTGCTGGGATTACAGATGTTTGCCACCACACCCCACGACTCCTCTTTTTTAAAAAAAAACACTTCTCATGGTTCCTCTCAGCTGGGTTTCCTCCTACCTTCTCCACCATCCTTTGCTGTGCTGACTTTACATATTGAGAATCTGGAGGAATAATCGTAGGTCATTTTTATTGTGTATTCTCTTGCGCCTGGCATTCTTGTCCATTCCTCTAGTTTTATTTACCACCTGTGTCCAAACCCCCAAAACCACCTGCAGGCCAGACACTTCTTCTGAGCTCTAGTTCTGGATATCTGTGATTCTCTTGGACACCACAGTTCTGTTCCTCCTCCAGGCAAATGGCACCAAAGCACCTTAACACTCCCTTTTCCTACACCTCCAGATCCCCACATGGAATTCGGCCCCGAGGCTGGTGTGGACATCTTCTAGGTCTCCACTTCCATGCTTTCATCAGGTGCTAACCACTGTGCAGCTTGCCAAGACACCTCTGACCTCCCATCCAGACCATTCTCCGTGGTCTGGACCTTAAAATACAAAATCGAGTATCCCATTTTACTCTTAGAAGTTTGCATGAAGTCCCAAATCCTCTATATGCAATGTCCATAAACTGTACCCTGCCAGCTCTTTCACCACCAGTTCTGCAGCCACGTGGGCCCTAGCGTCACCTCTTGTTGAGCTTGTTGACACAAAGTCCTAGGACTCCTTGTCAAGGTACATCCTTGAGGATTTCTTTTCTCTCTTAGATGACCAACTCCCACTCTCAACTCAGTCACAGACATAAGTTGTCGACCACTCTACAGAATGGGCACCCAGTTATAACAATGGGCTTGTCGGTCCCGTCCACTATCATGTCTGTACCGTGGGTCCAGAAGATGCTGAACACGCATTTGTTTAGGGTAAGAATATGGGGAAAGGATAAGGAGGGGATAGAAAGGTGTGGTGGGCAGGACTCAGGAGATGCAGACGATTCGGCAGGCGGACCGAAGCTGCAATAGGAGGGATCAGAAAAAGAACAGACCAACCCCGCGGCGGTCCAACGTCTCAGCGCCAAGAGCCCAGCGCACGCGGGAGGCGTCTCCGCAGGGGGCGCCCGTCGCCCGGGGCGTGGCCCCACGGAGCCCCGCCTCCTCGCCGGCGACGGGGCAGGCAGGCGGCTGGCGTCTGTGGCGCCGACATGGCTGCGCTGGTGGAGCCGCTGGGGCTGGAGCGGGGTAAGCGCGCCAGGGGGCCCTGCCCACCCGACCGCCGTCTGCGCCCCTGATCTTGGCCCCGCCCGCCCCGGCCAGGCCCTCTCAATGGGCGGGCGGACCCGGCGGGGTGGGCGGGGCGGGGCGCTACGAGCTGGGCAGTCCGTGGGCGTGAGAGGGTCAGTGGGCGAGCGGCTGGTGAGGGGTGACCCCCGTACACCCGCAGCTCTGTGTGTGTTGGGGGGGAGGGTCCTGGAACCTGCCGGGCACCTGGCTGACGCAGTCGCTCACTCGCCACCCTTGACTCTGCGGGATGTCCGACTGGGCTCTGGTGCCCTTCTCCGCGCAGTCTGAGCTCGCCCTTACTCCACCTCTCGCTGCGTCTCTCGGTGGCTCCGAGTCTTGGTGTCCGACTCTCCGTGTCTCTGTGCCCCCGCCCCCGCCCGCAGACGTGTCCCGGGCCGTGGAGCTCCTCGAGCGACTCCAGCGCAGCGGGGAGCTGCCCCCGCAGAAGCTGCAGGCCCTCCAGCGAGTCCTGCAGAGCCGCTTCTGCTCCGCCATCCGTGAGGTGAGCCGCCAGGGTAGGACACAGCTTGCGGCCGCCGTCATCCTCCTCCCGTCGCGAGCCTAGGGACTACGCCTCCCGGCAGCTCCCGAGGCGACTCGCCGTGCGGTGCTCGCGCTGCAGCTCCGGGGTTCTTTGGGAGTTGTAGTTTCCTCAGGCTCTGGTTGCAGGGCGGATCCTTGGGTGGGAGATCCGGGGTCTGGACAACTCTAAGTGAGGAGGGGGCTGGTGGCTCCCTGACGCTGCTGCGTCCCCGCCCAGGTGTATGAGCAGCTCTATGACACGCTGGACATCACTGGCAGTGCTGAGATACGCGCTCATGCCACAGCCAAGGTAGGCGCCCCCGCCCGGTTGCTCTTGGCATCCCCTGACCCGCACGTCTAGCTTAGTGCCTTCTTGAGGCTAGTCCTTCCTATTTCCTCTTTCATGATTTTTGCCAAATCTATACATCATCCTTATGGCTATTTATTTATAATTTCCTTTAAATAACCGCACATTTTTTAAATTTAAATGTCCTAGCAACTAGAAATAGAAACAATATCACATGGCTGCCTAGAAGATAACCCTAAACATCTCTACAGTGGAATGTCAATAAAACATAGAAATCTTATTAAACTATAATTAGATGATGCTTCTCATTGCTTCCTGGAGGCTCTCCATTCCCTTCAGGCCTACTTTTCATATGTTAAAAAGCAAGATTGTCCAGTGCAGAGTATTTTGTAGACTTACTTCCCTGACATGCCAGAAGCATGCCCGAACTCAAAAGAACATCCTGTCGCCACCTCGTGATTTTGTGTAGAGTGATGGCAGGTTCCCTCATACTCAGGGAAAACAATCTGGCTTAAATTGCTGTCCCCAGCCTAGATCCCTGACCCTAGCACACTTGCCCACCATGGAGGGGTTACTCACTTCTGGACACTTTCTCCTAGGCCACGGTGGCTGCTTTCACAGCCAGTGAGGGCCATGCACATCCCAGAGTAGTGGAGCTGCCCAAGACAGATGAGGGCCTGGGCTTCAACATCATGGGTGGCAAAGAGCAGAACTCGCCCATCTACATTTCCCGTGTCATTCCTGGAGGAGTTGCCGATCGCCATGGAGGTCTGAAACGTGGGGACCAACTGCTGTCGGTGAATGGTGTGGTGAGTGGAGGGCTGAAGCAGGTCTGGGACCCAGCTGTAGCAGTCCCTGGTTGAAGTTCATTCAGTGCACTAGCTTAGCACTGCTTCTGGGGCCAGCCCTCTGCTGTGCAGTGCTGCAAACCCTGTGGGAAGCACCTCCAGTACTCAAGGACTCCCTTTCTAGTGATAGACATAGACCCTGACTGAAATAGTCCTGATCCACAGACATAATCATGAGGAAATCCAAAGCATTGTGAGAGCCCAGATGTGGCACCAGTCCAGTGTAGATGAGGAAAGTTTTTGCAGAAGAAGGAAAATTTGATTTGGGTGTTGAAAGATGAGTTGGAGTTCTCCAGACAAAGTGAAAGGAGTATTATAGGAAGGGACTGTGACTTTGCACTCCTTTGAGATGAAGAGAAAGGGCTTGGTCTGATGGAGGTCTGGGGCATGTAGTTAATTAAAACCTTGTGGTTAGAGTAGAAGTAAACTGGGTGATTGGGGCCTGCGAAGCTGGCATTAGCCCTAGGGGTGCTGTGGAGCCATGGGAAGGCTGAGTGTACCAGAGGGAGAGGTATAGCTTGGAGAAGGTGCGTTACACACCTTCTGGGAATCTGTGGGAGATGGATGGAGAGGGGAGGCTAGGTTGAGTCCAGAGGGGAGAAGACAAGACCTGAGCTACGACCAAGGCTGTGAGTATCGAGAAGGAGGGTATTAGTGGCCTCTGGGAGGGAGATGACAAGATGGCCTGGCTCAGTGCCTTGGGGCATGAGAGTGTCCTTGGCATGGGGAATCTGGACAGTTTTAGGGAGAATGCTGAGCCAAAAGTCAATGACTCTCCTACAAGGAGGATAGGAATTCATGGCATCTAGGCCAGGCACCGGCTTTACCAGCATTCATCCAGTTTCCTGGGCCAGGGCTGGGCAAGGGTAGCAGGCCCAGGCCCAGCTGTCTTGTGTGGTCCTGCCCTGCAGAGTGTTGAGGGTGAGCAGCATGAGAAGGCAGTGGAGTTACTGAAGGCGGCCCAGGGCTCGGTGAAGCTGGTGGTGCGTTACACACCTCGAGTGCTGGAAGAAATGGAGGCCCGTTTTGAGAAGATGCGCTCTGCACGCAGGCGCCAGCAGCACCAGAGCTACTCGTGAGCCCCTGGTCACCACGCCCCTGGGGCTTCCATTGCTTCCCCTTAACCCCAGATTCTCAAACCAGGCCAGTGATTCCTAGGACCTTGATGGCCTCCCCCAGCCCTGGCTCCTCTCCTTGGGCATGCTGATCTTACCCCCTGGCTCACTCCCACTTGGGACCCTTGTGAATTAATTCCCGGGACTCTCTAGCTCCCTCTCATCCCCACCTACTCCTGGAATTCCTCAACCCCTACTTGGGCCCTTCCCTCAGAAACCCCAGTCCTAGCTTTCTTATGCTCCCCCAGGGTTCCTTCCCTGAGCCTGGCTCCCCTCTCTTCACCCTCCTCACAGGTCCTTGGAATCTCGAGGCTGAAATCAGAGATCTGGATCTTCACCCTCACCCTCTCCCCCTGTACAGTATTTATTGTCACTGGCTCCTTATTTAAAGATGTTTGACCCTCATTGAGTGTCCGTGTTTCTGTCCTGCAGCCTGGGGGTAGACTGTCTTGAGGTGTGGGGGAGAGAGAAGAGCTGAGGTGGAGATTAAGCCCTGATGAAGCCAGAATCTGGTCTGAGACGCTGGTAGAGACCTCTCCCTAGGTCTGAAGGCGGAAGCTAGGCCGGCTTCCGAGGGTCAAATCGGAGGGCAGAGGCTGGGTCTGAATGAGCGGGCCGAACTGAAGACAATGCGCCCTACCCCAAGGAGGGTCGGAGGGCGAGAGCCAAGCGCCTTCCTCAGTAACCGGTCTGACCAAGAAGTCAAGAAACGCAGCTGGAGCCAGTGGGCGGCCTCTGTGTGGGCGGGGCGGGGCGAACCATTAGCCTCGTCCGCCAGGGGAGCCCCGCAGGCCGCACTATCGTCTGCGTGAGAGCTGGGGGGGCCTGGTGTAGTTTCCCAAGGCCGGCGCAGGGGTGCGGAATAAGGTGCACTCATCCGTCGGGCACTCAACCCACCTTCCAACCAAATCCCGTCTTTCTGGAAACCGCCCTTGCCTTAAAATACAACCTTTACCCCCATCCCACTGCCCGTCCAGCCCTTGTGTCCCGTGCGGCGCTAGGGCCGGCGCGCGCCACCGCCAGGATCCAGGGTCCCGACTCGCGTTCCACGCCGCGCGCTACTCGCTCCAGGTGACATCATCCCCCAGCCGGGCTCCGCCTCCCGCCCCAGCCGCCGCACGCCGAGCGCCTATTGGCCGAGTCACCTTAAGCCCCGCCTCCTGCTCTCCGCCCGCGCGACCCCTCCCTGCCCGTACGAAGGCGGGGTCTAGACGCCGGCCGGCGGCGACGGTGCCTCTCATTGGTCACTCAGTGCCGTCTGTCAGTCTCCTGTTAAAGGGGCCAAGACCGCCTGAGAGCTGTGGGGGGGGGGGGGGGGGAGGGGAAATTTTTTTGGGGGGGAAGGTGGTATTTGGGGGGCGCTGGTAGGCACCCCTGGATCTGGCAGCTGCGGCCTCTCGGGGGGAGGCTGAACGGTGACAGGGACAGGGGGCTATTTTAAGGGGTAGAGGGCTGTGAGACTGAGAGGGAGGGGGTCCCCAGCGCCCAAGCCCAAGCAAGAGACGCTGAGCCCGCGCGAGCCGCGGAGACAGGGCTCCGGAGCTACAGATCCGGGCCCCGGCCGCCGCCAGGGGCCCCGCCCGGTCCCCCCACCCCACCCCACGTCCCTCCTGCAGCCCAGCTCCGCCCGCAGCCGCCGCGGACCAGGTAGGTAAGAGCCCGGCCCAGCCCGCCTGGCAGCGCCCACCCTGGGGACCCTTCGGCGAGACTCCTCTGCTTCCCCGAGATCCTGGATTTCCTTCCAGGTCCCCGGGGACCCCAAACCCAGATTTTACAACCCAACACAGGAGACTCAGGCGTGCCCCTTCCTGGCTCCCAGAGTCCCCAACGGAACCCTAGACTCCCAGGCGTGCTGCCTCCTTGAGCCTCCTCCAGGGCCCAGGAGCCTGGATTTGCCAGTTCAGCCCAGGTACCCCTCCTGAACCTGGGTCGCTCTCCTTGGCCCAGTCCCGGGAGCTCCAGACACCGGCCGCGGCTGTTTCAGACTCCCCCAGTTACGGCCGGCCGCTCCCCCGTCGCATCGACTTAGTCCCCCTTCGCGCACCGGTGTGCGGGTCTCCAGCCTCTGGCTTGAACAGCCGGCCGCGTCTCTCCGTCCAGGCCGGCTCGCCCGCCGCCCTGGACACAGGCCCGCTCTGGAGCTGTCCATGGTCAGCGCGCTTGGCAGCCTTGCTTCCCCCACCTCAAGCCGGCGCTGTCAGGGAGGGGGCGCCGCAAGGCGGAGCGGGGATACCCCCAGCTGTGCCTTTGACCCGGGGATACCCAGGCCCTCCCGGACCTGGGCCGCAGGATTCCGCTGGCCAGGCATTCAGGCCCCATCCTCAGCGCCCCAGATTTCTGGGACTCCAGCTGCTATCCAAGGAACCAGGGCTCTGTTCACCTTAGAGACCTTAGCACTTGGGCATCCAGCTCCCACCAGGTTCTGGAAGCTGTCATTCCTCTGCCGGACCCGGCTGATAACCCTCACCCTGTCAGGACCTAGGAATCCAGTTTCCCAGCTTTTGCCCAACACCCCCTCCCCTTAGCACCTAGTTTAACATGCCCCTCAGACAGTATTACTGAGACTTCTGGTACCCTCAGGGACTCAGGCGCCATGACTCTCTTCCTTTCAAGGGTCTGGAATGCAATCTCTATGTGATTCCTTGGCTTCTTTTCACCTGTCCCCTTGGACACCTAGGTGTCTTGTCCTGGGTCCAGCATCCCCTTAAGATCTAGGAATTTAGACCGCAGCCTCAGTACTGCCTGTCTGCCCCAGCCCAAGAGGTACTTGGGTTCCAAGTTTCTAAGCCCCTGTCCTTAACATCCACATGGATTCAGGATTCCAGGTCCCCACCTCAGTTCCACCTTGGTATCTAATTTCTTAGTTCTCACTTTAAGGGGTCTAGGTAGGTGCTCATAATTTCATGACTCCCTTCAATTTCACATCTCCTATGGCCTTGACAAACCCCTGCCTTATCCCCATATCATCTCAGAGCTAGGCTTTTGGAATCTCCTCTGTCTTCTGTGCCCTAAATCCTGGATTGAGACATTGCCAGTACTACATTGCCTCCTTAGCCCCATATCATGATGCCCCATTCTTTACACACTCAAGAGGACAATGAGCCAAACATGCATCCCTTTCCCCCAGACATGTTCTGCGGTCCAGGCTCATTAGGCAATCTAGAACCTGCCATCTCCCATATTTCCAATTGCACATGTGCCCTTGCATTGTTCCATATTCTACATTCTTTCTATGTGCTACAACATTTCCAGTTAATATCTCTGTTCTATCTTCACCCAAGGGATGATCTAAGTTCTAGACCAGATGCTAAATTCTGGGCATACCTTTTTTTGTTGTTGTTTTTTTCATTTGTCTTTTCAAACACCTAGATAATGTCCACAAACTAAATTCTGATCTCACCATCTCCTCAGACATATTCCACATTTCTAGCAAACAGTCCTTAGTGTCTGCTAAATTTTCATTTTAGGTGTGTTCTAGGTTCCAGCCACATCCTTGGCATTGTTCTAGATTCCATTCTCCTCCCAGGGACATTCTAAGTTCCAGAACGTGTGTATTAAATTACCTGCTCTGGCCTTCCTCCAATTTGTGTTCTCAATTCTAGAATGCATTTTTCTGTTTTAGGTTCCATCTAATTTCACAATCTTAAATCTAGAAGATTCCCAATGAGCTGGGCATGGTGGTGCACACCTGTAATCTTAGCTACTCAGGAGGCTGAGGCAGGAAGATCACGAGTTCAAAGCCAGACTCAGCAAAAGAGAGGTGCAAAGCAACTCAGTGAGACCTTGTCTCCAAACAAAATACAAAAATGGGCTGGGCATGAGGCTCAGTGGTTGAGTGCCCCAGAGCTCAATCCCCGGTACCTCCTCGCCCCACCCCCACCCCCACCCCCGCAAAAAAAATATTCCCAATGAAGTGTTCTATATTACATTTTCTTTCCTCAGGTTCTAGTTTCTAGGCCCATTCATTTCAACTTTCTGTGTCTTTTCCCCTAGTGTGGCCTTAGGGTAGAACTTGTTCCATAGTGGATTGTGGGCTTTCTCCTCCATCTGCCACGTTGGCATTCCAAGCATGTTCTAGGCTTTCTCTTCTTCTGGAGTCTTATGCTTAGAAATGTTCTCATTTCTAGAACATCCTCCTCCTTTGCCAGTTCAGTCTTTATTTTTAAATTATTTATTTATTTGTTTATTTGCTTGCTTATTTATTTATTTATTTATTTTGGGTACTGGGGAGTGAAATCAAGGTTACATTACACTGGAGTTACATCCCCCAACTCTTTTTTTTAAATACTTATTTTTTACTTATAGGTGGACACAGTGTCTTTATTTTACTTTATGTGGTGCTGAGGATCGAACCCAGTGCCTCACACATGCTAGGCGAGTGCTCTACCTCTGAGCCACAACCCCAGCCCATCCTCAACTCTTTTTATTATTATTATTTTTGAAACAGGGTCTTACTAAATTCCAAATTTCTAAGTTGGTGAGCTTGGCCTGGAATTTGTGATCCTCTTGCTTCAGCCTCCTGAGTAGCTGGGATTACATGCATACACTATCATGCCCAGCTCCCAGGAAATTCTTAATTCTCAGCATCCATCCTTCTGCATTTTCCCCAAGATACTTCCAAGATTCAGGCAAACTCCTTGCTACTTTTCATGTTTTTCTTCATCTGCAGTTCATGCTCTGCATTCTAGAGCTTCTCATTTTAGCACTATCTAGACATGATCAAACCAAGAATGTGACCGGCTGCTGTATTCCATTTTAATACCTTCATCCCTAGTAAGTTCTGAGTTCTAGTCACACCTTCTGACTAGACTCATTATGTATTACATTAGATATGTTCCTGGGTATCCTTATGCTCCTCTCTGTGTTTGGGGTCCTGGGATAACCAAGAAACTCTAAGTTATTGAGCTGCTTTTGGTTGATTCCAAGATCTAGGCCTCAGTTCGAGAATATGACCCTCTACTTAGCCCAATGTGTGCATTTTTTATTTTTATTTTTTATTTAGTGCTGAGTTGGAATCCATGGCCTTGCACAATGCTCTACTGCTGAGCTAAAATCCCAACCAACCCCCAACGTGGTAAGCGTGGAAGCATGTGTCTTTTTTGCATTCTGTATTGTTTTCTTGCCACTGGATTTCTAGATCCTACCCCAACCCTGCTGTGATTTGTCTTCTCAGTGAATCTGAGGTACTAGAGTGGCCTCCCTAAAATATCGGCGGTCGCATCCTCTGAGCAGGTTGTGGGTTTAAGATATCATGTTGGCTTCTGGCCTAAGGCTGGCCTGATGCCTTATGAATGTTTTTCTGAATCTGGCCTCTGAGTGCTGGAATTCAGGGGTCTGGATTTTGGGATGCACCACTTCAAAAATCCAAGGGTGCAGGCACCCAGCTGTCTCCTCTTCCAGGTCTCAGAGCTTCTAGGCCCACTCCTCTCCTCATGGGAGGAGGCCCCAGTTCTAGACTTTGGGTACAGTCCGCATATTGGGCGGGGTTGAGAATTATCCACTCTCAGAACCGGTTATGCCGCTGCCCGTAGGGGGGAAGGAAAGGAAGGAACCCAGTGAAAGTCCCTCCTGCTTTCGGCTCGGCCAGCCGGACCTGTCGGACCTGAAGCGTGTGAGGGAGCGGCTAGAGCTGGCTCGGTGGGGCCTCACTGAGCCTCTGCCTCTCCACTGGCTCCAGTAACCGAAGCCCCGCCTTCCAGCCTCAGAAACCCCGCCCACCCCTCCTCCCGCAGCCTTGGCTAACGCCCCACGAGGGCCGGGCTGGCGGCTGGGGGACAGTTCTAGGCTGTGGGTGGACCCTGGAGAAGGAGCGGTACACTTGGATTCCCATGGTCTAGGAGAGGAGGGATCTGAAGGCTGTGATTTCTGGTTCTAAGGGAGGAGGCTGAAAACCTCCGGGAAAGAAGGGAGGTGTGGTCTCTGACTCCGAGGATTGGGGAGGAGGGGGCTGGAGGCTCAGGCTTTTTGGTCTAGGAGAGGAAGGGACTGGTGGTGCCTAGACTCCTGTGACCTGAGGCAGCAGGGAGTTAGATCTTGGACTCCCGGATTGTGAAGAGAGAGATGACTAGCACAGTCTTGGTCCCCGCCATGCTTTGCTTTTTGCCCTTCTCTCTCTCTCTCTCTCTCTCTCTCTCTCTCTCTCCCTCCCTTTCTTTTCTTCTTTCCTGTACCCAGGATGGGACTGAATCCGGGAGCACTACACCCCTAGCCTCCTCCCCTTTTTGAGGCAAGGTCTTGCTAAATTGTGGGGGCTACCTTCAAACTTGGGATCCTTCTGTCCTAGCCTCCCAAGTCACTGAGATTATAGGCGAGCACCTTTGCTACCCGCTGCACTCCTCTGCTCTTCATTTTCATTTTATTTTAGTTGTTTACTTTAAAAACTTTTATTTTTTTTTGGGGGGGGGACAGTGCTGAGGATGGAACTCAGGGCTTCACACATGCTAGGCAAGAGCCTTACCCTACCATTGAACTACACCACTGGCTGCACGATTTATTTATTTATTTATTTATTTAAGCCAGGCGCGGTGACCCACAGCTGTAATACCAGCAGCTCAGGAGGCTGAGACAGGATTGTGAGTGCAAAGCGAGCCTCAGCAATTTAGTGAAGGTCCTAAGCAACTTAATCAGACCCTGTCTCTAAATAAAATTTAAAACAGCGACAACAATAACAAAAGGCTGGGGATGTGGCTCAGTGGTTAAGCACCCCCTGGGTTCGAATCCCTGGTACAAAACAAGCACCGAGGGGGATTTAGATGTCTGGGAAATTGAAGGAGGGCAGCAGTTGGGCTGGATAGTAGTTGAGGACCACCTCTGAGACAGTATATAGGTGGTCACATCCTAGTGATCTGTGTCTCCATTCCTGTGGCTTTCTGAAGGCATGGTTTTGGCTTGGCCTTAGTTTCCTTGCCTATGCAGAAGATTGAGGATTCTCTCGGCAGAGTCAGAATAGGTAGAAATTGATTTTTCCACATTAATTTAGGTAATCCCTGGGTCACCTAGCTTCAGTTCTTCTGAGCGGGTCAGGCCTAGGTTTGCTGTCAGTGCCTGGAAGAGGCTGACCTGTTTCCCTAAATGCTCTCACCGGGTAGCCAGGACTGTTTTCCTAAAAGTAATGGCTTTCAGTTTATCCTGTGCCATGATTACAATGGCCTCAGTTCCTCTGGCAGCACCTGGTGGTCAATCCTTAAGTTCTCTGGGTGACTGTCAGGTGGTGGTGCCTTAGTTTCCTTGTGTCATGTGTCTGGGCTTTGGTCTCTCCTGTGCAGAGCCTGGACGGCCCCACCTGTTTCTCTCATGTAGTATCCGAGTGGCTGTGCCTCAGTTCTCTGCTGGTGCCTAGACAAGGGTGGTTTCTGTTCCCTAACCCCTCTCTGCACCCGCAGGCTGGCACCGCCGCCATGATGTGCGAGGTGATGCCCACCATCAGCGAGGATGGCCGGCGGGGCTCGGCGCTGGGCCCGGACGAGGCAGGCGGGGAGCTGGAGCGCCTCATGGTCACGATGCTCACGGAGCGCGAGCGCCTGCTGGAGACGTTGCGCGAGGCGCAAGACGGACTGGCTACGGCGCAGCTGCGGCTGCGTGAGCTCGGCCACGAGAAGGACTCGCTGCAACGCCAGCTCAGCATCGCTCTTCCCCAGGTCTGGGCGGGGCCGGGGCGGGGCCTGCAGAGGAGAAGGGTGGTCTGGAAGGGGCGTGGCTTTGCATTTGGAAAGGAGGAGTCCGGGCGAGGCTTCCTTTGGTGGGCGGGGTCTGAATAGCAAGAAGGGGCTGGACTTATTCGGGAGGGGCGGAGCCTTCAAACTCCTAGGGAAGGAGGGAGATAGAAAAGGATTGATCCTTTGTCCGGATTCTGCCCACGTCTGGACAGGAGTTTGCGGCTCTGACCAAGGAGCTGAACTTATGCCGAGAGCAGCTGCTAGAGAGGGAAGAAGAGATTGCGGAACTGAAGGCGGAGCGGAACAACACTCGGGTGAGGGGTGTTAAGGGCTGGGCCTGAGTTCGGTGGATGACCCCTCTTGGTGTTTCTGCCCCCCCTTTTTCTCCTTATCTCATTTTCTTGTCTTCTTTTCTTCTTTGCTCCCACTTCCTGGATGACCTCCTCCTCTGGTCCCACTCCTTCCTCCTGTCCCCTCTCTGATCTCCATACCCTTCTCTTTTCTTGCACCATCCTTTCCTTGACTCTACTTCTGCTGTCCTTCTCTTTTCCTGACCTGCCTCTCACAGTTCCCTTGGCTATCTCTCTTCTTCCGTATGTCCTTCATACTGTCACCTCCTTTCTCGATCCTACCCCCTTTCCCTTGTTTTTTAAACTTGACTTGTTATTCTACCCCCTCTAGCTCCTCCTGGAACACCTGGAGTGCCTGGTGTCCAGGCACGAGAGGTCACTGCGCATGACTGTGGTGAAGCGCCAGGCCCAGTCCCCAGGTGGGGTCTCCTCGGAGGTGGAGGTGCTCAAAGCTCTAAAATCCCTCTTCGAGCACCACAAGGCCCTGGATGAGAAGGTATGAGAATTGGAAGAGACAGGATGAAGAAGAGAAAATCGTGGTTGACAGGAGCTGTCCTGAGTGGGACATATTCGGCTGTGATTGGTTAGGGATGTCCTAAGTGGGAAGAATGTTTACTGTGATTGATCGGGACAGGCTATGCAGGCTGGGATCCGCCTGGTTGATCGTAGAAAAATGAAATGAGGTGGGGGCTACGCCTGGGAAAGGATGCCTGATACTGGGAAAGGTACACCTGGTTGGAGGAGATGTACATCCATTAAGAGAGATGAATCCTTATGTTACCTTATCAGATCTGTCGCGGGGATGTTCTGGGACAGTTGACAGGTCTCCATCTCACTCCTGTCCTGCCCCTATTCCCAGGTCCGGGAGAGACTGCGGATGGCACTGGAGCGAGTGGCAGTACTAGAGGAAGAGCTGGAGCTGAGCAATCAGGAGGTGGGGGCGTGGCCAAGAAGGGGAGGTTGACTGGAACTAAGGAAGTACCAGTGGGCGGAGCTAATTGGGCGTTTACAAAGGGGTTGGACAATGAAAAAACAAAACAAATCAAACAAACAAAAAACAGTGGGGCTTTTAAGAAGGAACTCATCCTGCAGGGCTGAGGTGAGAACCTCCCAGTGAGGGTGAGACTAAGATGAGAACCAAAGGCTGGGTCTTTGGCTGGATTAAGGAGAAAATGGAGCTAAAGTGGAAAAAAAAATTAAGATGGGAAATAAAGCTGGGGTTCCAAGAGCCCTTTGTGTTGATTCCCCTTTCACTCTTCCAGACTCTGAGCCTTCGAGAGCAGCTCTCCAGGCGGCGGTCAGGCCTGGAAGAGCCAGGCAAGGATGGAGATGGACAGGTGAGAAGAGGAAGTCTCCTTTCTGTGACTTCCACTCAACCCCCTGACATTGTTATGGTCATCTTGATGGTTGTACGATCCTCACTTACCCTGGGACATCTGAACCTCCAAGACCTTTACTGGCTGTTGTCCTCACCTAGCTAACTTCTGTGAACCTCCATGACCCCTGTGGACTACCACCCGCATGATCCTTACTGATCTTTGATTGCCCCTCACACACACCTCAGCCGATCAACTTTTTCTTTGCATTCCCTGTTTTTTTGCTTTCCCCACTCTGAGATCTGTCCCTTCCTCTCTCACTCCAGACCCTTGCCAATGGCCTGGGTCCTGGCGGGGACACCACCCGCCGCACAGCAGAGCTGGAGGAGGCCCTGGAGCGGCAGCGAGCAGAGGTGTGCCAGCTGAGGGAGCGCCTAGCGGTGTTGTGTCGTCAGATGAGCCAGCTGGAGGAGGAGCTGGGCACCGCTCACCGTGAGCTGGGTAAGGCGGAGGAAGCCAACTCCAAGCTGCAGCGGGACCTCAAGGAGGTAAGGTGGGAGCCCCTAGTGAGGGGCCTCCGTGCCCCCAGCCTTCTCCCTCCCCCTTTGTCCAAATTTCCTAAGCTCATGACTAGTGGCACCTGGATTCACTCCCCAGCTTGTACGGTCTCTCCACCTGTGTGAGCTTCAGTTTCCTCGCCTGTAATATGGGACTTATGACCCTTATCAGAAGGTTAGCATGTGCCACTCAGTAATTGGTCCTCATTATTGTATTACAATGGTGACATTCTCGTATGCCTCTAAATTGAATGTTTTGTTGGCATTTTGCACTTCCTGGCTTAGTCTCCTTGACCCTAATTCTCATGCCCAGGGATCTGTTGGGAAATGAGGGATCTGAATTCTCAAAGGCAGTGGATGAGAAGGAGAGTGAGCATTTTATTTCTCGCCATCCACTAGGGCCTTCATCTGGGAATGTAAGCCTGGACAACTGCAGGGCTGGTTTAGGTGGGGGCTGTGAGGAAGTGTGATCCCACCATAAGGGCTCCCAGACCTTCATTTTCCCCCAGAATCTGTAGCCTATCTTCTATGCTTGTGCTATCATGGTGGCTCCTGGGAGGTGTTGCTTTCCAGATACAAGGGAATTTTGTTTCCCATGAAACACTGAGGGACTTCCTCTGTGATTCAAAGCCTGTTCTGTGTCAGAAGTTGTTGAGAAAACTAAGGCTTGGATTTTGAGAAGGGTGGCTTGATTCAAAACTTCACATCCCATGAACTTTCAGTCACCTTTACCGGAGGGTCTAAGCCAGAACTATCTTAGAAAGTGGGAGGTGTGAACACAGTGGTGCTCGCCTGTAATCCCAGTGGCTTGGGAGCCCGAGGCAGGACGATTGCAAGTTCAAAGCCAGCCTCAGCAAATTAGCGAGGCCCTGTCTGAAATTAAAAAAATAAAAAAGGGCTGGGGATGTGACTCAGTGGTTAAGTGCTCCTGGGTTCAATCCAGGAAGGAAGGAAGGGAGGGAGGGAGGGAGGGAGGGAGGGAGGAAGGCAGGCAGGCAAAACTGGGAGGTGTGGCACCCACATTCTGAAGCCCAGGGGACTCCATTTCCCAGTATACCTTAGGGTACCTTGCCCTAGATTTTAAGCCTAGGCTGCCCCGGGTGCTTCTGGGAGCTGTAGTAGTCCAGGGCCTTTTTGCCCTCTGCAGGCGCTGGCTCAGCGGGAGGATATGGAGGAGCGGATCACAACCCTGGAGAAGCGTTACCTGAGCGCCCAGCGCGAGGCCACGTCTCTGCACGATGCCAACGACAAGCTGGAAAATGAGTTGGCCAGCAAGGAGTCGTTGTACCGGCAGGTGGGGGAACACCCTGCGGGGGACGGCTGGAAAAGGGCTGTGGACCCTGTGCTCTAGCCCGTCTTTCTCCTTCCTCTCCTTCCCCCAGAGTGAAGAGAAGAGCCGTCAGCTGGCTGAGTGGCTGGACGATGCTAAACAGAAGCTGCAGCAGACGCTGCAGAAGGCAGAGACCTTGCCCGAGATAGAGGCGCAGCTGGCCCAGCGTGTGGCAGCGCTCAACAAGGTGAGGAGAGGCCTCACCAAGGAGATGGCCCAAGGCCCTATCTAGAGGAGGAGTAGGCAGAACATCCGAGTGGCTTCTGGGGAAAAGGGGAGGGGGTCTGGGGGCGGGTAGAGGACTTGGATGGAGCAGAACTTGGAGGTTTGGGGTGAGAGGACCGTGTTTTCTAGTCTGGACTAAAAGGATGGATAGCTTGGAACCAGAAAGGGCAGGAACAGGTCCTGAGAATGTAGACTGGACACAGGAGCGGGACCTGAATCACAGGGGCTGGGGAGGAACCCGGAGCTCGTGGGGTGGGGCCTTGTAACCGGCCTTGAAGGCAGTGGGGCCGGGGACCTGACTGGATCCTGGTGGGGTAAAGTCAGACACCACGGGTTCTGTCCACTAGGCTGAGGAGCGTCATGGGAATTTTGAAGAGCGGCTTCGGCAGCTGGAGGCCCAGTTGGAGGAGAAGAACCAGGAGCTGCAGCGGGTGAGGGAGTTGAAGACTCCACAGAGGGCTGGGCTTTGGGGCTAGGGTGGGGCTTAGATGAGGGGGTGTGGCGGGGGGCGGGTCTTAGAAAAGGGCGGTGCTCTGCCCCGGACCAAATTGAGCCCCGTTGTACTGCTTTTCTATGCGCAGGCCAGACAGAGAGAGAAGATGAACGATGACCATAATAAGCGGCTGTCCGAGACAGTGGACAAGCTGCTGAGCGAGTCCAATGAGCGGTTACAGCTTCACCTCAAGGAGCGCATGGGAGCGCTGGAGGAAAAGGTGCTTCTCAACCCAGAATTCCGACAACCAGGAATCCTATGGCCCCAGGCATTTCCTCCAGATTCGTTATCTGAGATGTCTAAACCCGAGCATCCCAAATTCGACAGTCTTCTCCAATCTATTGTTGAGACCACGTTTTCACTTCATCTAAACATTCCAAGAGCTGAATACTAAGGGCATCCAGACCCTGAGTCCTCCTCTTTTCCCAAAGCCTCCAACCATATGGTCTGTCAAACCCTGAGTCTTCTGAGATAATACAAGATGTCAGATCCCAGGGCTTCCAGAATTGCTCCAACTAGATGCACTTTAGGCCCCACAACCCACCCTCCCTTCCTCTCAGCTCACCATTTGTCTCCACTCCATTCCTCTGGGTCCCTAGGCCTGTCTGCACCGGTGGCTAGACATGCTGGGTTTGGGCCCCACTGCCTCACTTCACCCTTGTTCTCCTAGAACTCACTGAGCGAGGAGATCGCCAACATGAAGAAGCTGCAGGATGAGCTGCTGCTTAACAAGGTGGGGGGTTTAGGGGATGGAAGGAAGGAAGTGGGGCTGGGTCGCTGAGGTTGGAATTGGTCTCAGAAAAAAGATGGGGACAGACACTTGACACCTTCTCCAGTCCAGCTTACTCTCTTGACAATTCACTTTCTTAAACCTTTCCCCAACTCTCTCTAAGCCATGCCCATGCCCATGACTCAGGGTAACCTGACATCTCCAATCCCCTCCCCCCAGGAGCAGCTCTTGGCTGAAATGGAGAGGATGCAGATGGAGATCGACCAACTGCGGGGGAGGCCACCATCCTCCTACTCCAGGTGACAACAGCCCTCTGGCTCCGCCACTGTCTAGGGAGCCACTCTGGTCAAGCTCATCCCTTTTGATTCCCACTCCCTGATATTTCCTGAGGCTATCACTCATCAGTCTTATTTTTGACCTTGAATTCATAACCCCTGAGCCCAGGCCTGTCCCCATGACCCCTGATCTCTTTCATCTTTTCCTGAACCATGAATCCATGACTGCTTTCCCATGCCCACAGGTCTCTCCCTGGCAGTGCCCTGGAACTCCGTTACTCCCAGGCACCCACGTTACCTTCCGGCACCCCCCTGGACCCTTATGGGGCTGGCAGTGGCCGGGCAAGCAAGAGGGGTCGCTGGTCGGGGGTTAAAGATGAGCCCTCCAAGGTCAGCATCCACCTCTGGGGCCTGGACTGAGCAGGGCATGGACAGGCAGTGGTAGGGAATGGAGCCTAATCCATGAGGCTCAGGGAGGAGGAGGCTGGGTTGAGAGGCAGGGTCTTCTGTACTCACCTGTCTTCTTTCCTTCCCCCACTGGAATCCACCATCATGACTTACCTGGGCACCTCTTCATGTGAATGTCCTGCTACCTGGTGAGCACCTGAGATTAATGACACGTGGGGGAAGGGGTGTAGAATCTCAAAGTGGGTGGGTCCAGATGAAGAGGAGAAGTGGGCTGGATTCAGGGAGATGGAAGTCAAGGGAGCTAGGTGGAATCATGTGCAGGGGTTTGGCTTGGAGGGTTGGGGGAGGGGTTAAGAAAGGGGCCTATGAACAGAGTGAGCTGGGCTTATGGAACAGAACCGGAGCATGTGGGCAGAGGAGGGGAGGGTGGGCAAAGTCAGAATTGGTGAGTGAAGACCCAACGCCAACCTTGGCCTCCGCTCACCAGATGTGCTTCTGTTCCCACAGAGACAGGACTGGGAGCGGTCTGCTCCTACAGGGTCCATGCCACCCCCATTCCCTGGGGAGCTGGATGGCTCTGATGAGGAGGAGGCAGAAGGGATGTTTGGGGCAGAGCTGCTGTCCCCCAGTGGGCAGGCTGATGTACAGACACTGGCCATCATGCTTCAGGAGCAGCTGGAGGCAATCAACAAGGAGATCAAGTGAGCACTGGCCCAGACCTGCTCTGTCCTGCCTGAGCTGATCACACAGTCCCTCTGGTTCCTGGACACTTGCTGAAGGCCTGAGTCCATTCCCTTTCCCACCATCCTCAAGGGATTCTCCCAGTCCTACATTCTCTACAGTGTCTATTAATCCCCCAGGATACACCCAAGCCTTCCACGTGCTAATTACATGTATATCCCTCAGCCAGTAACTCACAATTTCCAGACACATCAAAGACTGCACTCCAAATTACCAAAAATTTCAACTCTGTACATCGAGAATCTTCCAGCACATCGTGGATTTCATGGCTTCATATAACCCATACCCAGGGTGTCCCAGTACACCAAGAATGTCAACACAACAAGGTACCCAAGAATTTTACCATAACACATTAATTAAATACCTCAACTCCACAGGAGAGGTGCTGCACACCTGTAATCCCAGGGGCTTGGGAGGCCTAGGCAGGAGGATCTTAAGTTCAAAACCAGCCTCAGCAACTTAGCAAGACCCTCTCTCAAAATAAAAAACAAAAGGGCTGGGGATATGGGTCAATGGTTAAACACCCCTAGGTTCAATCCCTTGTACCAAAAACCTCAATTCTAGGGCTGGGGCTATAGCTCAGTGGCAGAGCACTTGCTTAACATGCGTGAGACACTGGGTTTGATCCTTAACACCACATAAAAATTAAACAAATAAAATTAAGGCATTCTGTCCATCTACAACTACAAAAAAAATTTAAAAACCTCAATTCTATGCCCAAAGAATTTTTACCCAATAGAACAAAAATCCTCAATTTATTAAGAAGCCCCCATTGAAGTCTACCCCAATTCCCCAGAAATTGCCTTTATTTGGAAATTCTCTTACAATACATTTTCTCCATTATGTCTCAGCAAGTAGGGCAACATGACCATCACCTTCCACTCAAACTCTGTCTTGATTGATTAGCTCTCACATACTGAATGACTCTATGACCTTCCCAGATGCTAGATTGACCTAAAGTGTCTCTGATCTCACCATGATTTGATTATGACTCGGCTTTTGCAATCCTTCTTGGAATATTATCTCTTGCCCATAATCACCTTTTAATGATTTTACAGAACCATTTGATTATCATCAAAGCCAAACTGATACAGATCCTGATCTCCCTGATCAAACTAATTCTTCTGTGACTTCCTTAGACTACCATGACTCCTTGACTCCCCTTGAACTCATGAGGCCATCACAAATCCACCCAAGCCTTTGACTTCATGGCACCTTCTCCAGAATTCTCCTTACCCCACCAAGCCTTTCTAGCCTATTGCGGCCCTCAGACTCCCTCTCCCTCTCAGCTTCATCACCCAGTCTCTCCTGTTTCCCTCTCCAGGTTGATCCAAGAGGAGAAGGAGACAACAGAACAGAGGGCAGAAGAGCTAGAGAGCCGGGTGTCCAGCTCTGGCCTGGACTCGTTGGGCCGCTACCGCAGCAGCTGCTCACTACCCCCCTCCCTCACCACCTCTACTCTTGCCAGCCCCTCCCCTCCCAGCTCCGGCCATTCAACACCCCGCCTGGCACCCCCTAGCCCTGCCCGTGAGGGCACCGACAAGGCGGTGAGTGCTCTGGAGTCTCCCCAGGCAGGTGGGAGGATGAGGACAGGTCAGAAACAGAGCTTCCCCAAAATCATCAGTAATAAGCCCAGGACACCAGTGGTTTTCAAAAGCATCCTTAGCTTTCCCTAAAATTTCCAACTAAAGGTGGGCCAAGTCAGTGGCTTCTTTAGACTAACATGCTGGAAGCAGGTGTCCCAGTCTATTTGTCTTATGCATAGGATTTTTTAAAATAAGAGCATTTATTTATTTATTTTTGCAGTGCTGAGGATAAAACCCAAGACCTCATGCATACTAGGCAAGCGCCCTATCACTGAGCCACATCCCCAGCCCCTGTTTGTTTTTTTGAGATGGGGTCTTGCTCTGATGCCCATGCTGATCTCAAACTCAAACTCAAGTGATTACCCTGCCCCAGGTCCCTAAGTAGCTGGGACTACAGGTATATGTCACTGTGCTTGCTACACAGTGTTTAAAAAAATGTTTCTCTGACTAAACATGCACTTCAGAACTACAGTTAGGTCCTCAGAATTGACCTTTGAGGGAGGCAAAAGAGATACTAGCCTTATTCTATTGCCTTAAACACAAGTCTTCAGGTTTTCAGGACTTATAATTCACTAGCTTTCTTTGAGGCCAAGCATATCTCACTCTTGACACCAAAAGCAAAGATGCTATAAATACGAGCTTATCAAGCTCCAGGGGAGCTCCCATCATTGCCTTTATGTCCCCTACTTAATGTAGGCTACCTTCAGATATAGTGCTCCAAGCCACGGTCATCCCTAGAAATCCCCTAATAGACACCCCAGTTAATGGGGAGCCTCCAACATGACCCCTCCAACTTAATCCAGCATATATGCTTTTCTATCCCCAGAATCATGTCCCCAAGGAGGAAGCTGGAGCTCCACGGGGAGAGGGGCCAGCCATCCCAGGAGATACCCCACCACCCACTCCGCGCTCTGCCCGTCTTGAGAGGATGACCCAGGCCTTGGCACTGCAGGCGGGGGCCTTAGAAGACGGGGGACCCTCACGGGGAAGGTCAGCAGGGGCAAAGGATGGGAACAGGGAAGAACTTGCTTGGAAGGATGAGATGGGGGTAGACAAGGACTTGGGGCAGGGGGAAGGCCATCCCACAAGGAGTTTGTTCTTACTCTGTCCTGCTTACCAGTGAGGGTGCCCCAGATTCCCTTCACAAAGCTCCCAAGAAGAAGAGCATCAAGTCATCCATAGGCCGACTCTTTGGCAAGAAAGAGAAGGGGCGAATGGGACCCCCAGGCCGGGACAGCTCTTCTCTGGGTGAGTGGTCTAATTCCAACCCATTTCTTCTTTGTTTCCCCCCTGTCTCCCCTTTAATTTCTTCTTCACATCTTGACTTGACATTCATTTACTTAGAATGACATGCAGAGGTAGACAGAGGAGGAGGGGAAAAGAGAGGGCCCTCTGGCACCTGCCTGGGTGACTGGGCAGGTAAACTAATTTATTTTATTACTTTTTAAATAGAAAGAGGATATAGACTCCTAAAAGCTGGGCACCTTCCAGTGGTGTGCTGGAACCTCCTCACACAGGTTTGTGAGCGCTGTTGTTTCAGGAAGTCTGTGAGCTGCTTGATATCACATTGATAGCTCTAAATTGGCCACAGAAATTGGCAAACACTACCAGTCAGGGAATCCTCCCTTCCAGGGAGCCAGTTGTTAGCCATTTCCCAGCACACCACTGCCACCTTACCAAGGCCAGCCCAGTGAATCTAGCCCTTTTGGGGGGTATGTCTCCAATTCATTGTCTGGGAGGTGACATTGGTCCCTGTCTGGCTTTGTCACTCCCTCAATGTGGCTACACAACTCCCTCAGGGCCTGCGCCATCCTGGCATCCTCCTCACCACCCCCAGCATGAGAGATTCTGCCTCCCCCTTGAGACTTTCCACATTTTCACCCTTCCCTGCCTCCAGCTGGAACACCCTCAGATGAGACGCTGGCCACTGACCCTCTGGGGCTAGCCAAGCTGACAGGCCCAGGAGACAAGGACCGAAGAAACAAGAGGAAGTGAGTGTGTGACAGTATATTGTATGTGGGGGGTGGTGGGGTGGTGGCCAACAGAGGTGAGACTAACTTGCTGGAAGCAGGTGTCCAAGGTCCTGAACTTGCTTATTTGGGAATCTGGAACTCCTAGACTTTTTCTTTGTCTCTCAAAAAAAAAAAAAAAAAAATATATATATATATATATATATACACACACACACACACACACACACAGTCAGGATTGAATGCAAGGGTGTTTTGTTGTTGTTGTTTGTTTGTTTGTTTTTACTACTGAGCTACATCCCCTTTTATTTTTTATTATGGGAAAGGGTTTTTCTAAGTTGCTGAGGCTGCCCTCTAACTTGTGATCTTTCTGCCTCAGCCTCCCTAGTCACACTGCACCCAGCTGTTTTTCTCTCTTTCAATGGGTGTGGGGAAGATGGATTTCAGAGATTCACATGCAATTTTTGACTTTCTGTCATGTTTTCTACATTTATAAGATATAATCATACGTGTGTGTGGTGAAGGGGTCTGTCCAAAGGGCTGGGGGCTTCCACCCCTGAGAACTCCTGCCCTGCTCTCCCCCACCAGGCATGAACTGCTGGAAGAGGCCTGCCGCCAGGGTCTGCCTTTTGCTGCGTGGGACGGGCCCACTGTGGTCTCTTGGTTGGAGGTACTGGGGCCCAGAAATGACCTAACTAAATGATCACTAACTCTCTGACACCCCTGCCCCCCATGAATGTTGGCTGGATGCCAGCATCTTGCTACCCCAAGCTGAGGTGGGGCGAGGTGGGGAGGTGAGGACTTGGAGGGGGATAGGCTCCCTGTCAATGGAAACAGCTTCTCTCTCCTCCCTCCACCCCTGCCCCTCTGGTCCTGCCCACCTGGGTTCTGGTCTCTCCGTGTCTCCTCCTGTGTGGGATTCTCCCCATCTCTGACTGTGTGTCTGCCATTCCCTGTGCCTCTGGATCTCTCTCCCATGTCTCTGGGTGTTTCACTCTCCCCCTACTGTCTCTCCACACCCTTTTCCTCTTCAACTCTGGCACTCCCTCTGTCTCCCTCTGCCTCTCCCACGTCTATGTGCCCTGTCCTGTTTCTCCTGCAAACTTTCCCATGTCTCTGTTTCGCCCCCACTTGCCTTGCCCATCTGTCTCCCTCTCTCCCTTTCTTTCTGTGTCTCCCCCATTTCTCCTGCCTCATCCTCTCTGTCCCTTCCCCCTGTCCCTCTCTCCCTCTGCTCCAGCTGTGGGTAGGTATGCCTGCGTGGTATGTGGCTGCCTGCCGGGCCAATGTCAAGAGTGGTGCCATCATGGCCAACTTGTCGGATACAGAGATCCAGCGTGAGATTGGCATCAGCAACCCTCTGCACCGGCTCAAACTGCGCCTAGCCATCCAGGAGATGGTCTCACTCACCTCCCCCTCAGCTCCCGCCTCCTCCCGCACGGTGAGTGTCCGGCGGCCAATCCCGGCCCTTGCTGCCTCCGGCCCCGCCTCTATTCCTGAGATTAGCCAATCCCACTCGTGCTCACTTTCTGTCTCCTAGACTCTGCTCCTCATTGGCTCTCATCGCCCCCCAGGTCTCTCGGCCTCGCCTCCACTTCTAGTCCTGTGTGTGTTGCGCCTGGTCCTTCCTGAGAGGCTCCTTGGGCTGTGTGTGTGTGTGTGTGTGTGTGTGTGTGTGTGTTGTGTGTGTGTTGTGAAGGGGTCTTGCCTTAGCTTGTGTCTGTGTGGAGGGTCTTGCCTTAGCTTGTCTTCCCCAAGAATGGCTCTTTCTCATTCTTGAGGTCTCAGCTCAGATGTCACCACCTCCCAGGGCCCTTCCCTAAGCTCCACAGCTGAACCAGTCGTCCCTGGGCACCCAAGACAGTAACTCCTTCTAATTTTTTTCCACATAAAATTTACTACCTTCTAAAATTTTATCTTTTCCTTCCAGCTTTTTGTTAATAGAAGTTTCAAACATATAGAAAATTAATTGTACCCATATCTATTTCCACAATTGTTTACCCTTAGCCATACCTGCTGTTTACTTGTGTGTCTATTTCTGAGGTACTCGCATGTAATTTGAGGACATCATTACTGTTTTTTTTTTTTTTTATAAAGTCAGTGAAGTTTATTTATTTATTTTTTATTAGTTATCGGTGGACACAACATCTTTGTTTTGTTTGTATGTGGTGCTGAGGATCGAACCTGGGGCGCACGCATGCCAGGCGAGCGCGGTACCACTTGAGCCACATCCCCAGCCCCGACATCATTACTGTTACACCCCAAAAAATATTTCTGCAGACAGCCTTTAGCCACCGAACCCTATTGCATCTGAGACTTGATATTATTGTTAATTTCATCTACTAGTTGGTCTGTGCTCATAGTTCCCCAACATATTTATATTGATTGTAGCTCCCTCATCACAACAAGGACCTTGTCTGTTGCATTCTTTGCCATATCCCAGATCTCACAACAGTGACTGTCACTCACTAGGAGTTCAGAAACGTTTGAATGCATGTATGTTCCTAATGCATGGGGTTGTTGAAGCAATAACCCAACAAATGTGAGTGAACCCCACTCTCACTGCCAAACAGTTGCCCCATTACTGTTCCGCAGCCTCCTTCTTGATCCTCACTCTGTAATTCTGTGTCAGGTCAGAGAGGTGATATCATTTACACAGGGCCACACAGCAGAATGCTCAGTTGGGCCTCAGTTCTAACTCTTTGCCTGGAACATGATGGATGCTTGAGAAAGGATCGCTGCTTTCCTCTCCCACTGCTGGGCCCACAGACAGAAAGCAGAATATACATAAACATATGGCCCAGTGGCCTTTGAATCATGACCCCATTCTCCTCCCCTATCCAAAGTCAGCTTCCATTACCATAATATCTCCTCTCCACTCAGCCCACAGGAAACGTATGGATGACACACGAAGAGATGGAGTCCCTTACAGCTGCCACGAAGCCTGTGAGTGCCCCCCAGTACAGGCCTTGAGGGTGGCACTAACTCTCTTTGGGGGTGGGGGCAGGGACTGAGTCTGTGGCTGTCTGTCCCTTCTGTCATCCTCTGCCTGCCCCGTAACCCACCCCTTCTCTCCCTCTTCCCACTAACGGGTCAGGAGACCAAGGAGATCAGCTGGGAGCAGGTAGGGGTGTGGGGCGGGCGTGGGTGCATGAAAAGGCTGTGCACGCTGCATGGATGCCCCTCTTTCTCTGAGCCCAGCCCCTACCCTCTCCAGAACATTCCATCATCCCTGCAGGGGTTTGCAACTGGAGCTCAGCTCTAGACTGGTTTATTGTGGCTCCGTGGGCCTTGATGTGGAAGCCCACACTGTTCCCTGGTCAGCCTGGTGCACCAGCCATTCCATTGTCATGGGTTGTGGAGCCCTAGGGGATGTTCCATTGCTGTATTAGAGGGAGACCCAGAGCATCCTGTTTTCCCTTATGTTGAGAGGAAGAGGGCTATGCTGCATCATGAGGGGATCACTGGTGATGGTAGTGGTGAGGCAGGCCAGGCTGAATGAGAAGCCGGGGAAGACAAGCTGCATTTCGATCTCAAGTTGGGGATGAACTGTGTTAGGCTTGGTCTTTGTTTTCAGCAGAGAAATTGTCTCCTTCCTTATGCAAAAGAGGGTGAATGTCTTTGGACTGATCCAGAACATTGTCCAGGCCAGACTTAGCATTAAACTAGTATTTTCAAAACATTGAGGTTGGAAGAATCCACTGCCTTGGCTTGGAAGGCCAGTGATTTGGGGCTGAGTTGGGACAAAGTTAGAACAGTGCTTCTTAAAAGGTAATGTATAGTTGAGATCACCTGGGGATCTTGTGAAAGCACGATAGGATTTCAGTAGGTCTGGTGTGGGGTCTGAGGTTCTGAAGCTCCATGATGATGTTCAGGGACCACCCATCATACTTTGTAGGGTTAGGAGACGACTGTGGACTGGTCCATTGGCCCAAGCAGACATTGATCTTTGTCCTGCAGTGAGGGTGGGGAAAGAATAGCCTTGGGTTGAGGGACTGGACTGAACTCCTTTCATACACATATGGGATTAGTCCAGAGAGCCTGACCCCTCCCTCACCTGCCCATGGCCCCAGATCCTGGCATACGGCGACATGAACCACGAGTGGGTGGGGAACGACTGGCTGCCCAGCCTGGGGCTGCCCCAGTACCGCAGCTACTTCATGGAGTCGCTGGTGGATGCCCGAATGTTAGATCACCTTAACAAGAAGGAGCTCCGGGGCCAACTCAAGATGGTGGACAGCTTCCACAGGTGGGGACTGCCTGGCCAATGGGGACAGTCCAAGGGGAAGCCCCACCCCTAGTCTTTGACCAATGGGGCTGGCAATGGGAAGTTCCTAGGATTATCTTTGACCCTTTAGTCTGGGTTTTCAGGAATCCTGACTCTGCCCCATCCTCTAAGAAGATGGTCCATAGGAAGAGTTCAAAGTTCAGGTCCGGAGACAGTTTGCCTAGTTAATTCCACTCCCGGTCCAGGTTAGCCAATAGGAATTGTCTGTTGAAAATGCCCCACTTCCTGGGAGGGCCAACTATCAATACAGCCAATCAATGGAACTCCCCAACCTCTCCCAGAAGACCGCAGCCAATGGAGAGGGCCTAATAGGAGCAGCAGTCAGTGGGGGCTGTGAAGGCTCCTCTGTGACTCCACTTCCCCTGCTGCTCAGGGTGAGTCTGCATTATGGGATCATGTGCCTGAAACGACTCAACTATGACCGGAAGGACCTCGAGCGGAGGAGAGAAGAGAGCCAGACCCAGATCCGAGGTGAGTGGAAGAGAGTGAGGTCCTTTGTGAGCCAGGAGGAGGGTACAGGGGCAGAGTTGGGATAGGGGTGATGAGGAGAGAGCCCAAAGAAAAAGATCACTACCATGAACGAGGTGTGGAGCCAGCCTGGGGGCGTGGCCAGAAAAGAGCAAATGGGGGAAGAGGTATGGGCTAAACTGGACAGGCGTGGCTCATGGGAGGGGCGCGACTGAGGGTCCCTTCCATCCTTAGACGTGATGGTGTGGTCCAATGAGCGTGTCATGGGTTGGGTGTCCGGGCTGGGCCTGAAGGAATTCGCCACGAACCTCACGGAAAGCGGGGTGCACGGGGCTCTGCTCGCCCTGGACGAAACCTTCGACTACTCCGACCTGGCCTTGCTCCTGCAGATTCCCACGCAGAATGCACAGGTGAGCTGCTGCTGGGCCTGGAGCTTGCTGGGCATCCTCACCTCGCGGTTTGCACGCCCCAATCTTTCTTTTACTTCCGTCTCCAGGCCCGACAACTCCTGGAGAAGGAATTCAGCAACCTCATCTCTTTAGGCACAGATCGCCGGTTGGACGAGGTGGGCGCGGCAGCAGCTCTGCACCTCCATTCTAGGCACTGAAAGGGTGGAGCTTGGCTTTGCCAACCAATCGTGGCTGGAGGCTGGTCCAGGGAGGGGACGAGTTAAGGGGGAGGAGATATCCCGAGAGGGGTGGAGCCAAAAGAAGGGCGGGGTCGAAACGGGGCCTAGGTCCCTTACTTTTTCCTGTCCCTATACCTAGGACAGCGCCAAGTCCTTCAGCCGCTCTCCATCCTGGAGGAAAATGTTCCGAGAGAAGGACCTCCGAGGCGTAACCCCTGACTCAGCAGAGATGTTGCCTCCTAACTTTCGTTCGGCTGCAGCAGGAGCCCTGGGCTCACCCGGGCTCCCTCTACGCAAGTTGCAGCCAGAAGGTGGGGAGTTCCCAAATACGACGGCCCCTTTCCCTTCTCAAGGGTGGGAAGTGGACTAACTCAGCCTTCCAGGTTCACCTTACAAAAGGACCGTTCCAGTAATCCAGACTGTCCTTGGAATGTATTAATCCCACACCAGTGTCCTTTCCAGGGTGGGAAATGAACTCTCCCAGAGCCATCTGGGCACTTTATTTTAGTCTCAAGTTGTGGGAAGAGAAGAAAACCCACGTGGAACCAAGCGATGGTTGTGACGTCGGGAGGGGAAGTCCAAGGGAGCATTCCTGGAATTGAGGCCCGAACTGGCAGAAACCCTGGAAAAGAACTGGGGGGTGGGGGTGGGATTGTGTGTGCTCCAGGCTGAACCGCTGCTCGCTCTCCCTCCAGGCCAGACTTCTGGGAGTTCCCGGGCAGATGGTGTTTCGGTCCGGACCTATTCCTGCTAGTGTAGGCTTCCAGGTGAGGACTGTACCGGGCGAGCTAGGGGGTGCGGGGCAGCACAGTGGATCTTCACTACTCTGTGCACTGCCCCGCGTCAATGCAGGTGATCTCACTCCGATGGAAGAATCGTCCCGAGGCCGGACCGCTCCCCCTCCCACCCAGAGTATGGTCTGTCCGGGGAAAGCGGTCAGGGGAGCTCGCGCCGCGGACCGGACCATCTGTACAGACAAATCGGGAGTGCGTGTCCCCGCCTCACAAATGGACTGGGCCAGGACCAAACCACATGAACTGGACTGAGAGGGGGAAGAAGAGAGCAGGAAGAAATCCCGCCCCAAACTTCTGCCTCCCTTTTCTCTACTTTGTAATTTATTGATCAGTTTCCGATGGGAGACGGGAACCCTTCACCTGCGGAAAAGGGGCCGGGCTTCCCTCCAGGGCCGCATGCGGGAAGAGGCTTCCCCCTCCCCTTTTTCCTGCCCAGTCGCGGGGCCCTAGTCTTCCTTCTTCGTCCGAAAGGAGGGGAGGGGGACTCGCTGCTACAAGCCTCGCCCCCTGTGCCACTCAGCCCCTCCCCGCCGCATTCGGTCGTCAGTCCCCGGGGTCATCTGCGGGCGGGGTCCCCTCTTCCTCCCCCGTGTCTCGTGTCCCCGGGGCCTCCCCGCCCCCCCGTGCTGTGGCCGTGTCCGTGCCCCAGGGGTAGGGAGCGCAGAATTGTGCTCCCAGTTCCCCGCCGACTCCGGGGTTTGCATGGGAGAATCCTCTTTCCACGATGCCACTGGGCGATGTGGCGTGGGGGGAGTGCGGACGGTAGGGGAGCCCTCGCCCCCGACTTTCGGTCGGCCTCCCGGCCCCAGGCGTCACTCAGTGATCACGGGTAAAGAGAACTATTTCAAAAAGCTCCGTGTTGATTTTTTTTTTTTTTTTTTTGGTGGTGGTGTGGGGGGGTCAGGACTTTAAGAAAAAAACTCCCTCGGAGGACCCAGAAGTCCAGCCCCTTTCTCGCACAGGCTTACCCCCCCACCCACGTTCCCTGAAGCTCTGAGAATCGACCCCACGTCTGAAAATGAGGTTTCGGGGAGCACGTTTATTCAGAGAAATAAATATGGCTCGTGGTTAGGGGGTGGAGGGCAGGGGGAGGTCCATATGCGATGCAGCCGCGCGACCAGGTCAGCGTTCCGGAGTTTCCAGCATGTCTGCCAGGGCTCTGGAGAGGAGGACGCAGAGGTTAGATAGCCAGTGTCCAGAGCTCACGCCAGGACGCTTAGAGATCATTACCCTGCCCACTTCACCGACAAGGAAATGGAGCCCCAGGGTCATCCAGGAACTTAGAGTGGACAGTGCTTCTCCAGACCGGGCCCTTAAAGTGCCCCCCACCCTTCACACACACACACTTACTGATACAGGGAGGAGGAGAAGTAGTCGACGTAGCTTCCTGTGGGAAGCAGAGAGATGAGTCTAGAAGGGTACTCCACGAGTGATATTAGGGGGACACTCAGTGTAAGTGCGGGACTAGGGCTAGTTTTCCCCTACCCCTTTTCCCTAATTTCTGCCTCAAATTGAACTCCTACAGGGACTCCTTGGAAGGCCACGCCCCTTCTTGCTCCGGACCAGCTGATTCTCCACTAGCCCCTCCCCTTTGGCGTCTACTAGCTTTGACTCCGCCCACTCGCTTCTAGGCCGGCCCCTCAACCTTTACTCTTTCTTGGTGTCAGACCTGCTCCACCCACATGATCTGAGCCTTGGACACGCCTCCACGCCTAGCTCCGCCCCATGAGCCTTCCAGGCTGGTCCCTCAGGTTTGGCTCCGCCTCCACCAGGTGGGCCAGGTCTCTTCCACAAGGTTTTCCCCGCCCCGACGGTGCTCACCTGGAGTGCACAGAGTTTCGCAGACTAGAGGGCAGAGATAGCAGAACTGGCAGTGCTGGGGGAGAGGCGGAGACAGGGAGAGAATGCCGTCAGGAAAGGGGCGTGGACAGGGGCCTGAGGCTAAGTGAAGGTTGAGGTTGCAGAGTTATAGGGAGGTATAGAGTGTGGTGTCATGGATGCACCAGGTGTTAGGGGTTGAGTCGGTCTGGAGTCAGAGGCCAGGATTTAGTCCTGGGTGTTCTCAGATGCTATTTGAGGCCTGGTGGAGCTTCGAGTGTGGGGAGAGGTCTCACCTGGCACTGGTCGCAGTGTTCTCCCATGTTCTCCTCACTGTCACAGTGACAGTTCTCACATTCAGTGCATCGCTGAGGACCAGAGGAGCCTGGTTAGATGGAAACCCTAACCCCACTTAGGAGACAACCGTCATCCACTCCTGCCTGTTGGACATTTCACAGACTCCTCACCTCACCCTCATGACGGCCAACACTGAGCTCAGTACCTTCCCCTAGGTTGCTCCCATCCTGCCTCTGGTTCCCTGTCTCAGGGAGGCCCCACATGACCTGGTCACTGTGGGCTGGTCCTGTGAGTGCTTTCTTCATCATCTCTCCCTACCCGCTCTCCCCATGGGCTGTCAGAACTCCCTCTTGTCTCTCCTGAGATGACTCTTGGTCATGGACCCTGGTCTCTGTCCTACACCCCTAGGTGCAGTTCATGCCTCACCTTCTCCTTTCTGGATCATTGCCTCCACTTCCTCCCCCAGCCTCCTGGCCTCCAGTCTGTCCTAGAAAAATCTTTTTTCACCTGGACCTGCCCTTGCTCAAAGCCCTCTCTTGGCACCCCAGGATCCCTGGGACAAATTCAGTGGGACAGGTTGGTGTGTAGATCTGGGTGGAGGACATACATTACAGAAGGTGCAGTAGCTACACAGGGACCCTGGTTGATAATTCCCATATTCCTGGGTGTCCTGCAGACCTGTGGGAACAGAAAGGCAGGGTGACTCAGCCTTATTCACTCCTCCCCACCCCCACCAGGGGCCACTCACCTGTGTCTTCACCACTCTCCTCCTCACTAGAGCCATCCCCAGCCACCTCCCTACTGGCCAGGGGGTTAGGGATGATGGTGAAGGGGAGCTCATCTTCCTCTAAGCCTTCCTCCTCCTCTTCCTCTTTTCTGTGATCTTGGCTCGGTGGGACCAGAAATTCAGCCCTCTCTTCCCTCCTGTCTTCTTGCTCCTCCTCATCTTCCTCCTCTTCTTCCTCCTGGCTCAGGCTGAGGCCATGACCTTCCTCTTCATCCTGCTGGTCTTCCTGGGCCAGGTGGTGGTGTTGGGCTTCTTCCACTCCCTGCTCAGAGCCTTCATCATCTCCCTCAGGGGAGCGGTCATCCTCTTCCTCTCCCGAGTCACTCTCCCTCCCAACCTGCATGTGCTCTAGGGAGTGATGACTAATCTCCTCTTGAATGGATCCTCTGTGACCATGATCAGTCCCTTCATCTTGGTGGTCTTGTTCCCTGTGGCTGGGGGCCTGGTGACCAAGCTCGGCAGAGATGTCCTCCTCTTCCTCCTTTGAGATGCCAGGGTGGTGATGGACAGGGACGTCTGTTTTATACTCCTCTGGGAAGTCCTCCTCCTCATCGCTCTTGTGGCCTTGGGGTTGGTGCCTCGCAACATGTTGGCTGAGCTTGTCTATGAACTCCTCCTCCTCTTCCTCTTCCTCATTCTTGTCCCCAAGGCCATGGTGGCCATGTCTAGGAAACTGGTGCCAATGCTCAGTGGACACATCCTCATCTTCATCTTCCTTGTCTCTGTGGCCTTGGTAGCCGTGGTCAGTGACATGATGGTGGTGTCCATCTGAGACGTCCTCTTCTTCATTCCCGTGGCTTCGGTGCCTGTGGGTCTGGTGTCCATACTCAATAGAAACATCATCATCTTCTTCATGATCTCCATGTCCATGGCTGGGGACATGAGGGTGGTGTTCATCTGAAATGTCCTCCTCCTCTTCATTCCCGTGGCCTCGGTGCCTGTGGGTCTGGTGTCCATACTCAGCAGAGACATCATCTTCATCATCATCATCATCATCTTCTTCTTCTTCTTCTTCTTTGTTGCCTTGGTGCCCATGGTCAGGGACATGATGGTGGTATTCATCTGAGATGTCCTCCTCCTCCTCACTGCCATGGCCTTGATGCCTGTGGCCCTGGTACCTATACTCAGAGGAGACTTCCTCCTCCCCTTCCTCCTCTTCTTCCTCTTCTCCTTCATCATCGTCTCCCTCTCGAGGACCCCTGTGCACATGCCTGGGGCTGTGATGGTGATGCTCACTGGATACAATGTCATCCTCATCCTCATCTTCATCTTCATCGCTGTGGCTCCTGTGGCTGGGGAAGTGGTTCTCATGCTCGGCTGAGTCCCCTTCGTCTTCCTCGTCATGGCCTCTGTGCCCGTGGGCTTGCTCAGCATGCTCTGTGAAGACCTCCTCTGAGACATGCCCATCTGCAAGCTCTTGGCCTTGGTACCTGTGGGCTCCGTGCTGGTGGCCATAATCCCTGGAGATATCTTTATCCTCCCCTCTCTGGTCACTATGACTGTGGGAATGACGTCCATTTTCTGTGGAAACATCCTCACTCTCATCTCGGTGGCCTCCGTGGCTGTAGATCTGGTGGCTAACCTCGGCCGATGTGTCCTCTGAGGGCCCTGCGACGTTTGCATTGTTGTTCCAGTTGCTGGGGCCCAGCCCAGCCCCTCTCAGCTGCTGGGTCATGGCAGGAGGGAGGAGCAGGCTGACCACTGTGGCGCAGAGGAGAGAAGTGTGCAGCCATGGCCCAGGGTGGCCCATGGGGACGTTTAGGCAGCAGGCTTTCTCCCAGGGCTGGCTCCAGCTGCCTCTGAGGCTGTGTGATCAAGGTTGGGGTCCTGTCCCCTTCTGGGTCTGACTCTTTCTCTGTGTCTCTCCTTCACTTTTTCTCTCTTGATCTCTGCCCGTTGCCTTTCTCTGCCCTGGACACCCCTCTGAGGCTGTCTCTGGAGTCCCAGACCCCCCTCTTGGGTCCTCCCTCCCCACTGCCCAGCCAATAGGGTCTCTCCCCTCCCCTCTCTGTGGCTAAATTTACTCTCAGCCTGAGTTATTCTGGGTCACTCCCTGCCTGCCCCTCCTCTTCTGTTCCTCCAACCTGCTGGGGAGGGGCACTGGAGGGGTCTCTCCCTTGAGTGGGAGAGGAGACTGAGGGACTTGACCTTATAGTGCAAACAAACTCATGTTGGCAGCTGAGAAGATAAAGGCTAGACTTTCAGTGGGCCAAGCTGGGGAAGCCTAGAGCCATTGGGGGAGGGCAGGAGCAACATGTCAGAGGGAGAGACCTCTCAATGGAAGGGTTAGGGTGTAATTATGGCGAATTTCCAGCCAGAGGGGAATGCTTGGTAAGAAGGTGGATGCCACTAGCCAGGCCCTAGAATGGTTTTTTGAAGGGGCCTGTCCCAAAGACACACACCCGTGACCTCCTGTCCCTGGAACTCAGATCTGAGGGTAGGGGACATCACCAGGCCAGGGCTATAAATACAGCTGAGAGGAGGGTGTGGGGGTCAGGTTACAAAGGCCCCAGCTGTCCCCATCAGCAAGAGCTGGCAGGAGATATGTAGCCCTGCCTGGCTCTGTGTGTCCATAGCACCCACTCCTTACCTCCATGATTACCCTCACTCTTTGGTCTCCATCTCTCTTTTGGGGTTCCATCCTTCATTTCTGTCACCTGCTCCCTCTCATAGGTATTCCCCTTCTGTCCCCCCTCACTCTGGACTTCTGTCCCCCACCCAAGTCTTTGTTTCCCTCTCTTTCTGGGTCAAGAGCACACTACCCCAGTTCTTTATTCCCGCTCCTTTATGATTCTCTGCCAACCATCCAAGTCTTTGTGTCTCATGCCATCCTCAATATGTCCCCTCTCCTTATCTTTCTCTCCATCTCTGTGTCCTTTCTCTGGGTCTCTAACCTCCGACCCCCTTCTCTTTGGGTCTGAGTCCCTCTCTTTGGGTCTCCATCCACCTCTCTCTGGGTCTCTATTTCCCTTGTGGCTCTGGTCAAAGTGTCCCCTCCTCATCTCCTGCATCCCTCTTTCTGAGCCCTCTCCTTCCTATCTATGCACCTGTGGTCCTGATGCTCAGGTCCACTCCCTGTCTCTCACCCCACGCCCTCTATCGCGGACCTCTGCACCCCTGGGTGGCTGTCCCCCGCTTTGTCTCTGCATCGCAGCCTCGGCCGCCCTTTCCCCGCCTCCCGCTGACGTGTCTCGGGGACTCCCGCCCCAGGCTGGGCAGGGAAGTGGCGGATCCGGTTTGGGCAGGGCGGGCCTGGAAGGGCGTGGAGGGACTGTAGGGAGCCCGAAGGGCTCGGACGTTGCGTGGCCGCGGCAGCATGGTGGGCCCGGAGAAGGAGCAGGTACAGCGCCGGCCGGGCCGGGAGCGCGGAGCGGGGGCTCGGGCTCCTGGTGCCCAGAGACAGGCGCTGGAGACCCGGCTCCTGGGTCTGAGGGAGGGTCGGGGGTCCAGGATTCCGGGGACGGGCAGGAGGGCTGTGGGTGCAGACCCGCGAGTCTGGGGGAGGCCGCCCTGGGGTCCCGGGCTCGGGTGTGGGCGGTGGGGCGCCTGGAGGTGCCTCCGTGCCTCGGGACTGAACTGGGTTCCCGTCCCCTCCCTGTTCCGGTCTCCAGAGCTGGATCCCTAAGATCTTCAGGAAGAAGATCTGCACGACGTTCATAGTTGACCTCTCAGATTCCGGGTGAGCAGCCCGCGGGGACCGCCCGGGACCGCCCGGGAGCCTCGGGGCCCGCTGACCCCGCCCACCGCAGACAGGCCCCGCCCCTCTGCCGCGGGTCTTGGAGGCACAGCGGACCCCCAAGGGCATTCGCGGCTGGCGCTCTCCGGGGAGGTTTGGGAGGCTGTGTAGACACCTCGAGTCTCAGTTCCCCCTCAGGGTCCGTGTAAACGCTCCAGGGCTCCGTCCTGTTTCTTTCCCTGTGTTTCTTCTGTGTCTGTCTCTCTGTCACTTCGTCTCTTGACTATGTCTCTTTCAGTCATTCGTTCATTCATTCCTTGATCCATCCAGTAAACCCTCACTTGGCGTTCCCAAGATTAGAGGTGCTTTCAGCAAATCCCCCGGGCCTGCCGGCTTCAAATTTCACTTGAGACTCATCCTCTGTGACTTTGGGCAAGTCATTTCACCTCTCTGGGCCTTGCTTGTCATCTGGGCATAAAAACTACCCTCCCTCTTGGGATAATTGTGAGAATTAAGCAAGTTAATGCTGTGAGATTTCTGGAACAGTGCCCAACACCTAATAAGCATTGGAAAATATCTATAATTTCCTCCTGAAAGTAGCAATTGCCACAGTGTGTGGGTGCTGTGCTGGGTGTTGGGGACACTGCCTGAGCTAGACAGGGTGCTTGCTGCCCTGGAGGAGCTCCTGGTCTCCAGTGATGGTCCTTCAAGTGGGTCCATACTTTCTAGTTGTCCTCGGGACAGTCCTGGGGCATGGGAAACTTACACGTTCCCAAATTACTTGTTATGAACTGATTATCTCGGTGTGGTACAGCTTGCAAACTATAAATAAATGAATACATGCTCATGAGTGTGAGTGCTCGAAACGTTTTACTGGAGGGAGGTCTCGAGAAAATTTAGGAACCTTGAATCTGACAGCAGGTGGAAGACATAGAGGGTGATTCTTATAAGGCCAGGGGATGACAGCTGCCCAGGATGGGCCACTGGACTTGTGGGAGCCTAGAGGAGGTGTCTGGCTAGGACTAGGGAGGGGACAGTGTATCACTAATGATTTCTGGAGGAGGAGGGCCGTGAAGTGCATCTGAAGGAGAGCTGGTGTTGGACAGGCAAAGGTGGGCTTGAGAGAGGCATGTGGAAATGCATTCTGAGAGAGGAACAGCATGGGAAAAGTCCCCCCAGTGATGATGTAGTGTGGCTTGAAATGGAGCCAAGGTCAGAGTGCAAGGAGTCACCAGAGAGGAGGCTGCAGAGGAGGGTGGTGCTAGACCTCACTGGGCCTTAGAGGGCACCCTGATTGGCTGGGACCTTGTCCTCTGTGCCCTACATCAAGTAGAGGGGTGGGGTCCACTCTTGTGTGATGACTATGTGAGGATAAGTAGGAGGAGGCTGGGTCAAGAGTCTGAGAGGGAGAGAGGAAAGGCCGGAACCAGGTTGCCCTGCAGGGCACAGAGAGGAGCGGGTGGGGCAGGAGGTGGAGCCTGGGGACCAATGGATTTGGGGAGGATGGCTGCTAAACCAAGCAGTCTAGTGATTTGGACACAGGGGGTCATCCTCAAGATGGGGAACCCAGGAGGATGAGAGGTTTGGCCAGTGTGGCCTCTGTGGGCGAGGGGAATGCAGAGACCCAGGGCTGGGACTCAGGAGAAGGTTTGGACTCACAGAAGGATCTGAGAAGTCCTAGCTCTTGATGGTAATTGACACCATGGAAATAGGTGACATGTCACATGGTTTTAAAAAAATGTAAAAAGGGGCTGGGGGGCTGAGGCTGAGGCTCAGTGGTAGCGCACTTGCCTGGCATGTGTGAGGCACTGGGTTTGATTCCCAGTATGTAAAGTAAATAAATAAATAAAGTCAGGGTGGGAGTTGCCAATTAGTGGTTCCATGGCCATTGGTTTTTCTTTTGCATGGGAGTTTAAAAACCTGTGTCTGGGTTGGGAGTACACAGCTCAGTGGTAGAGTGTGTGCTTAGCTTGCACGAGGCCCTGGGTTCCATCCCCAGCAAGCAAACAAAAAACAAAACCCCAAAAATAATACAACAACAAAAAAACAACCAAAACCCAACACTCTGTCTCTGAATGTCCAAGACAAACATGCTGCTTCAAATTCCCACTGCCTCTAGCACATTCATTTCTAACAAAGCTTCTTTCTATTGACTTACTTGCCTGGATCCTGTGAGCATCAAATTTGAGACCAGCGTGGCCTTTGCTCTGGGGAAACGCTTGCACTCAGGGGGATAAAGAGAGGCCACAGATGAGGCTGGGACAGAGCAGCAGGGGACAGAGAGGATGGGAGTCGGGGACTCTGCCAAAGTAAAGGTTTTCAGAACCAGAGTCTTTCAACTGTGGCCAGAGCCACCTGACACTGCAGTCAGATGAGACCTGAATAGGGGCCCTTGTGTCAGCGGCCACACTCAGGTAGAGGCGAGGCTGGCAGAGGGGATATCTACTAGCACTGTCCACCAGAGCTTTCTGAGGTAGCAGAAATATGAATTTTGGTCTAGGACACCAGCCTGACTCTGGGTTCCCAACAAACCGGGTCTAGCCACTTGCACCAAAAATCAAACAGAAAAAGTAATGGTGAAAAGCTGGAAAGGAACTTTAGTCAATATGGCGGGCCATATGGGGGAGGCAGGTGAGACCAAGAGACTCAGTCATGTTTTGGAGACACTGATGTGAGCTTTAGGTTTAAACAGAGGAAGAACTAGGGTGGAGGGGGAGCCTAATTAAACAGTCCTGGTCAAACTATTGTCTGGTTGATCATTATCTCAGAGCTGGTTCTGCAAGGTGACTCCAGAGAAGTCCTTATCTGGAGATTAAGGGGCAATCAGTTCCCATGAAATTATTGCTCCTGCTTAAGAGGGGCCATCTCAGTACCTGTCAGGGGGTAATTGCTCCCACTTACAGGGGTGATCTCATCATGGGACGATCTGTGTGGGAGTTTCTGCTGTCCTGGAATCCAAGGTGATTGTAGGGTTAGGGCAATGACTGGGGACTTCTAGGTGCTCCTCCAGGTCTGGAATAGGACCTTGTGAAAGCTGGCAGTTGAATGTCCCTGCAAATCTTCAGACTACCTAGTTACTCTTATCTTGGTGTTGTCTGTCTTGAAGGGAAATGAGACAGGTTAGGTGAATTTAGGACTAATAGACCTTGTATTGCCAGACAATCCTTAAGTGATTAACGTGTCTACATGCAGAGCTGAGCCGGAATCCAACCCAAAGTTTACGTAATCAAGAGACAGATACAAAAAGCCAAGCTTCATCCTGCTTTTAGTTACCCATTGGACATCTGCAGGCTCCAGTGAAGAGTTAGTGCCTTTGGCAAGAGCAGCTTCTAATTTCCTGTAGAAATGTTCTCTGTCCACATCCAATATGGCAGCCATTGGCCGCATGGGAGCACTTGAAATTTGGCTGGTGCAACTGGGGCACTGAAGTTTTGCTTTGATCTAATTTTAGTTTATTAGACTATAAGGAGTTCATGAATGGAAAGAACCCCATGTGGATAGGGCTACTGCATTAGACAGTGTGGGCTCTGGAACACTTCTTGCTCATGGGAAGCAGCTGGAGAGCAACAAGGGGTTCCAAGGAGAAGGTTCAGATAACTGAGGCCTGAAAGGTTGCTGGGGTTAGACTCAGAGGAGTGGAGACATAAGTTCTCCATGGCAGCAGCGGGCTTGGGGTTTTCTGTTCCTGTGTCCTGTGCATGGATCTCTTTCCCTTGGCCCTTCTTCTTCTTCTTCTTTTTTTTTTTTTTTGTTTGTTTTTTTAGTTTATTGATTTTATTTTTTTTTAAATACATGACAGTGGAATGCATTACAGTTCTTATTATACACATAGAGCACTATTTTTCCTATCTTTGAACATAGAGTATGTTCACACCAATCCATGCCTTTATACATGTACTTTTTTTGCATTACAATTCTTATTACACATATGTACCACAATTTTTCATATCTGTTTATATATAAAGTAGGTTGATACCCAATTTGAGTCTTCACACATGTACTTTGGATAATGATGTCCATCACATTCCACTGCCCTTGCTAATCCCCTGCTCCTCCCTTTCCCTCCCACCCCCTGCCCTATCTAGAATTCATCTGTTCCTCCCATGCTCTCCCTCCCTACCCCACTAAGAGTCAGCCTCCTTATGTCAGAGAAAACATTTAGCATTTGTGTTTTTGGGGATTGGCTAACTTCACTTAGCATTATCTTCTCCAGCTCCATCCATTTACTGCAAATGCCATGATTTTATTCTCTTTTAATGCTGAGTAATATTCCATTGTGTATATATGCCACATTTTTTTTTTATCCATTCATCCACTGAGGGGCATCTAGGTTGGCTCCACAGTTTAGCTATTGTGAATTGAGCTGCTATAAACATTGATGGGGCTGTGTCCCTGTAGTATGCTATTTTTAAGTCCTTTGGGTATAGACCGAGGAGAGGGATAGCTGGGTCAAATCGTGGTTCCATTCCCAGATTTCCAAGGAATCTCCATACTGCTTCCCATATTGGCTGCACCTTGGCCCTTCTTTTTAGTGTCTCCACTGCTTCTGCCAAATCCACATGCCACCTGAATTAGCATTTTTGTAAACTTGGTCCTCACATTGGCTCACTGGACTCAGGCAAATGCAGGTTCCCCGGCTCTCTGAATTCCTTCTGAATCAAGGAGATTTAGAAACATTTTTGCCTGAATCCCCTGTTCCCCAACTCTTGGCTCCTCGCTCTTTGAAACTCAGATGCCAATCACAGCAGCAAAGGAGGATTGTAATTTATTTAGGGAGGAAAAAAATTTTATATATGGTGACCATACATGGAAATCTAGTTCCATTTGTCACACAGAGAGAGAAAGAAGCTACAGAGGCCAGATACAATGAACAGCAAATAAAGGTATTTACCTCTGGCTGGGTGCTATTGCCAGCCACACGTTCTGGGCCCAAGGCCTGCTTTCCTCATTAAAAACAAGGAGTACCAAAGGGTTAGGCATGAAAGATATTCAGGCCCCCAGCTGAGCCCCTCTCCTTGACTGTAGTCAGAAAAAGGAATGACTTTCTCACTGTGTTATTCAAGGTTATTTAAAGCTCTGTGTGAAGTTCACACAGCCTCGTCTCCAACTGGGACCGGTATGCAATTCTCATTTCAGGAAACATTGCGTTATTTCTTTGGCTCCTTATAGTTCTATGGAGTAGGCTGTGCTATTATTGTCTTTTCATTTGAGGAGGAAATTTAGGCTCAGAGAAGTGAAGCCACCTGCCCAAAGTCACACAGCTGCCTCAGCCTCGAGCACATGAGCTTGTTTCTGAATTACTCTCTGGATTTTTCTATTTAAAAAAAAATTTCTTCTTCTTTTTCAAATTTTCCTTTTCATGGTGAACATCATCCGTTTGGACTGGTGGCTGGTATTCCCACTGATGGATGCCTTTGCTTTTCCCTTCTGGCCCTCCGGGTCACAGTGAGAGTAGGGCCCTGTCAACCTCCCTACTTGGGTTTACTTGTGGCTTCCTTCTGGTGGGGAGAGATGACTGTCCCTGCCTTAGTCTCTCACTCAGGCGGTTGGAGCCAGTGCCAGGGTCAGTGTGGATTCTGACCGCCTCTGGGGACACAGGTCAATACAGACAGCCCCACCCCCCCCTGCAGAAATCTGGACACGTCTGCAGGGTGCTGGGGTCCGGGGGATTCCTTGGGTTCACGCTCCACCTTCACATCCCCAGAGGGACCTTATGCCAGTGTGGGCGTCCTCGGAGTGCCCACCCCTCAGTGGCTGTGGAGGATGCATTTGGTGCAGCCGTGGTGACTGTGTGGGACAGTGACGTGCACACCACAGAGAAGCCCACTGACGCCTATGGGGACCTGGACTTCCAGGGCGCCGGTCGCAGGACTAGCAACGTGAGGCCTGCATGCCTGGGCGGGGTGGGGGCTGAGCCTGCCTGGGCGCCCCCCCCGGAGGTCAGGGCTGCCCAAGCTGAAGGCTGCGTCTCCACTGGCCCGTCCCTGGCCCTTTCTCCACCTCTGTCCCCTGGTGCTGAGACTCTGTCCTCTGTCTCTGGGTCTCGGTTCCTCTCTCTTTGGGTCTCTGTCCTCCTTTGTCTCTGAGTTTCTGACCTCTTTGTTTGAGTCTCTGTCCTCTGTCTCTGGGTCTCTGACCTCTGTCTCTGGGTCTCTGTCCTCTGTCTCTGGGTCTCTGTCCTCTGTCTCTGGGTCTCTGTCCTCTGTCTCTGGGTCTTGGTCCCTTCCTCTTTGGGTCTCCATCCTTGTCTTTCTGGGTGTCTGTCCTCCTCTGTCTCTGTCACCTTCCCCATGTCCCTTCCTCCTGTGTGTCCACAGTTCCTCCGGCTCTCTGACCGTACGGATCCGGCGACAGTCTATAGCCTGGTCACGCGGGCGTGGGGCTTTCAAGCTCCGAACCTGGTGGTGTCAGTGCTGGGGGGTTCCAGTGGCCCTGTCCTCCAGACCTGGCTGCAGGACCTGCTGCGACGTGGCCTGGTCCGGGCTGCCCAGAGCACAGGTGACCAAGGGTGGGCGGGCCATGTCTCCAGGGCATGGGCCCACTGCCTTCTCCGGGCCTCTCTGGATTCTGCCCACCTCCAATTTTTATGTGACCCTGTCACATGCTGTTTTCCTCCCTGTCTCTACGTGTCTTTCCCTGTGTGTAGGGGCCTGGATTGTCACTGGGGGGCTGCACACAGGCATTGGCCGGCATGTTGGTGTGGCTGTGCGGGACCACCAGACGGCCAGCACGGGGGGCACCAACGTGGTGGCCATGGGAGTGGCCCCCTGGGGTGTGGTTCGAAATAGAGACACCCTCACCAACCCCAAGGTACAGCCCTGGGTCCTAAAAAAGGTGGAGGGCTTGGGGCTCGGACCCTGATGCTGAAGAGCCGTGGCCCTGGGTCACGAGGGCACGGGGTGGTGCTGTCCCCCCAGAAAGGCTCACTGGTCTGGCTATTTGTCCCCCAGGGCTCGTTCCCTGCGAAGTACCGGTGGCACGGTGACCCTGAAGATGGGATCGAGTTTCCCCTGGACTACAATTACTCGGCCTTCTTCCTGGTGGACGATGGTACCCACGGTCGCCTGGGCGGGGAGGACCGCTTCCGCCTGCGGTTTGAGACCTACGTGTCGCAGCAGAAGACCGGGGTGGGAGGTGAGTGACTTTTTGGACCTGTGACCCCATGGCCAATGCTCAGGATCCCGGTGATCAAAATCTGGGGCGGGCTGGGGCTGTGGCTCAGCAGCAGAGCGCTTGCCTAGCACGTGCGAGGCCCTGGGTTCCATCCTCAGCCCCACATAAAAATAAATAAATAAAATAAAGGTACTGTGTCCAACTACAAGTAAAAAAATAAATATCAAAAAAATCTTGCTGGGTGTGGTGGCACTTATCTTTAATCTCAATAACTCAGGAGGCTGAGGCAGGAGGATGGAAAGTTTGGGGCCAGCCTCAGCAATTTAGTGGAACCTTGCTCAAAATAAAAAAAAAATACAAAGGGTTGGGGGTGTGGAGGCTGTGGTAGAGGCCTCTGGGTTCAATCCCCAGTGTCGGATGGGAGAGGAAGAGAAAAGCAGACTTTTATCAGCCCCCATTTTTTTCTCTTGTCTCCCTCAAGGGTCATCACCAGCCCCATACTCATAGCAGACAGTCACGGGGACCCACCCCAGGCCCTTGTGCCTGTTGGGCAAGTGCTTTACCACTGAGCCACACTTCCAGGCCCAAGGGAGTATTTTTTTTTTTTTTAAACTGAGTGATGATGAGCTCATGACATACCCATGTTGATGGGATGCAGGAAAAGCAGCATTTAGAGTGAAATTCATAGCTTTAAATGCATATGTTGAAAAGAGAAAAGGCTGAAAATCAGTGATCTAAGCTTCCAAATTAGAAAAACAAACATAAACCTCTTTTCCCCCAGAACCAGAATAGCAGCTCCAATCCCAGGAAGCTAGGAAATAATAAACTGAAGGGCAGGAATTAATAAAATAGCAACCCATGTATAGAGGAGAAAAATCAACAAAGTGAATGAAACAGCAAGACCTTGGTAAACTTGTTTGGGTGTGCATTGGTGCTGGGGTAGGACCTGGGTCTCTCTCATGCTGGGCCAGAGCTCTACTGCTTAGCTGCATCCCAGCCCCAATTAACTTGATTTTTTTGTGTGTGGTGCTGGGCATTGAACCCAGGACCTTATGCACGTGAGGCAAGCACTCTCCCAACTGACCTGTATCCCAGCCCCTTAACTTAATTCTTAAAATATCTCTCTGTACTCAATATTAACCTTACTTTTTAAGTTAGCATATGGTAGTAAAAGTGATTTTGTTGGGTGGCATTTTATGAATGTTAGTAGGTGAATGGAGCCATGTATCCTTGACCACAAAAGGAACACAGACCGGTTCTGTTACCACGAAGGAATTCTGTTTGTATGTCTAACCCAGGCGACCACATTGTGTTCTCCATCACTATGGTTTTGTCTTTGTGAGGAGCGCATATAAATGGAGGACAGGTTTAGGAACCCTTATTGGAAATACTTGGGACTCACAATGTTTCCAGTTTTGGAGATTTTCAGATTTTGGAATATTTGCATAGATTTTTTTCTGGTAGAACAACGCCAAACAGAAAATTTTGAAATCCAAAATGATCCATGATTCAAACCTTTTTGAGCATGATGGAATCACTCACAATGTTTCAGATTTTGGAACATTTAGGTTTCAGACTTCTGGATGAGGGGTATTCAGCCCGTAACGTGATATGTGACCTTTTGGTACTGGTTGTCTTTACTTAAGATAAGGTCTGAAGGCAACTTTAGTATGTGCCTGGAGAAATAAATCAAACCATAAAAAGGTGTATAAAGAAAAAAATTAACATACTATGTAACCTTTTGGTACTGGCTTCGTTTATTCAATGTAAGGTATTATGGCAACTTTAATGTGCTCATCGAAACAAATCAGAAAAAGGCCTATAAAGGGCTGGGGTTGTGGCTCAGTGGCAGAGCGCTTGCCTACTTGTGTGAGGCACTGGATTGGATTTTCAGCACCACATATAAATTAATAAAATAAAGGTCCAATGACAACTAAAAAAATTTTTAAAAAGGCATATAAAGAAATAATTAATTGTCTTCCTCTCCCAGGTCCCCCTCTCCCTACACTGGGGGTAATCAGTGTTCTGTAGTTTGGAGTTGACCCTTTTGTAACTTTCTCTGTTATAAAATTCTATGCCATTATATTTCCATCTGTATGGTATTTCTTTCTTGTTCTTTGTGTTTGTGTGTGTGTGGGGGGGAGTACTGGGGATTGAATCCAGGGACACTTTACCCCTAAGCTACACCCCAGAACTTTTTATTTTTCTTATTTTTAGACAGGGTCTCACTAAATTGCTGAGGCTGGCTTGGCATTTAACAATCTTCCTGCCGAGCATCATGGCACATACCTGTAATGCCAGTGGCTCAGGAGGCTGAGGCAGGAGGATCACAAATTCAAAGCCAGCCTTTGCAAGTTAGTGAGGCCCTAAGCAACTCAGTAAGATCTATCTCAAAATAAAAAGATAAAAAGGGCTGGGATGTGGCTTTGTGGTTAAATTCCCCTGGGTTCTGCCTCAGCCTCCTGTGTCCCTGGGATTACGGGCATGTTCTGCACCAGGCTTTCAAGAACATCCTTTTTTGGTGGGGGGGTGGGACTGGGGATTGAACTCAGGGGCACTCAGCCACTGAGCCACATCCCCAGCCCTATTTTGTATTTTATTAGAGACAGGGTCTCACTGAGTTGCTTAGTACCTTGCTTTTGCTGAGGCTGGCTTTGAACTTGCGATCCCCCTGCCTCAGCGTTCTGAGCTGCTGGGATTACACGTGAGTACCACTGCACCCAGCCCTCGTGAGCATTCTTTAGGTCCAAATTTCTCCATCTTGCTGCTTCTTCTAATAATTGATGATATTCCTTAGTAAGGATGTGTCATCTATTTTTTTCAAAAAATTTTCAGTTGTCAGATACTTAAGGTTTTACTAGTGTTAGGCACTAAGAATAATGCTGGAGAAATCTTTAAATGGACAACCTTACATAGGGCTGTTTTAGATTCAAGTGGGATTGCCGGGTGTGGATTTTAATAGATAGATATTACCGGGGGACTAAAAATTTGTAGCAATTTTCACTCTCATCCACAGTGCATGAGGGGGCTGGAGTTGTAGCTCAGCGGTAGAGCCCTTGCGTAGAAAGTCTGAGGCCCTGGGTTTGACTCTCAGCACCGCATGAAAATAGATAAAATAAAGGTCCATTGACAACTATATATATGTAATTCCTCCTTTCCCAGCAGAACTGGGAAGCCATGGTTACACACTGACTTCCTTTATGTGAGAGCCTCTTCCTTCCCACCCCTCTGTCTCTTCTTATGCTTAAACTGTGTTTTGATTAGAGCGGTTTAAAGATGTTTTAATGCTGTAGATGTTAGGAAAGTTCCTCCTGACTGTCCTTTCTCAAACATTTATGCTGGGTGCAGTGGTGCACACCAGTAATTCCAGTGACTAGGGAGGCTGAGGCAGGAGGATTGCAGGTTTGAGGCCAGCCTCAGCAATATAGTGAGACTCTAAGCTATACAGCGAGACCTTGCCTCAAAATTAAAAACAAAAAGGGTTGGCGTGTAGCTCAATGGTAAAATATCCCTAGGTTCAATCTCTAGTACCCTCCAAATCCTGTTCTGTTTATAAAAGGGTAAACACCTCTACACTTCCCCTAAGCCACCCCCTACTTTCCCCAAACCTCAATGAATTTATGTGTTAATTTATAACAGGTTAAATTGATGTTAGTTTTTTTTCATTTATTCAGGTTTTGTCCTTAAATAAGATTTATAAATTTCCTCATAACAATTCTGTACTTCTTTGGATGAAATAATTCCCAGATATATTATAGTTTTTATCAGAACAAAATATAGATTATAAATAAATTGAAGAAGTTTTTTTGTGTGAATCTTTTGTATCAATCTTACCAGATTCTTATTAATATTTATTTTTTTTAGCTGTTGATGTACCTTTATTTTTTTTATTTATATGTGGCGCTGAGAATCAAATCCAGTGCCTCACACATACTAGGCAAGTGCTGGTACCACTGAGCCACAACCCCAAACCCAATATTTTTTAATTTTTATTTTTTGGTAGAGTCTTCCAAGTTTTTAAGGACATAAACCATATTTTCTTCAAATAGATAAACTCTGTCTCTTCCAGCTTTAAGAAAAAAATACCAGTTTTGATTTCAGTCATTTCACTTTCTTTTCTTTCTTCTTATTTTTTTTTCTTTTTGGCACTGGGGATTGAACCCAGGGATGCTTTACATGCTCAGTCATTTTTAATTTTTTATTTTGAGACAAGTTCTCACTGAGTTGCTTAAGGCCTTGCTAAATTGCTGAGGCTGGCCTCCTACTTTCGATCCTCCTGCCTCAGCCTCCCTAATTGCTGGGATTATGGGCAATATTACCACTCCCAGCTAGTTATTTCATTTTATTACATCATTATATCAGTTCAGAACTCCAGGATGAGGGAGTATGAGTGATGGTAATACAGACTAGTTTATTATTTAATGAGAAGAGAGTCAGTATAAAACCATTGCACGAAATTGCTATTGGACTTTGATTAGTATCTTTATTGTGTTTCAGTAGTCCTCTGTATTTGTATTTCCTTCATTTTCTACTTGAACTCCCACCTCATCTGGTTTCTGAGTGGTTAATCAACTATAAGATTGACTCATACAAGAGATATCTGGGTCATTCAGGGGCCCAGGAGTCCAGTTCCCAAGCCTCTCCTTCCTTGGGAATTTAAGCATTACTGTCTTCAAAATCTGGCCTCTCCCCAAAGTGCGAAGAGAAGTGTCGATTCCCATGAGCCCCAGACACAAGGCTGGGAAGAGGCTGATGTTTGCCTCAGGGGATCCTGGGAAATGTGGTTCTCCCCCATCCTCAGCAAAGGTGGATGGGAAGTCACCAAGCCTGGCTCTCCTCTCCCAGGGACTGGAATCGACATCCCTGTGCTCCTCCTCCTGATCGATGGTGATGAGAAGATGCTGAAGGTACAGTGCACTGGCTAAGGCGGAGGGGAGTTAGGGGCCACGGCTCTTGGGGCCTGAGTCTTAGGGAAGGAGGGACTGGACATCTGGACCCAGGTCCGGTGAACATCCTGCCTTCCCTGACCCGCTGTCCCCGTGTCCTCTAGCGGATTGAGGATGCCACCGAGGCTCAGCTCCCCTGCCTCTTGGTGGCTGGCTCTGGGGGTGCTGCTGACTGCCTGGCAGAGACCCTGGAAGACACCCTGGCTCCAGGGAGTGGGGGAGTCAGGAGAGGTGAAGCCCACGATCGGATTAAGCGTTTCTTCCCCAAAGGGGACCCTGAGGTCCTCCACGCCCAGGTATGACCTGGGGATCTTGAGATGGGAGGGGGCTGGGGACCAGGACTACTAGGTCCCGGGGGGGGGGGGGGGGGGACTCTGCATCTCTGTGTGTGGACAGGGCCCAGGAGGGGGTGGGCTGGGGATTCAGAGTCAGGTGTTGTGCAGGTGGAGAGGATCATGACCCGGAAGGAGCTGCTGACTGTCTACTCATCGGAGGATGGCTCTGAAGAATTCGAGACCATCGTTTTGAAGGCCCTCGTGAAAGGTAAGACTTGGCCAACCTTGGACGCCTTTCCTGGCCTGGACACTTCATCATCATCGCTGATCTAAGGCCTCTGACCCTTTCTCGTGTCCCTTCCTCTCTTCAGTGTTTCTTTCTTTCTTTTTCTGGGGTGGGTGATAGGGGACCAGGGGCACTTACTCACTGAGCCACATCCCCAGCCCTTTTTATATTTCATTTTGAGACGGGATCTCGCTGAGTTGCTCAGGGCCTCACTAAGTTGCTGAGGCTGGCTTTTAACTCGTGATTCTCCTGCCTCAGCCTCCTGAGCCGCTGGGATCACAGGCGTGCACCACGGAGTGTTTCTCTGGGCCTCGCCTGGTGCTGTTTGGACGGGGCTTTCATTGTGTTTCAACGTCTGCTTCACTCTGTTGGATCCACCCGTCCAGCCTTTCATCTTCCCACCAATCCAGCCATGTGCATGTGGATCTTTTCATTTGTTCATCTACCCACCATTCCATTCATCCTCATTCCTCCTCTCTTCCTCCCATCCACCCATCCACCCGTCCTTTTACCTGTTCATCCACATGTCCACTGACAGTTACATCCACTCATTCTTCCATCCATCCGCCCAACGACTTTTCTGTCCCCCCATCCATCCACCACTCTTGCTCCAGCCCACGGTAAGCACTTTGCTAGGACATGCACCAGAGCATCTTTCTCTCAGTGAGAAACTGCTATCTCACCCGAGGTGGCAGCTCAGCCGACTGAATGGTGAACACAGGACAGGAATGTAACGGATGGGGCTCATTCAGTCATGCAACAGACGTCATCCCAGGCGACAGACATTACAGAGGTCCATTTTCTTCTCTCAAGGAGTCCAGATCCTATCCTAGTAGGGTTGTCTGGGCACTTTTTTTTTTTTTTTTTTTGGTGGTGGTGCTGGGCATGGAAACCAGGGCTTCTCCCAACTAGGCAACTGCACTATCACAGAACCACCTGCCCAGCCCTGCAATATCTTTAAGTAAAATTTAAGACCAAAACAGGCAAGAATCGCTGTCACAGGGGAGAAACTTCAAGGAGAGGTGGCATTTAAACTGGACCTTGAAGAGTGGGTAGAATGTGGACTTAGTAGCAGAGGTGGGATAGATAATTAGCAAGGAGGGTACCCAGGGCTCTCTGGGGATGTGGTAGGGAGGGCCATTTTTCATTCCAGAAGAATTTTAGGGGGAAAATACTCTTTTACATAAAAACTCCCCAGAGGAGGGTCCCCAACCCAGTTGCATCCACGATATTTGTGATGTAGCAGAAAGAGCAGTTGCTTTTGACTTTGGAATCAGTTTAAAACTGAATTTAAGAACCAGTTGGCCTTTTCTTGCTATGAGACCTTAATAAAGAGACTTCCCACCAGGTGCTGTGGTACACACCTGTAATCCCAGTGATTTGGGAGGATTGTAAGTTTGAGGTCAGCCTCAGCAACTTAGACTCTGTCTCAAAATAAAAAAATAAAAAGGGCGGGGGATGTGGCTTGATGACAAAGTGCCCTTGGATTCAGTCCCTGGTATCCAGAGAGAGAGAGAGAGAGAGAGAGAGAGAGAGAGAGAGAGAGACTTCCCCTTGCTGAGCCTCAGTTTCTATGAAAAAGGCAGACAATATCTTGTAGGCATATCATGAGCCTCAGGGCAACATATGAGTAGTGCCAGGTCCCCTGTGGGGACTCACAAATGGGGACTCTTAATATGATTCTGTTTCCTTCGAGAACAAATCCTTAAATGTGGGATGACAGTGAACAAATCGGATTCACTGTTCAGAAGTTAACGCAGCAATCTCCTGGGAGAAAACACAGCTGCTCAGGAAGATGTGGGTGGAGGGGGCAGGGTTGTCTGTGGCCTGCAGAGGTAGAAGTGACGGCTGTCCCCTGGGGAAACTGAAGACCGCTGCCTGCGGGGATGGCAGAGTTGAATGGATGGGGTTTCAGTGAGAAGGGAGGGGGAAGGGAACAGCGCTCCTTTTAGTCCTGGAAGGTCCAGGAGCGGCGTTGAGAGCAGCTGGCATCCACTTTGCCCTTCATCCTCACCGCTGCCTGCAAGGAGAGTGCCCCCAATCTTGCAGATGAAGGGAATGAGGCTCAGAGAGAGACGTGACTTGCCCCAGGTCATCCACTAGTGACAGTGGCCAGGGTCTGTATGCTTCAAGACTCAGGTCTGTCTGCCTCTGTCCCTAGCACGGGGCAACCCTGGGGAGAGGGCAGAGGCTCAGCTGGATGGAATGTGGCAGGAAAAGAGTGTTGGGAGCAAGGCCAGTGAGGTGGCTGGGGCCCCACCACCTGGGACCTCAAATGCCAGGCTGAGGGGCTGGGACTTTGTCCTGAGAGGCCATCGGGAACTAGAGTCAGATCTGGGAGCAGAAGGACCCTCTTCAGTGTGGAGAGGAGAGACACAACCATGATCCAGGGAGGAGGCTGCGGTGGGGCCAGGGGAGGCAGCCGGGGCCATGGAGGCCCAGGAGACGGAGCCCAGGTTGGAGACGGTCCTGGGGGGCGGATGGGCTGTGGGATACAGGGGCGGAAGGGGCAGGCACAGGTCCTGGGGTGGGCCTCACTGCCCAGGTGGGCCCGCGGGAACATGGGCTTCAGGATAGATGCTGAGTTCAGTCAGATGTCGTGACAAGCACGAAGGGACCAGGGAGGTTCTTGTGACCAGTGACACCAGGTTCAGGTGGAGTGTAAAGCAGCATCTTGTAAAACATCTTATTTTCTTCTCTTGAAATTGAGGAAACTCGAGCCAGTCTATGTTCAGATTCCCTTTCCAGCTTCATTTTCTGCCCTTTCACAAGATACTGCACGTTTCAGAAACGAGAAGCCTCACATGTGGGGTCAGACCCCGTGTCCTGCACCCAGGCCATCACTCACCCAGCTCCTGAGGCCTGGGGTGTCCTCTCCCCAATAGAAGCACACCTCCAGGTCCTAGCAGCCTCCCAAGTCCTCCTCAGTGCCCAGCTTCTGGGGGCTCTCAGGCCACTCCGGGTCTCGGTGGGTAGCCACCTGTGGGCCCTAGGTATTTCCTATGCCCATTGCCAGGGGCCCAGGCATGCTGGGAAGGCTGTGAGTCCTACCACCTCCCCAGTAGATGAGCTTTAGGGGCAGGTATGATCTGATTTCTCTCTGTGGCTCCCATTTGCCTGATTGATTACCTACCTTAACAAATGTTAAATAAATAAGGTGTTTTTTTTTTTCTTTCTTCTTCCTGGTGGTTCCAAACCCGTGCTCTGTGCTCAGGCCCTGGTCCCAAGGGCCTTACCTGCTAACAGCCTGCCGGCTTAAGGCCCCAGCCTACCCAGCAGCTCCTCCACACCCAGAGCTGGGGCGCCAGACAGCTCACAGCAGCCAACCCACCCCTCCCCTGACTTCTGTCCCCCCTCCTTGTCATCTTTCCAGCCTGTGGGACCTCTGAGGCCTCAGCTTACCTTGACGAGCTGCGTCTGGCTGTGGCTTGGAATCGGGTGGACATTGCCCAGAGTGAACTCTTCCGGGGGGACATCCAGTGGCGGGTGAGGGGTCAGAGCTGGGGATTCTGGCAAAAGAGGTGCACTGTTTCCCTCCCCGACTTCTTGGCCACCTGGTCCTGCCTTCCATTCACTGTCCATCCTCTGGGGGTGTTCCTCTGTTCCCATCCATCGTCACTCACTGCACCGTATCCCCATCTCTTGCCCTTAACCTCTGAGCTCCCTTGACCCATCTCTTCCCCTCTTCGCCCCGCCCCACAGTCCTTCCACCTGGAGGCGTCCCTCATGGACGCCCTGCTGAATGATCGGCCGGAGTTTGTGCGCTTGCTCATCTCCCACGGCCTCAGCCTGGGCCACTTCCTGACCCCGATACGCCTGGCGCAGCTGTACAGCGCAGTGCCCCCCCACTCCCTCATCCGCAGTCTCCTGGACCAGGCGTCCCACTGGTCGGGCACCAAAGGCCAGTCTCTAAAAGGGGGTTCTGCGGAGCTCCGGCCGCCCAATGTAGGCCACGTGCTGAGGACACTGCTGGGAGAGACGTGCGCCCCGAGGTACCCCTCCACTGACGTCCGGGACCCCCACACCGGCCAGGGCTGCAGGGAGAGTGTAAGGACCCGGAGAGGCTCAGGGCACAAGGAGGGTGGGGCTACTTCTGGGAGGGGTGTGGCCTGAGGGGTGTGTGGCCTGAGCAAGGGGGTGCGGCCAACCCCAGGGGGCGGGGCCGAGGGGGATTCGGTGGTGGTTCGTGTAGGCCAGTCTTGGCATTCCTCCCTTTGATTTGATTGCAGGCTTGTCTGCTCTCGGACTGGGCCACCTTGGAACCTTCGATGGACGCTGCCTTTGGGCAGGCTCCCTGGAGTGACCTGCTCCTCTGGGCGCTGCTGCTGAACAGAGCCCAGATGGCCATGTACTTCTGGGAGAAGGTGAGTGCCGACTCTCTTCTGGGACCCTACTCTCCTACATCTCTGTCTTTTATTCCTTGGGGACACCAAGGACCCCTCTAGATGCCCTGACCTCTGATATCACCTGACCCACATTCCATGCTCTGCCTCAGCTACATGACTCCAACGACTTTGTCTTCTTCTTTTTTTAAAAAATATTTTTCTTAGTTTTAGGTGGGCACAATATCTTTATTTTATTTTTATGTGGTGCTGAGAATCGAACCCAGTGCCTCACGCATGCCAGGCGAGTGCGCTACCACTTGAACCACATCCCCAGCCCTGTCTTTTTTTTTTCTTATGACCTTTTCATAACTTTTTTCTCCATGAACAACATGTATTGGGAATTTTCCATGTTCACACATGTAACTCAACCTTATTCTTTCAAAACTGTTGCCTATGGAAGACTAGGCATGGTCCTGTGGGGCAGGGAGTCATTTAGGCAGAGTTCCGCCTGTGGAGTAGCTGTGTCATTGTAGCTGCCCATGAAAGGGGACAACTACAGGCAAGGAAGCAAGGTGGGTTCTCCAGGCCGCTGTGGTGAGGCCCAGACTAGAGGGGTGAGGGTGTTAGAGATGCTGGGGCACCTCAGATGCTCCAGAAGCTCAAACTACAACCCAAAGAGTCAGTGCTGGAAGAGGCCCCAAGGTCATAGAAGCAATCTTGACAGGGGCCCCTTCAGTAGTGGGCTGTTTGAACCCTTCAGGTCACTGGCACAAATTTTAAAATTCAAATACTTTTATTTTAATGGAGATAAAATTCACATAACATAAAAATTCACCACATAAGTCATTTAAAAGTGTGCACGTGAGGCTGGGGCTGTAGTTAGTTGGTAGAACATGTGCTTTGCATGTGTGAGGCACTGGCTTCAATCCGCAGCACCACATTAAAAAAAAAAAAAAAGTGTGCAATTTAGTGACACTTAGTATACTCATAAAGTTGTGTATCCACCACTACCTAGATCTGCACTTTTTAAACACCTCACATAGAAACCTCGAACTCACTAAGCGATCTCTCCACATTCCCGTCCCTTCCTTGCCCACCCTCTGGCAACTGCTGGTATGCTTTCTGTTTCTATGGATTTAACTATTTTGTATATTTCATATACATGGAATCATATACTATGTGACCTTTTATGACTGTCTTCTTTCACTCAGCATAATATTTTCTTTTTTGGGGGGAGTACTGGGGATTGAACCCAGGGGTGCTTAACCACTGAACCATGTCCCAGGCCTTTTTAAAATTTTTATTTTGAGACAGTCTTGCTAAGTTGCTCAGACTGGCCTGAAACTGGTGATCCTCTTGCCTCAGCCTTCCAGGTCCCTGGGATTACAGGCATGTGCCACCACACCCAACTCAGCATACTATTTTAAAAGCCCATCAATGTCATAGCAGTTGTCAGTGCTTTGGTCCTTTTTATAGCTAAATAACATTCCTTATGAGGATAAGCCATCCTTCTGCTGCGGAAGAAGAGATGACTCTGAAGAAGGGTCTGTGGAGTTCCTGGAGAGAAGGGGGAACTCAACTCAGGACTAGTGGGGTTCTTGGCATATGTGACGGAAAAGAATTTCAGCACGCACCAGTCAAAGGCATAGATAGAGGTTTATTCAGGAAGCAGACACCCATTCAAAGGAGAATGGGGACAGTCTCAAAAGAGAGATTTTTTTCCCCTTTGGGGGAAAGCAAGGAATAAGCACTGAGGGGAGAAAGTGGGCCACTTCCAAGGGGAGAGACTGCACCTGCTGGTGTGGGGGTTGATATCTGTAGAGGGCAGTACTAGGGCCCAGGTCAGAGGTGGAGGCAGGGTGGAGCCACACAATTTGGGGCCAGTTTTTCCTTTGCTTGAGCATTTCCCTCATTTTACAAGTGCAGGTGCTTGAAGAGATACAACTGTGCTTTCTGCATTGTAATGGCCTGTGGTCATTTCCTTTAAAATTCATCTCTCTCTCTTTCTTCATCCTGAATTCCTATCTCACATCCATTCTGGTTATCCTGCTTTTTGGCTATTAAGAATAATGTTGCTATGAACATTCATGCACAAGTTTTGTTTCAATGCATGTTTTCAGCTCTTCCGGGTCTGAAGCTAGAAGAGCCATTGCTGGGGCTAGAGTAACTGTTAACTTTTTGAGGAACTGCCAGACTTATCCACAGTGGTTGTACGTTCAGACCAGCAATGTACAGTGGTTCCGTTTTCTCTACATCCTTATCAATGCTTGTTATTTTCTGTTTTAAAAAATATAGCCAGAAGCAGTGGTGCACACCTGTCATCCCAGCTACTCAGGAAGCTGAGACAGGAGCAGTTCTAGAGCAGTCTGGGCAATTTAAGCAAGAACCTGCCTCAAAAATAAAATTTAAAAAGGGCTGGGGATGGTCTGGGGTTGTGGCTCAGTGGTAGAGCACTCACCTAGCACGTGTGAGGCCCTGGATTCTATCCTCAGCACCACATTAATTTAAATAAGATAAAGGTATTGTGTCCAACTATATATATATATATATATATATATATATATATATATATATATAGAGAGAGAGAGAGAGAGAGAGAGAGAGAGAATTTTTTAATTTTATTTTTCAGTGGACACAACATCTTTATTTTATTTTTATGTGGTGCTAAGGATCGAACCCAGCGCCCGGCGCATGCCAGGCGAGCGCGTTACCGCTTGAGCCACATCCCTAGCCCCCCCCCCCCCCCCCCCCCCCCCCCCCCCCCCCTTTTTAAAGGCTGGGGATATAGCTCAGGAGTTGAGTGCTTGCTTAGTATGTGTGAGAGGGCTTTAGTTCAACCCCCAGTACCACCCCCTCCAATATATAGATATAAATATATAAAAATAAATATATATATATGCATATGTATCATAAAACTTTACTATTTTAACATGTTTAAGTATACACTTGAGCAGTGTTCACTTATTGAGTAACCATCGCATGATCTTTTCTTCTCCCCCAACTGAACTCTGTACCTTTGAAATAAAAACTCCCCCTTCCCCCCCAGCTCCTGACAACCCCCGTTCTATTTCCTGTCTCTGAGAGTGGCCAGTCACTCCAGGGACCTCGTCTCCGTGGAATCACGCAGTGTTTGTCCACATGAAGGCTCACCCGATCCTTGGCCCCCGGTGAACTCAGTCGGTTTCTGACCTCTGACTCTGTCCCTTCCTCGGCGACTGGCTTTCTTTGCCCCCTCCCCTGAACTTCACTCCACCCCGTGACCCCAGCCGGGCCCCCTTTCTCTGCCTCTGCAGGGCACCAACGCTGTGGCCTCGGCCCTGGGGGCCTGTTTGCTGCTCCGGGTGATGGCCCGGCTGGAACCTGAGGCGGAGGAGGCGGCGCGGCGGAAGGACTTGGCGGTCAAGTTCGAGGGCATGGCCGTCGGTGTGTGGGCCTCGCGCCTGGGAGCAGGGACCCGGGCTACGCGGGAAGGGGCCGTGCATCTCCCGCCTCCTCTCACCCCTGCTTCTCCGCGGACCCCGCAGATCTCTTCGGCGCGTGCTACCGCAGCAGCGAAGACAGGGCTGCCCGCCTCCTGCTGCGCCGCTGCCCGCTGTGGGGGGACGCCACCTGCCTCCAGCTTGCCATGCAGGCCGATGCCCGTGCCTTCTTCGCCCAGGATGGGGTGCAGGTGAGCAGGACTCCGGGGACTACTGGGTTGTGCCCTGCCCCGGGGAGCAGCTCCTCTCCTTGCTCTGCTCTGCTCCCGTAAGAAGCCCCACGCTGTCGCAGAGAGCCAGCCTTCCCTCGGTGGCCTAGGGGTCGCCCTTGGCTGCAGTGGGAGGCTCCTCCTCTCGCAGGAGGAAGTGGCTCACAGGCAGAAAGTGCTTCCCACTTCCTTAAGAGGTCCTGATTCTGGTCCCCAGCAAGTAGAACGACGTCACCGGACAGTTTCCTGGTGTTTTTGACCTAGACGAACTTTGGTTTCAGAAGTCCCGCCCTTGGTGTACAAAACTCTCCCCCTGGACCTCGCAGCCTCTCCAGCCCTGACAATCAGACATTTTAAAAACTTTCTCTGCATCCTTAAATTAAATCGGACTGGAGCTCAGAAGTTCCCATCCCTAATGCCGAAAGTTCTGCCCACCCAGCAGGGAGTCCCATCTGCACCTGGGGGTAAACCCAGTCCTTTGCTTTGAATTCTGGTGAAACTCCCGGTGCCAGACCTACCACTTGCTGATTACATCTCCTTGGGCCATTTCCTTATCCTGACCATCCCATTGCGTGTGTGGCCAGGGTGAAGTGCGCTCATCTAGGGAAAGGGCGTAGCCCAGCGTCCAGTGCAGCGTGTAAGAAACATGGCTGCTAATCTCTGCTAGCCCAAACCCGAGGCTCTTCCACGTGGAAGGCTTCCACCACCCCAGACAGTTATGGCCTCCACGTTGGGAACCTGCTCTGTGCTGTGGAGCTGTGACCCAGGCCGTGGGGCCTCTTAGGGAAGGGGCTCGGGGAGATTCAGGCTCCTAATCCTCCCGACGCCCCACAGTCCCTGCTGACGCAGAAGTGGTGGGGGGAGATGGACAGCACCACACCCATCTGGGCCCTGGTTCTCGCCTTCTTCTGCCCCCCACTCATCTACGCCAACCTCATCACCTTCAGGTCAGTCCCCTGGGGTGAGGCTGGCAGTGGGGTGCTTGGCTGCTCCTTCCTGCTCACGCCTCCCCATTTTCTTACTTGGTCCACCCAGTGTGTCTCTCCTCTCCTGGAGGGAGTACTCTGGAAGGTGAGCTTTGTGGGGTGCTGTGCAGTGTCTCTAGGGCAGCTCCTTTGCTTCTGGCTGTGGTTCCTGGGGAAGGCCCCTTCGGGGTGACTGCAGCAGGCCTGCCGCTGTCTCCCTGCAGTGTCTTTGGGTGAAGAAATTGGAGTCTTTTTGGAGATCTCTCCTCCTCCATTCCTCACTTGCTGCTTCTCTTCATGCCAGGAATTCAGAAGAGGAGTCCACACAGAAGGACCCAGACTTAGACACGGGTGCCGGAATTAACGGGGAAGGGCCCGTTGGGTGAGTGACAGTCCCAGGGCAGTGGGAGGTGGGGGTACCCTGGGAAGTCTCAGGATAGGTATGGGTAGCTTCTGTGTCCCACCAGGGGTTGGGAGCAAGAGCAAGGGCAGAGGTGGTAACTGGAACTTGGGGAAATAATAAAGGTTTCAGTGAGGCACTGAAGACACTGAAGAAATTTCTAAAATGTCAACTTCAAGACTTGGCTCAAGATTTGGCTGTGCAGGAGTCCCTGGGCCCATCTCACTAGTCATCAAGTCATCACTAGAGGTCACCTCGTGCCACAGGTGCTTCCATTCCTCAAAACCAAGTGGAATCACGTGGAACTATTTTTTTTTATATTTATTTTTTTTTAGCTGTAGTTGGATACAAACCTTTAATTTTATTTATTCATTTTTATGTGGGCTTCGCACATGCTAGGTGAGCGCTCTACCACTGAGCTGCAGCCTCAGTTCCTATGGAATTGGTTTATTTAGGAATTTCACCAACTTTCTCTGACATCACGGCTCTTGCTTTTAGTCACTGTGTAGTGGTACCCAGGAAGGCATTTAAAATCAGGCCCTGTGGGTCTGGAGGTCTAGTTCAGGGGCAGGATGTCTGCCTACCCTGTGGGCAGTCGTGAGTTGTCTGAGTTTGTGTACATGCACTCTGATATTAGCACAGTGATGAAATCACATAATAATGCATTTCTCAGAATGTGTCCCTGTTGTTAAGTGACATGTGATTGTGTATATATAGTTTTGTGAGACTGTATACAAAGAATACAAACTGTTCATCATGATAGAAAAGAAAAACTAAGATAAACATCTGGACCATTGAATAAGGTTGGGTAGAGGTGGAGTCATATACCATATGGTCTTTTATGACTGATTTTCAAGATTTCTTCATGTGATAGCGTGTATCAGTGCTTTGTTCTTTTTTAGTGCTGTATAATTGTCCCCTGTATGGACAGACCTCTTTATTTATCCACTCATCAGTTAATGACATTTGGGTTGTGCCCACTTTTGGACTACTGTCTTTTTGCTCAGTATTTTAATAATAATAATAATTTACTATTATTATAATAATTTATAACTATGAATATTATTATTATTACTATTATTTCATTGTGCTGGAGATGGACCAAGGGATTCCTGTATGCTAGTCAAGCACTCTACCACTGATCTACGTCCCTAGCCCTCTGCTCAACTTTTAAAGAAAGGACATCTCTCCAATTCCATTTGTTTGCTTTTTTTTTTTTTTTTTCTCTCTCTCTCTTTCCTTTATTTTATTTCTTTATTTTTATCTGGTGCTGAGGATTGAACCCAGAGCCTCACACATGCTAGGCGAGTGCTCTACTGCTGAGCCACAACCCCAGCCCTCCTTTTAGCTTTTGAATTGCCCATTAGCAGTACTGTTCATTTGGGTGTGATTTGGGGTCAGAAGAAAGAGGCAGAATGAAATTGGGAGAGAGGATCAGAGCTCAGGTGAGAAAAGTCAGAGGTCTGAGAAGACCCCAAAGGCCAGAATTCAGGGTCTAGTACGGTTGTGTGGCCGCTTATCAGATATAGGGAAGATAATCTCCTATGGGAATTTGTGGGGCAGGGGTTAGTATTTAGGGACTTGGGGGGTTAAACCTGGGGATCCAATCATGAAAGTCAGGGGGTCACAGGTCATTTTGGGAGTCAGGTAGATGATCCAAGGTCAGGGATTGTGAAGTGAAAGAACAGAGTCCAAAGCCACGCAGGGGTCAGAAATTAGAATTCGAGGGTGGAGGAGGCCAGAGATGGGAGGTCAGCAGACTTGATCAAGGGAGATTTCAGAGGTCAGAGGTTAGACTCGGGGTCAAAAGTCAAGAAGGTGGCGTTTGCCTTGGTTTCAGCATGCAGGATGCCAAGCGAGCAGGTGAAGAGGGCAGTTGAGCAAGGTGAGGGGTGTAGATCAGGAGAAGGTCAAGGCTCAGATCCGGTTGGAGCTCCCTCCCTTTTCTCTCCCGCAGGCCCAAGGACGCCCCTGAGAAGGTGCCCCTTGGTGGGCAGCGGCAGCCAAGGTCCCGGGGCTGCTGCGGGGGTTGTGCCCGGCACAGGTGCCTGCGCCGCTGGTCCCACTTCTGGGGGGCACCGGTGACGGCCTTCCTGGGCAACGTGGTCAGCTACCTGCTGTTCCTGCTGCTCTTCGCCCACGTGCTGCTCCTCGACTTCCAGCCGGCGGCGCCCGGGCTGGCCGAGCTGCTGCTCTACTTCTGGGCCTTCACGCTGCTCTGCGAGGAGCTGCGCCAGGGCCTGGGCGGCGGCTGGGGCAGCCTAGCCAGCGGGGGACCCATGCCCGGCCAGACCCCTCTGCGCCACCGCCTGCAGCTCTACCTCGCGGACACCTGGAACCAATGCGACCTGGTGGCGCTCACCTGCTTCCTCCTGGGCGTGGGCTGCAGGTGGGTGCCCAGGCTCAGGGCGACCTGGACCCTCCCCTCCCTCCAGGGCGCTGCTCTGGGATTCTCCGGGGGCAGTAGTTCCAGACAGTGTCCGGGAGTCCCTTCAGCCAAAGCACCCTGGGCCCGCTTGTCACCCACTGGCCCTCCTGGCTTGGTGGCTGCCCCATTCTGCATAGCTGTCTCCAGATTGTGAGGCCTTCACTTTCCATATTTTCTCTTGCTGGGACTGGGCTGTATAATGTTGGCTCATTTCTTCCATAGTTTCCAGATCACACTCTGTGGTGCCCAAACACAGGTCAAAATATCCTCAAAAACAGCTGTCGTGTACTTGGGTCTTGGTGTAAGCTGTTTTCCTTCTGCACTCCCCTTCCTCTCCTTTGCCAACTCCTACACACTTCCTTTAGACCTCAGCTTACTGTTCCTGTCTCTGGAAGCTTCTGGGCCCTTCCTTTGTGTTTCCTCAAGCTCCCCCCAAATGGTGCTCTGACCGTGGTTTGTGCTGTCTGTCCTCACCTATATAAACTCCTCACGTGACATCCGTCTCATCTTCCAGCAACTTTAACCATCTTCTTAATATAGTCTGCTACCAAAGAAATGCAAAGATGCCTCCTCATTAAACAAGATTAAAGCCACGAACAGGGACCTACAACAGACACTGAAGGTTTGCCCCAGTCGTGGCAAGCACTCTTCCTTTCCCAGTGGTGACTTCCACCAACAGTCTGGGGCACGCCCTGCCTGTTCTTTTTCGGTTCATTTCCCTGGATGACACACATCACATCTTTTGTACAAGTGACACGATATTTTATATATCCTTCTGGCAGCTTTTTCTTTTTCTCTACAATATGTCTTTCTCTGTCAGTATTTGCAAATATACCTTATTCTCTGTAAATCCACATCAAATTCCAGAAGATAGGATCTTAGCCATCTTTGGCTAAAGATCAGACAAGACTGGATGCTCTTTGCCAGAATTTAATGAATAAATTAGTTCTTTTCATGAGGCAGTGAGATGAAAGTTTTGAAGTTCAAGAGATAAAAATCACCTGGAGAGCTTCTCAACAAAGACTCTTTCATTTTCTATTCATGATGGTGTAAAGTCATAATCAGATATTAACTGCTTTAGGTCTAGTCCTCCACCTTCTCTCCTTCTTCACTAGAAAGGCCTCAAACTTGTCTAGGCTGGCCTCAAACTTACCATCCTCCTGCCTCAGCCTCCCGAGTAGCCACTGCACCCAGCTCCTTATTTTGATTTTCACATAAGACTTTCTTCATATGACATTCTATCCTACCTAGTTCATGAAGCAGTTCTATATTTTCTTCTGAAAATTTTAATTTTTGCTTTTTACTCTGGGTTTAATCTATCGAAAGTTTAAGTGCATGATAATGCAAGCTAGGGATGTAGTTTTTATTTTCCCCATAGGAATCCTTGGTGTTTGTTGGCCCTTTAAACTTCCTCTGTGAATTGAGTGTATGTTTCCTATTAGGTGCTTGTTTTCTGCTTACTGTTTTGCAGGATCTCTCTATATTTTGCCTTTTATGAGTTGGACAGATATTTCAGTAGTTTTGCCAACTTGATTTTTACAGGGACTGTTGGGCTTTTGCTAAGGCAGCTGTTCATTCAGCCATATTTAGTGGTGCTAGTGTCTTGTGTGGTCCAACTTGGCACTGAGTAAGTTCCAGTAAGCCCCTGGTGAAACAGAGGCCCTGTGAAGGCCTCGGCCTGTTGGGTGTTGGGAAGACTCATTTTCATGGCGCGCTGTGACCCTCGAGTGAGCACTGACCCGTCTCCCCACACCCCAGGCTGACTCCAGGCCTCTTCGACCTGGGCCGCACGGTCCTCTGCCTGGATTTCATGGTCTTCACGCTGCGCCTGTTGCACATCTTCACGGTGAACAAACAACTGGGGCCCAAGATCGTCATCGTGAGCAAGATGGTGAGGGCAGCGCCGAGGGAGGGGCGGGGCTGGAGTGGGCGTGGCCGGAGAAGGAAAGGGGTGGAGCCAGGGAGGCCTGGGCCCTGAAGGAGGGACAGGCTCTGGGGAGGGCGTGGCCTTGAGGGCGGGGCGGGGCCAGACTCGGCAGTCTCTCTCTCTCTCTCTCTGTCCGCAGATGAAGGACGTGTTCTTCTTCCTCTTCTTTCTTGGTGTCTGGCTGGTCGCCTATGGCGTGGCCACGGAGGGGCTCCTGAGGCCTCGGGACCGTGACCTCCCGAATATCCTGCGCCGGGTCTTCTACCGGCCCTACCTGCAGATCTTCGGGCAGATACCCCAGGAGGACATGGACGGTAGGGAGGGCCCTGGCACCGTCCCTCTGGGTCTCCGTCCCCCTTGCTCCCGTCTTTCCTAGCTCCGTCCCTGGGCCTCGGCCCACCCCATCCCTTCCGGAGCTCCGCCTTCTTACAGCTGTGTCCCTCTGTCCCATCTCTGCGCGTCTCCTCCACAGTGGCCCTCATGGAGCACATGAACTGCTCGTCGGAGCAGGGTGCCTGGGCGCGCCCATCCGGGATGCAGGCCGGCTCCTGCGTCTCGCTGTATGCCAACTGGCTGGTGGTGCTGCTCCTCATCATCTTCCTGCTCGTGGCCAACATCCTGCTGCTCAATTTGCTCATCGCCATGTTCAGGTGAGGCCCCTTGCTCTCTGACCCGACCCCACCCAGCCCACCCTTGTTGACCCTATCTTGATTTATGATTCTCTAAACAATTTTATAGTTTGACTTAAATCTGATGCTGGCCTGTCTCTAAACCCAGCCAGACCCTGTTCCTGACTTGACTTTAGATTGATTCTCGCCCTGAGCCCAGGGTGAATTTTTTTAATATTGTGGCTAAACAGAGATAAAATTGGCCATTTTTGTAAGTGTAGGATTCAGTGATATTAATTACATTCACTGTGTTCTGCAGTCATCACCACCATGCAAAACATTTTCGTCACCCAAGCAGAAAGTGTTTCCCCTCACCCTAGCCCTTGGTAACCTCAAATCAATTTTCAGATGGACTGGCCTATTCTAGGTGTTTCATAAGAGTGGAATTATATGATATTGGAATTATGTGATATCCTATGTGTCTGGCTTATTTCACTTAGCATAATGTTTTCCAGGTTACATTCATGTTGTAGCACATGTCAGACCTTCATTTCTTCATACTGAAGAGTATTCTCTGGTACATACATGCACATTTTGTTTACCTGTTCATCTATGATAGAAATTTAGGTTGTTTCCATCTTTTGGCTATGGTGAATGATGCTCCAACAAACATAGGCATGCAACTATCAGTGTGAGTCCTTATTTTTGTTTCTTTCGGGTGTACATCTAGAATTGGAATTGCTGGATCACATTGTATTCTGTTCAGCTTTGTGAGGAACCATCAAGCCATTTTTCCATAATAGTTGTGCCATTTCACACTCCTACTGGCAGTGGATGAGTTTTCTCATTTCTTCACATCCTTGTCAACACTTGTTATTTTCTTTTCTTTACAAAACTATAGTCATCCTAGTGGTTATAAAGAGATGTCTCATTGTGATTTGATTTGCATTTCTTTAAGGATTGTTGATGTTGATTGTTGATTTATGATTCTTGTTGGCCATTTGTATATCTTTGGGAAAAAAGGATACTCACATTATTTGCCCATTTTTAAATTGGTTGCTTGTCTTCTGTAGTTGAGTTGTAGCAGTTCTTCACACATTCTAGATATTAAAGTCCTTTCCTATTTATAAGTTGTAGTTAATGTTTTCATTATAGGTGTTTTCATTTTCCTGATAACATGATATATAAAAGCTTCTAATTTTGATGAAGTCCCATTTATCTGTTTTTCTTCTGTTGCTTGTGGTTTTGGTATCAGGCCTTTTGCCAAAGCCTAAGTCATGAAGGTTTACTTCTGTGTTTTCTTCTATGAGTTTTCTGGTTTTGGCCCTTATATTTAAGTTGTTGGTCCATTTTGAGTTAATTTTTGTATATGGTGTAAGGTAAAGGCCCAACTTCATTCTTTGTGCATGGGGAAATCTACTCATCCCAGGGCAATTTGTTGAAGAGACTGTTCCTTCTCCATTGAACTCGACTTGGCATCCTTGTTAAAAATCAGCTGGCCATTATATTTGTTTCCCAGGGCAGTTGTAATAACATAACCAGACCCAGGTATCTTTAAATAGTGGAAATTTATTGTCTCTCAGTCCTGGAAGCTAGAAGTACAAAACAAGAAGGTGTCAACAGAGTTGGCTCCTTCTGAGGGCTGGGAGGGAGAATCCATGCCACACCTCTCCCCTGGTTTTTTAACTTGATCACCTCTGCAAAAACCGTATTTCCAAATAAAGTCATATTCTGAGGTGGTAGGGTTAGGACTTAAACATATCTGTTTTTGAGAGCTACATTCTACCTATAACATTTATTGATTTGTGGTTTACTTATGGACTTTTAGTCCACTAGTCTCTATGACAGTCCTTATGCCAATACCACACTGTTTGGATCACTGTAGTTTCATAGCATATTTTGAAATTGAGAAGGTGAGTCCTCTGACTTTGTGTTTTTTTTTTTTTTTTCCCCCTAAGATTATTTTGGCTATCCAAATGACCTTGAGGATAGGATTTTTCTGAGTCTACAAAAAAGTTGGAATTTTCATTGAATCTGCAGATTGCTTTGGGTAGCACTGATACGTTAACAATATCAAGTCTTCCTACTCATGAGTGCAGGATGCCTTCCCATTTATTTAGGTCTTTTAAAAAATTTTTCAGTAATATTTTGTAATTTTTGGTGTGCAAATCTTTAACCTTTTTGGTTAACTTTCTTCCTAGGTGCTTAGTTTTTAAAGCTGGTATTGTAAATGGAATTGCTTTCTTAAGATTCATTGGAGATCATTCATTGCAGGTGTAAGAAACAACTGATTTTTGTATATTCTTGTACCTTGAAACTGGTTCTTGAATGGATTCATTTATTAGTTCTGGGAGCTTTCTCAGGATTCTTGGATTTTCATTGTGTGTCACTTAATAGTGGGGATATGTTCTGAGAAATGTTTTGTTAGGTGATTTCTCCATTGTGTGAGCATCAAAGAGTGGAGTGTACTTCCATAAACGAAAATGGCTACAATGTCATGAGGTGATATAAAAAAAATTCTGAATCAGTCTGGCTTAATCCCTTAGATTGGCTTTGAATTTGAGTTTCTTCTGCTACAGCCTCCAGAGTAGCCTGGAATTCCAGGCCAGCATCACCGTGCCTGACTAGAAAAAAAAAATATTAAAAATTTTATTTTTTTGTACTGGAGATTGAACCCAGAGGTGCTTAACCACTGAGCCACATCCTCAACCCCTTTTTAAAAAAATTTTTTTAGTTGTCAATGGACTTTATTTTATCTATTTATATGCGATGCTGAGAATCAAACCTAGTGCCTTACACATTCTAGGAAAGTGCTCTATCACTAAGCAACAACCCCAGCCCCCAAAACCTTTTTATTTTTTATTTTAACACAGGGTCTCATGAAGTTGCTTAGAGCCTCAACTAAATTGCTGAGGCTGGCTTTGAATTTGCAATCCTCCTGCCTTAGCCTCCTGAGCTGCTGGGATTATATGCATGGGTCACTGTGCCCAATGACAATTTTTGATTAGTAATTCAATGTCTTTACTTATAAGTTATTTGAGAGTTTCTACTTCTTTTTGAGTCAGTTTAAGTAATTTATGTGTTTGTAGGAATTTGTCCATTTCATCTAAATTATCTAATTTAACATACATTCCCTTGCATTGCTTTTTATTTCTTGGACGTGGATAGTGGTGTTTACATTTTGTTTCTGATTTTAGTTACTTTTATGCAGGCTGACTTCTGAGCCCTGGTCCAGTCCTTTTTTCAACGTCTACCCTATTCATGACTTGTCTCCAACTTGAACTCTGACACTTGAGTTTATTGACCTTGACATCTACCTGCTGCCTTGGATGTTGAACAGAAGTTGCCCGATATCTAATCTTGATTCCTTGTCCTTGACTGGGCCATGACCCCAGGTAACCCTTGACCTCTGGCCTCTGCAGCTATACATTTGGCAAAGTACAAGGCAACAGCGACCTCTACTGGAAGGCACAGCGCTATAGCCTCATCCGGGAATTCCACTCTCGGCCTGCACTGGCCCCGCCCCTTATCGTCATCTCCCACGTGCGCCTCCTCATCAGGCGACTGTGCAAGCGTCGCTGGGCCAACTTGCCCTCATCCCCGGTCCTCGAGCATTTCCGTGAGAACAGGCTTGTCCTACAGGGGGGGAAATTTAGAGAGAAACATAAACATGGAAAAGCGGGACGCCCAGAAGGACTTGTGGGCGTGGCTCAGGTGTGAGGGCGAGGCTGTTCTAAGAGGGCGGTCCAGGGGCGGGGTCTAGGGACCTTGCTGAGGGGGCTAGGGGCGGGGCATGGGAAGGGGCGTGGCCGTTTGACTCACCAGGACTCCGCCCTCCAGGTGTCAACCTCTCGAAAGAAGCTGAGCGGAAGCTAATGACATGGGAATCTGTGCACAAGGAAAATTTCCTTCTGGCACAAGCACGGGACAAACGGGAGAGTGATTCTGAGCGACTCAAGCGCACTTCGCAGAAGTGAGGGCAGGGCCTGAGTGGGCGGGGCTTCTGGCCTATGTTATCTGGGTGGGGATAGGGCGGGGCCTGTAAAGAGCCTGGGCGGAAGTGGAGCATGAGGGGCCCGGTCTCTGGGTTGGTTGCCACGTGCCCAAAGGTCTCCCTTTTTAGAGTGGACACGGCGTTGAAGCAGTTGGGACAGATCCGGGAGTATGAGCGACGTCTGAAAGGGCTGGAGCGGGAGGTGAGGACTTAGTCCAGCTGGAGGGCTGTGGCAGGGTTGGGAGCACTGGGGTTCCCCTCTCCTATCTTGATTCTTTCCTGTTCCCCAGGTTCAACACTGTAATCGGGTTCTGGATTGGGTGGCCGAGGCCCTGAGCCGTTCTGCCTTGCTGCCACCAGGAGGGCCACCACCCCCAACTGGGCCCACAGGTCAGTGCGTAGGGCCTACCAGTGCGTCTTTGGCCTCTGTTCCTATGGTTCTGCATGGTTTTTATTACCCACTCTTCTCTCTTCTCTCCAGACTGAGTGCTGCTGGTCTTCAGTGAGTAACCCCCATAGGGAGTTTTATTCCTAGAGTGAGGCCCAGCTGGACTCTACTTGTGCACCTAGCGGCTTTATCCTTGAGGTGGACCTCATGCTCCTGAACTATACCTGGTCAGCTGTTGGGACCACCTTCTGGAGCGTCATCCATACACACCACAGCAGGCTGGGGTTCTCCCAGGACCATTCCTTCTCTGGGAGGATCGAATTCTGAGGCCTAGCACTGGCCTCCTTGAGGGCCTGCCACAGCAGGAGGAGGCTGGAGGGCCTTTGGAATTACAGGGACCACAGACCCTATTCACAGCTTCCCCACACTGGGGAAATAAAGCTATTTGAGATGAGTAGTATGTGGATGCTTGACTCGGGGGGAATTCGTGGGTGTCCAGACCTTTCTGAGGTAGAGGCTGGAGCTAGGCTGGTGGGTGTGTGGTCCTTGGTGGATTTACTGCTGTGTTTCAAATATCTGGCGTCTCTCCCTCCTTTACCACCACTATTCTTGCCTGACTCAGACTCAGCACTTTTTGTCTACACTATTTTGATGGCCCTCACTTCAGAGGATGAGAATCCATCTGGGCTTCTGCTAGTTTCTACTTTCTAGTGGAAAAATAACTCAGTGATAATAAGAGAATTATATTCTTCAGAGGGGTGAGTGGGTGCTGTGTACATCTGCTTTGGCAATAGGCGAACAGATGATGCAAATTTGAGTAGATAAATGCATATGTGTCTTTAAAAAGTCTAATTAGTAGAAAATTGCAGGCCACGCACGCATGGGATTGAGGCAAATATGCATCATTATACATGCAATTTTGCTAAATGACCCAAAACAAACTAAGCTGGTAATGACAAGGCTGAGGTGACAGCAATTATTAGTTATACAGCAAGAAAGCCACCAACAACCAACATGCAAAAATCAAAACCAAAACATCCTTCCTCCAAATTGGAGGGAGTCCAACTCTCTGCCTCTTTGGGTACAGAGTAGCTTTGAAACATTGCCAAGTGTTGTGTGACGATCAGACTTCTCTGGAAAATGCTGAATCAGTTCTCACCAACCCAAGTAGTAGTAATCATGGTAATGAGGATGGCAGTAATAACAGCAACAGCAGCAATGCTAGCTGACACAGTACTGTCTGTGTCTGGCATTTAAGTGCTTCGCATGTACTAAACACAAGAATCCTCATGATGGCCATAGAAGGTATCATCTCTACTTGGCAGAAGAGGAAACAGGCACACAAGGTTAGTGGTTCCCATGAAGTCATACAACCAGAATGTGCTTGAGTTGGACTAAAAATTTGGGCAACCTGGATCAGAACCCTAAATCAAAATGCATTTAGGAATATCAAATGCTGCAAAGCCACAAGGACTCAGTCCTTGTGAGGTTTACACAACTGTCTGAACTCCAAATCCACCTTTGTCTACAAGGCTGTGTAGACTGACTATAAGCCACCTTCTGCTCTGCCACTGGGCTCCTGCTAGGTCTTCCCTAAAAGGGGCGCTAGAGACAGAGACAGACGCTAAGACTAGCCACTGGGGGAGAAAGAAGGGATCTGCTCCTTCCTATTACTTCAGGTTCCTGAATGTTGCCCCACAACAACATTAGACCTCGTTAGTCACTTCTAGGTCTCCACTTCTATTTTTTGTCATTTCTGGAACCAGTTTCTTTGTCTCCTTTGGTCACACTAGCACCATCCAGGAGCCCCTTTCTGGGTGGGTTTCTGCTCTACAAGGCTGCATAATTCTATCCTCAGTCCTGGGGTGACATCTGCTTCGCGTAGTTAGCATTTCTGTGCTAAGTGTTCCTTTTCACTCCTTCACAGTTCGAGACCCATTTAATTTATCTGAGACCTTTGTCTTAATTTATCTCTGATGGAATATCTATATAACAGCAGAACTCCAGGTCTGGTGAGTATAAATCTGTTGTGAATCATCAAAATGTAGAATCACAACCTCTTGCACAAATTCCACACATAAACCAATTTGGAGATCAAAAGTCCCTAAATTGAAAAGAAGTCTGTTAAGATTCTAAATACTTCTATAAATTTATATTTTAAATCTTCCTTTTGAGGGGGACTTTTTTTCCGTTTATGAAGTAACGGTATTAGGGAAGACAAAATGCTCAGAGTTTTCAGGAATTAGTAGATTCTGAATTTTCTTTAAGGTTTATTTATTTATTTTTTTGTTAGCTACACATGACATATCAATGATCTTGGACTGAATTTGCTTTGAATTGACAATTTCATGAGGCCCAAATGCCACTGTAACTTATAAAATGAGATCTTATGGTGGGTGATCAAGTGATAAGTAAAATTTGGGCTCTAGTATTTGGTCTTAGTGAGTTCCACAGATCCAAAACCCACCCCATAATTTATTTTCTGGGTTTGCAGTTAATTGTTTGAGGTATTCTTGGCCCCAGTTTTTCTCTTTGCCTGTGGAGTGAGGGGTATTATGATAGTAAGGACCAAGGGAAAGTCCCTGGATTTTTCCTTCTCTACCAGCAAGAAATACCCAGGAAAGCTGTAGTAGTAATGGTAGGTATCACATCTTAATTCAGTCCACCCATGTGTCCTGTGCCAAAAGTGTGCAGGACTGGGAGAAGGACGTAGAATATCAGAAACTCAATCAGGTGGTGACTCCATTTGTAGTTGCTTTCCTTTCTTCATTGTGGTCATCATCGTCTTTTCTTTTTTGGCTGCGGGTGGGTACTAGGGATTGAACCCATGGGTGCCACATCCCCAGCCCTTTTTGATTTTTATTTTGAGACAAGGTCTTGCCAACTTGCTGAGGCTGACTTTGAACTTGCCACCCTCCTGCATCAGCTTGCCTACTTGCTGGGTTACAGGCAAGTGCCACTAGTCCTTGGCTGTAGATGCTTTTCTTTTCTTTTTTTCTTTCTTCATAGTTTTATTGAGGTAAAATTGATGTACAATAAAATGCACATATTTGAAATATGCAATTTGATCAATTTTGACATATTTTGACACATATATAACTAATACAATCAATGTAAAAAGCATTACCGTTACTTTTTTTAAAAAATTGAAATCATGCAGACCGTGTTTCCTGCATGATTTATTACATTAGAAATCAATCACCTTAACTTATATAGAACCCCACTCCCAAATGTCAACTTCTTTGAAATTAAATGACACACTTAAAAATATCTCAGAGGTCAAGGAAGAAAGCACAAGAAAAGTAAAAAGGGCTTTGAACTAAGTGGTAATAAAAACTTAAAATATCAGAATCTCTGGGACGAAACAGTACTCAGATGAACATTTATAACTTAAAGTACTTGTAACAGAAAGAAGATTAACAATCAAATTATTTTCAAATTAGTAGGAAGAAAAAAATCAGAGTAGGAGCAGAAATATGCAATAGAGAGGAAATAATACAGCTAAAAGTTGATAAAAAATCAAACAAGTCTAATCAAGAGAAAAGCAAGAACACAAAAATTAGTATCAATGGAAAGGGAGCTATCAGAATAACCCTACAGGTACTAAAAAATATATTACAGTAATATTAGAAATGCATGCCAACATATGTGATAGCTTACATAACATGGTGCACATTAGAGAAGGATCCGTGTGCTGCTGAGAAGTGTTTTTAGTCTTTGATGGATGAAATATTCTACATATGTCTATAAAGTCTAAATTATCGATTGTATTCTTAAAATTTTTTTTTAAATATTTATCTTTATTTTATTTTTATGTGATGCTGAGGATCGAACCCAGTGCCTCATGCATGATAGGTGAGCACTCTACCTCTGAGTCATAACCCCAGCCCATCCATTGTATTCTTTAGCTCTTAATTTTTTTATTTAGTTTTTGCTTGGAGGCTCTATCTAGTGGTGACAGAGGCATGTTAAAGTTACCCAGTATTATTGTGTTGTGGTCTTTTTGATTCTTGAAACTGAGAAGGGTTTGTTTGATGTGCGTAGATGCTCCATTATTTGGGTTATAAATATTGATGATTGTTATGTCTTGTTGATGTACAATTCCTCAAGTAGTATGAAATGTCCTTCTTTGTCCCTTCTGATTAACTTGACTTGAGGTCCACTTTATTTGATATGAGGATAGAAAACCCCTGCTTGTTTACACGATCCATATGAGTGATATGTGGATTTCACCTTCAGTCTGTTGATGTCTTTCCCCGTGAGATGAGTCTCTTGGATATATGCTTATTTTTGGATCCTGTTTTTTTAATCCAATTTGCCAGTCTGTGTCTTTTGATTGATGAATTTAGGCCATTACTGTTCAAGGTTATTATTGATATATTATTTGTATTTCTGGTCATTTTGGTTTATGTCTAGTTTTTAATTTGAATTAGTTTCTCCTTTGATGACTGTTCCTTTAGTGTAATTCCTGCCTTTGCTGGTTTTCACTTTTTTTTTTTTCATTTCATCTTCATGGAATAGATATTTTTTTTAGTTGTAGATGTATACATATCTTTATTTTATTTACTCATTTATTTTTATGTGATGCTGAGGACCGAACCCAGGGTGTCACATGTGAGAGGCAAGCACTTTACCACTGAGCTACAATCCCAGCCCTTCAAGGAATATTTTGTTGAAAATATTCTGTAGTTCAGGCTTTCTAGTTGTGAATTCTTTTAACTTAACTTGTTTATCATGGAAATTTTGTTTGTTTTTTGTTTTTGGTACCCAGGAAGGAACCCTGGGGCACTCACCAACTGAGTCACATCCCCAGCCCTTTTTTGTATTTTATTTAGAGACCAGGTCTTGCTGAGTGCTTAGGGCCTTGCTAAATTGCTGGTGCTGGCTTTGTACTCGTGATCCTCCTGCTGGGATTTCAGGTGTGCGTAACCACCGGCCTCATGGAAGGTTTTTATTTCATTTTCAAATCTGAAGCTTAATTTTGCTGGATATAGGATTCTTTGTTTGCTTCTATTTTCTTTCAGAGCTTGGTCTATGTTATTCCAGGACCTCCTAGCTTTGAGGGTCAGGGTTGAGAAGTCAGCTGAGATCCTTATTGGTTATCCATATATGTAACCTGATATTTTTTTTCTCTCAAGCCTTTAAAATTTCATCCTTATTCTGTATGCTAGACATTTTCATTATAATGTGCCTTGATGTGAGTCTGTTGTAATTTTGCACATTTGGGGTCCTGTAAGCCTCATGTATTTGATTTTCCATTTAATTCTTTAGCTTTGGGAAATTTTCTGATATTATTTCATTGAAAAGATTGTGCATTCCTTTTATTTGTGTCTCTGTGCCTTCATCTATCGGGGTAAATCTTAAATTTGGTCTTTGCATGTTATCCCATATTTTTTTGGAAATTCTGTTCATGGTTTCTTAACATCTTCTCTCTATAATCAACTCTGTTTTCAA